AAGGTTAGGAGACGAGACGAGAAGATAAGAATTGACAGGTGATGACTACAGTGCAACGAAAATATTGATGGGATATCTCCGCATAAACATGCCGCTCATTACGACAATGCCTCCCAGACTCCCAACCCGCCAAAAAATACGCTCAACCAGATGAGAAGACCAATATACACGAAGGTATGGATGCCTATCCGGGGTAAGACCCAAGGTGTATGCATGAACGAAAGGACGGCGTGGATTAGAAGCAAGCCAGGGAATGCCAGCAGCAGGGCGTGGTTCGATGGCTGGAATGGATGAAGGGCTGACGAGGCCGATATCGTCGTTGATGGGCTCGAAGGTTCAGGCATGCCCGATCGGAAGAAGATGGTGGTGAAGGAGGAAAGCGAGAAATATGTGGCAGGCGGAGGCGATCCCGGAGGAGGGTAGGAAACGAGGGTTGAGCGCATGTACACTGCTGTGAGAATCAGGGTGACGCCCAACGAAGACAGGATTGCGTTGATCCTGTGAAGACACGATAGAAAGACTGGGATTTGCTATTAAAACGAAATTCAGAAAGGAAGACAGGAAAAAAGTCGCCCTGGTCACTTACGATGACAGGAATCCCATAGACCTCCTCAAGTTCCTCTCTAGCCCTCATCCTCAACAACTCGTCCAAATCTTGCTCAACCTCATTCTCAACCAACAGCCTTTCGCTCTCTTGTGTCGTCTGCCGCGTCAGAGAAGCATCGGCGAGGGGCGGCGGTCGGTTCAGAGTCAATAGAGGCTGCCGCTCGCCCAACCCTGATCCACCGAGCTCCTCGAACGTAGTCGATCTCCGAATTTCCGAATTCGATGACGAAAGAGAATCGGAGTGTTCTCTTCTCTGCGGAGGCGCTGAAAGGGCGGTATCTCTTCTCGAATCCCAGTTCCTCTGTGTTGGGGTGATGCTTTCTTCATCGACCGCCGCCATCTGCGCTACTGCGGAGGTTGCACGTTTCTTTTGGGACTCCGTGGGCTCTCCCCCTTGTCTAGACGCGAGGGCAGCCAGTGCTTCATCTTTTCCAACCGACTTCCGCACACTGACGAGAACATCTGCGTACAACCCGATATTGTCATAGCCTTGTTTGACCCCCACGATTGCTTCCGCTGCTGCCCATCCCAATGCCACCCACCAGACGCGTCGGAACGCTCCGTCTTGCCATGTCGGGAAATGTGCCTTGTGGAGAGCATCGTCTTCAATGCCAGCAAGCGAGAGGGCTTGCGGTCGCTGAGTTGAATAGAAAGGGATGAGGAGGATGGGAATCGCGAATTGCCGTAGAATTAATGTCGATGCACTTTGCAGGAATGCGGAGATGGTGGATGTGAGGACTGGGATGAATGAGGGGAATCGGTGTCTTGGGAAAGGTATTGGTGAGGTAAGGAAGAGCGAGATCGCGTAGAGGGAATCGCGAAGCAAATACGACATAGACCACAGAGCGGCCGCGGTTAGCAGCTCGGGTAGGGGAAAGGGTAGATATGGAGGATATGGGAAAGGTGATGGTGTCGATGTGCGTAGGAGAAAGCAAGGTAAGAGACCGAGAGCGATGAAGGTCAAGAGAGTTGACAGTGGAACGAAGGTGTATAACAGTATCAGCGATTTGTAGTTGCCTAGAGCAGAAGAAGAGTAAGCATATGCTCAATGGAACAAAAGGATTTGCACTGTAACAGCCTGAAACATCGTGCTTACCGCGATAGAGCCCTTCCAGGGCAAGCTCTTCGTCGAGAAGCCACTCTTCTTCTTCCTCGCTCAGCTCGCTGCCTTCTTCAAAATCCGGCGAAGAGCTCATTGGGAACCTGACATCCGTTTGACCAACAGAACCATAATATACAGAGCCAGAATGCGCCATCCCAGCTCCTGAGCCACTCCTGGCTCTTGCTGCACTGGAGGCGGGATCTACCACCTCGATGGTCATCTCTGCGTCTTCAGGCACTCCACTCAGCCACTGCCTCGCTGAGCTAGACGTCGAGCGCCTGTAGTCGTCTGGACTGTGATTCCGTGGGCGGTCCGGGAGGCTGGTGTAGGGCAACCGCCTCTGCTCGTCGTCGACTGCGTAGAGGTCAGCGTGGAGCGCAATAGAGGGTGCAGCTAGCGGGATTTGCGATAACGATTGTCCGTTGCCACTCCGAGTGTTTGAGTTTGTGCTGTGGTACCCGTTCGCTGGTACAGACGCCTTAGCGGTGGCTGTCCGAGCGTATGAACGGCCTAGGGTCCTGAAGTAGCCTCCGACGCCCTGGAAGAGCCGCCGGTGTGAGGACGACGATGGTGTTGGAGGATGAGGATGGTGGCCTTGGCGCGTCGTTGAACCCCTCTCGGCATCGTCATGATTGAACTGGCTGCCCTCGCCAAGCTCCGCGATGCTTGTCCTGTAACTCCCTCCTGCCTTCGTGCTCCCAACTCGACCTGCCCTCTGCCCTTGTTCTTGCATATCTAGCTGCTAAAGATCGGTAGACTTGTGGAAAAAATTGCTCGATTGTGGAGTTTTATGCCCACTCAGGGGTCGTATGCGGCGTCTGCACTGAGAACGTGCGTCCTCGGAAACCCTAGCGTAGCGAACGACGAACGAAGTGAGAACCACGTAAGGAGGACGGTAAAGAACTCTGGGTGGAAGAGGGCTGCAGGACCGGTCGAACGTTGGCTGGCTGGCTCTCTTCAGGCGCGGTGTTGTTGGACAAGGCGTTTAGATGGCGTCAGACGTCGCAAGTCATGGCGATAGTACGTACTTATTAGCAGTCCTCAACAGTCGCAAACTGACGGGAACTTCTTATATCACGAAGCAGCCAAGAGAGCAATTCGACAGCTAAAGACCGCCGCCAGGGACCCTACTTCATCCGGCCGCTCTGAAAAGTGTACATCCTTTCTTATCGTCTTCCCTGGCTTGTGACACGCCAAAATCCAGACATCGCAAGATATGCCGTGGCGGACCCTCCTCAAGCCGCTCAAGTCCACCGGCCGCGACAAGGATCAGCATGTTTTGGAGTGTGAAAGAACTGCGAGAAGACCACAAGATGGCGAGAGGAAGCGTAATCTCAGCCTATTTTCAGTTTGCCGTCCCCAAGGATTGACCGCCCTTTTTCTGCGCTCATGACACCCTCCCAGTCGTTGCAGTTTTCTTTATTCGTCGACCGGGAAGGTCAAAAATGTGGCACTCAGAAGACACGAATCTCCGTAAGGAAAATATTCTGCTTGGCTATTTCCATGCACTTTACCAATCCACAGTCACGAGCTCAAGAGATGGTTCCCTGGACAGTCTGTAAACAGTGACTAGTGAAGGTCCGAACAGATTCACGTCCGCCTTCTCTCAGGATCACCCAATGCATGCCGATATGCCCGAGGCCACGGAAAAATACTTACGAGGCGTGCCCAAGCGCGGAAATTGCTCCTGGCAAACAGAAATACCCTCAAGGATAGGGGTTAGCGCGCGTATCCCACATCGGGCATCCTTTGATCCAAATTCGAACGACGCGAGCACGTTCAACCTTGGTTCGACCAAACCGCGGAGGGCCGACAAGGCATCGAGGAACCTGCTCTCGTGCTCTTCTGTGGTTTCCAGCGATTCCTACTGATGGTGACAGCCAGAATAAAATGGTTGTGAACCTGCCTGAAGTAGGGTCTTGATAGGATTCCTCTATGTGGCGTGATACTTAGTTTACTATGCGACTGCCTACCCCGAAAAGTGATGGCCACATGGTTATCAATTTGAATGCCTTTCGATAATCTTTACCACTTTCAAATTCTAGGACGTATGTTTGCTGGCAGAATTCTCCAGGCACACCTTTTGAGTGGGTGTTTTTTACTTGTAGGAGGAGCGTGAGATATACTTTCCTATTGCATGTCCCCGGCATCTCGGCACCTTTGTCTTGTTCCTGCTGCGAGACTTCTTCGACCTTGCACTCTTGTCGATACCCCAAGTGGACGCCACAGAACTGCAGACCTGCACAAATATCTGAACAGTCTCAATACTTTGGATAAAATCTCACTTTTCCGTCGAAAATGCCGTTTACACCAGCGGAAGACGAACTCACGGAAGCGCTCATCGACCTCAAGTCGCGCGATCCGCAGCTGGGCATCGCGAAAGTGCACGCCCTTCTGCTGAGAAACTACCCGGACTGGAGCGTCTCGGAGAAGCGCACACGCAAGATCTTGCAGTACCATGGCCTGATCGTGTCGTCGTCGTCGTCGCCAGCGGCAACTGCGAACGAGCCTCCGGTGTTCCCCTCGTCGCGTGTCATGGACCAATTGGATGTGAAGCAGTGGAGTGACAAGGTCCAGGTGAAGTTTTTCAACAAAAAGAAGGGGAAGGGTCTGGTCGCGGTTACAAACATTGAAGAGGGCGATACGATATGGAAGGAAGAGCCGTTCATCGTTGCGCCCGAGTGGTAAGTTGGTGTTTGTCTTTTTTTATGTGCGCTGTTGCACACGATTTGCTTCCAGTCTAAGCTAATAGACAAGGTGTTACTCTTGAATCTCTTATTTTACAGGGAGATATATGACATGCAGCGCAATTCAACGGCTTGTGGGTACTGCACAACACCTCTCGCCCTCGACTCACCCTTGATCAACGTCTGCCCGGCCTCATCTTCCACGATGCCGGCTGCGTCAACTTCCACGAACCCGTGTCCAACCCGGTTCTGCAGTCGTCTCTGCCTCGCACGTTCGGCAAAGGTCCATCCTATTCTTTGCCCGGTCCAGAACCCCGCTTCTGCACCACTTCTCAAGTTCGCCCGAGACTCGCAGTGGATGGCACTTCATGCACTCATTCACACTACTGCCCGCATCCTTCTTGTGAACCAACATGGTATAGAGACCTTGAGGAAAGACTGGGATATCGTCCAGAGTCTGGCGGAATTGGGTATGGAGGAACGGTTTAAATATAGCTTCAAATCGTGCGTCCGCTCCTTGTTTACTTTGTCCTCGTGGTCACCTTTTCCTACCCCAAATGAAAGATCGGCCGCTCCAGAGCCCGACAGGGCTGTATGGAAGAAAGCCTTTACCTTATACCTTCAGGCGTTCAAAGAACCGAAAACGCCGCCAGAGCAGAAGAAGTTCGCGAAGTTGCTCAAGAAACCTCTTCCAGCAGAGGTTGAACATGGTCTCTTCGACTACGACGCAGGCTTCCTACGAGGATTGGGTCGCATGTCCCTCAGTACGTCTGTTAATAACTCATGCCAGCAAAGACCTTGAACCCATTGCTTTCCCCCAGATCTCGAAGCTCATGGAGGCTTATACGTCCTCCACTCACACCTGAACCACTCCTGCGATCCTAACGTCTCCGTTCGTCACCTCGACCAGCGTAACGCTCTCTCCCGCATCACGGTGCTCGCCAAGCGCGCCATCAAACAGGGCGAAGAGCTCACTATAACGTACGTCAACCCGAAGCTCGGATACGCGGCCCGCCAGCATGAGCTGCGCAGCTGGGGCTTTGGCTCGTGCGTCTGCGCACGGTGCATCGAAGAAGAGAAGATGGCACGGCAGGCGCCGTCAGGGAACGGAGGAGGCGACGCGGGCGAGGTGGCCGATATGGACGACTTGGCGGCCGAATTGAAGGCCGGGCTGGGGGTTATGTGAGCTGGAAATGAAGGTGTGCATTGACACATTTACGTTGGGCAGGGTGGTGAAGAGCAGGCTTCGGGGCCATCGATTGATTAGATATTGTCATGCAAGCCTGCCTGTGAGAAGCTGCCTAGTAGGTATGTAATCATTGAAATATCAATAAAACGTCGTCCCCAAAGTACTTAGCCTATCGATCAAGACAATCAGTTGCCTCAGGTTCTCTTCCACCTTCAAGATGTCGACCACCTCTGTCTCTGAGATCGCGAGTCGACGTGCTCCAAAGCCAACAGTTTCCTCCATAACACTTCTCGCTCCTCCTGCACCCCCAAGCAATCCGACGCCGTCCTCTGCTCCGCCGCCCTCTGCTCCGCCGCCCTCGTCGAGCTCTTCTGGCCCGACCCCCCAACAGGCTCCTCAGAAAGGTCCTCTCTTCAAAGTACACCCTTCAAGCTTCTTCAAGTCTCCTACCTTTGATTATTCCATTCCTGACTCGAAGGTTAGCATTTCGCGATGGTACTTCAATTCCAAAACCCTCGAGTAAATACCACTACAGAAGGCCACCCTAGGTCACGCCGACCGTATCAAACTTAGCCTCAAGCTCGAAGCGGCATACATGGCTAAATGCGGCGCGCTCACCAAGGCCATCCGGCGCACCGCCAAAGCCGAAGAAGAGTATTACGCCAAGGTCCAGCATGAGCTCCAGGTCCTCGCCCACGCCGCAGAGATGGGCCAACCCTCCACTTGTCTCGACCCGCAAAATGCGTACGACCTCGCAAGCGCAACGCACGCCGTCTTCGTCTCTGAGCAGAAGATGGTGAAGCGAAGGGTGGAGGAGAACGAGCTCCGGGTCAAATTGCTGAAGGACGAGCTGAAGAGGGTGAAGGCGAGGGTGAAGGCGGCTGAGCGGCAGTTCAATGGATTGCTTGAGGCGTTCAAAAAGGAGGGTATACCGGTGGATGATTTTAAGTCCTCCATGCAGACCCCGGCCGGCGTAGGAAAAGAAGATCTCGACGAAAAAGAGAGCGAAGATAGCGACTCGGAAATGATGGAGGGCAGTGTTGAAGGAAGCGATTCAGAGGACACTGGAATGGGCTCTCAGACTGGGAGTGTCCTCGATTCGTAATATCTCGCTTGTTTTCTTCAAACCTTCAACAGAGTTTTATTTCATTTTTGCTCATACCACCCTTTAGCGTCGTACTTTGGACAAACGTTTCACACCTGGAAGCCTTATCACATGACCACAAATAAGCGCCGATCGGTGGTGAGAAGTTCGAACTCGGGCGCCTTTTCCAGCTATCAAACACCCCGCCGTGAAATAGACCGGATTTGATCTATATCGAGTCATGAGATTAAGTCATCTCAGCGCCCAACGGTGGAGATTGATACAATCTTGGAAGATGCGCCGGGGGTAGAATAAACGGACAAGAAGCGCCATGGGCGGCTCGTAGTGCCGCCATGGATTACATTCCCCAGGTCCGACGAGCCAGTCATAAACTTGGGAATTGAACATTTATCAAATCTGATACAAAGGCACTATAAGAGAGGCCAGACACTAGCATGAATCATCCGCTTTCTTCATTCAAAACGAACAGATTTCCCATCCTCCTCGAAGCTCTTGCGGATAGCAGCGAGCAAGCGGTGATTCTTGACGGCGTCGTCAATTGTGGGGTGCCTACCCAACTCCCCCTTCGCGAACTCCTTCCACGAGTTGGCGACATTGTCAATGGCGCCACCAACGGCGCCTGGCTCGCGATACTCAACTTTCTCTCCATTTATGTACAGGTCTGCGTCAACAACGTGAATCGCTGCTCCCATGAGAAGGTCAGACTCGACGCGAATGGTGCCTTCCTCGCCATCTATCTCCCAAAGAAAGTGGCGCCTGCCTGGAGTCATCTTGTAGCCAGTGCGCCACATGGCGTTGACGAAGGCCTTGGATTTGAGCACGCCAGAGAAGGAAATATGGTCAGGTTCGGTGGCGACTAAGGTCTTTCCGGTAGGCTGCTTTGTCGCCTTGTCGACGATAGTCGTGGTGTCGTAGATGAGTGTGCTCGTTGCACTGACAGAGGCGAAGTCGCCGAGAGTCTGAGTGAACAGGTTGAGAAAGTGCCCAATAATGATGCTGAGCATGGTCGCGCCGTTTTCCGCCTCGATGACGTAGCTGTTGTTCTCGATGGTTACAGGACCCCATCCACCAAATTCCTGGGGAACAGTTCCGATCTAGTATTCATTCATGTCAGTTTCCACACCACCTCATTTCACCAATGAGCTTCAGGCTCACAACGTTCGTGGACAGTACGGTGCCAATCTTTCCGCTGGCGATAATTTCCTTGATCTAAGAGGCGTCGCTGTTAGATAAAGGCTGCTCGTATATCAGAACGGGATTGCGCACGGACCTTGGTGACAATCGCTGAGTCATGTCCTTGGAGCCCAATAAGGGATCTGACCCCATTCCTCTTAGCCGCCTCTGCGATCTCCAATGTCTCCTGCAAGCTCCTCCCTGCCGGCCATTCGATGAAGAAATCCTTCTTCGCCTCAATCACTGGCATAACTAGCTCCTTGTGCATTGGTGTCTTCACCGACACAGCGACCAAGTCGACGTTGGGGTCAGAGGCGATCTTGGCCGTGTTGCCAGAGTATGCGGAGATGGGATGTCCCACTATCTTGCCGTACTTTTCCGCTGCACTGGCGGAAGTTGCATCGGAGGAGTTGGAAATAGCGACAATGTCGTAAGTCCCTTTGAGCGCTTGTTGGGTGAGCGCCGGAGCGATGACGTCAGACGCCCATCCGGAACTGGAGAGACCAACAAAGCCGATTTTGATGGGAATAGTAGGAGGGGCCATGAATACGTTTTGCAGATAGCAGTGCAGAGGTGCGTCTTATATTCTATTTATCCCCTACGAAAGTGCTTCTGCGAGTTGTAAGCCGCCCAAAGTTTCCGATCAATTGCGGGCCAACCAAACCAACCAACGGTGCCTCTCGTCATTTTGGTTGTGTAAGGTAAGTTTTGTCAGCCACTTTCCAGGTTATTAAGACCGAATTATTGGTCAGCTGCTCCCTTGATTCTTCATTGCGACATGAGCTCAGTTGGCCTGACCCTCAGCTAATGACCGGGAAGGATGATCTCTAAGCTTTGTAATATATGGTGTGTGATTCGTGTATTTTATCCGCCCGATTTGAAAGCGTGAAATAGTCTTTCGAAATCCTGACAAGTCGATGCATTTCTAGTCCAGAAGAGGGAGGAGACTCTAAGTCCTGGCCTGTTTGAAGCAGACGGATTGAAGATTGATAGGGCCCAGCTTGCTTGTTGCCGTGAAATACCGACGCCTTGTTCAGAGATCTACGGAACTATTTGACCTACGCTGAGAAAGAGTACACGATTTCGTTGGTCCCTTCTGCGCCCCGAGCCTCACAGAGGTCTTCTAAATTATATGAGCAGCATGGCGGTAGAAAACAGAAGGCGTATATACGCACCTTTGGAAGAAGAGTCCGGTAGCCTTTTCGTCGCAACGGACGCCAAATTGAAGCGCTCCGAGCGCCACCGTTGCGAAGCCCTCTTTTGTCAGTTGGGCGCCTATTTGGCGCCCACCGATCCGGTTTAGCTTGCAGGGACCAACCTGGAGGGTCGATGTTTTCTTTTGGGTGGAACCGGTGCCATTAACGACCGCGAGCTATATAAAGAGTGATGGAGTAACACTTACATACCTTCCCTCTAACTCCGACTTGTCCCCTTACCAAGAACATCACATTACAGCCCGCCAGCAAACCAGCCTTGCAACTGTACATCCACCCTCATGCCGGGAATTCCACAATTTCCACAATCGCCTGTCGCACACCTCTTCGCTGCAAACGTTTTACCCAATGAAGCGGAGAGGGAGCTCATCCGCGTAGCAATCGGCAACGCGCAGACAAGTCTCGCGACTCTTGCCGAGCTCGAGGACCCTCAAGCTAAAGAGGAGCGCGAAGCATCCAGATGGGCGCCGAAGAAGCCTTTGACCGTGCTCGCCAAACGCCGGCGCGACTTGAACGATTTCATCCACTCACACCAAGCTCTCCTCCTTCCTATCAGGGAGCTTCCCCCCGAGCTCCTTCAGGAGATCTTCCATCACTACTACACCCTCTTTATCACCTGGTTCACGTTCCAGCGGGATGCTCGCCCACCCTTTATCTTGACCCAAGTCTGCACCGCATGGCGGAGCGCAGCCATCGCCCTCCCTTCGCTCTGGGTCAAGAATCCAGCCTTCAACCTCAACCGCGGGAAAACCCGAGAAGCGGGGTACCTCTCGTTCGTCGAGGAGCTCTTCCGACGATCGGGCGGGTTCGCGATGCTCGAGGTGTACGTATACTATTACCCTCTGTCCGGAAAAGCGGAAAACCATCCGGTCATGGATATCCTCGTCCGACACTCCGAACGCTTGAAGATCCTCACGCTCGATGGCAACCAAGGGACGTTGGACGTGTTCGCTGGTGCCAAAGGGCGCCTTCCAAACCTCATCCAGTTGGGTCTGCACATCCCCGCTACAACTGAGGACCAATGGCAGACTCCTGGGGTTGTCGTCGCGAAGAATAATACGTTTGAAGAGGCGCCGAAGCTGGAGGTTGTGAAGATGCCTCGCAAGACGCGCCCGGCATGGTTTGTGTTGCCGCCACGGACCATCATCAAGTTCGATAACGAACCTCTTCAGTGGTCTTTGAAGATGGGCGGTGAATCATGATGGACGATCGCCCAACTGTTAACCATGGCCAACAACGAAACGTTCGCATCTTGAATCCACATTTCTTGAGTGCCGTTACAGCGTCTAGTCAATGGTAGTAGGGTATGGGGCCAGTTGTCAACACAGTTCACGTACCGAAGCCAGTCCGCAAGTTGAGAGATGTCTAAGCGATGAGCAATCAAGACCCAACTGCCTGGCTTTTGCTAGTGACCTTCTGATGTTTGAAATTTGGGACGATTAGGGACAGCATTCCAACTTCATGCATGTTTCGAATGGGATGTATTTCTTGCTCTATTTCTAAATTCCAGATGCAGCTGGGACAATAGCCTCCTCGTCTCGCCCTGTCCGTGATAAAAACACGCCGTCAGCCCAAATATGTGCCGACGACACTACGCGGGAAACGCACCTTCGTAGAACTTCTGCAAGAACGTCCTCTGCGGCCTATCTCTCGACTCTAACAAAATCCCCACAACATGGTCCGTCTGCTTCCAGCAGTTCATCGTCTCCTGGTAGTCCTGTCTGCCTTTCAGGACCAAGACGTCGATGGCGCGTGGGTCCGTGACATTCCGGTTCTTCTCGAACTTTTGTCGGATGGCATGCCGCACTTGTGATGGGCTCTGGCTGAGAGAGTAGAGCGTACAAATTTCGGGTGCCTTGAGAACGGATAGAACAAGATAGAGATGCATTGGAAGGGTGTAAGAGTGATTAGTATTAGCTATTCCGTTCACCACCATTGGCTAGTCAGCGAGTGTGGTTGTATTTGCGCACTCACAGAGCGATACCAGTCCCTGTAGAGCTTCAGAACGCGCTTTCGTGCGTCGGAGGCGCTGGGCGATGTCCGTGTGAGGGTCGCGAGGCGGGAGGGTATTGTGGTCATTGTGGGTGTTGAGGTCAACGACGGCAAGAGTAGCTGGCTGGTTGCCAAGTTTGAACTCCGCTCCCGATTCGGCATATGCCCCCTTGTCTCTGCTTTTCCCTGTTATCTCTCTTTCTCCGTAGACGCCACAGATACCTCGTCTTTTGTCACCTTTCACACAAGCAATATGGTCCGTGGAACTGGTGAGTGGCAGGTTTAGACCTTACGTTCGGTGAAGATGGCCATAATCATTCACTTTTGGCAGGCAAGTTTAAGCAGAAACGCGGTGGCGGTCGTAACTTCAGGTATGCACGATCAGTGAAAATCGACCCATTTTGTGCTCAATGGGACCTCCAGCAAGGATGTAAGCTTCGATGCGAATGAACGTGCCAAGGCTGCCCGCAGGTATTTCTTCCGATCCCCGATCGTACTGCGATTACGTTGGCTGACTTTGTGCTATCTAACACAGAGGTGAAGATGAGGATGAGGATGACTCCGAGGAAGGATCAGAAGAAGGCTCCGAGGAAGAGTCGGACGAGGAATCTTCTGAGGGAGAACAGCAGGAACTAACTCGCGCTCAACGGCGCGAGATGAAGAAGAAGCTCGGTCCCAAAGAGAAGAAAAAAGAGGACGACGAAGACGAGGAGGAGGAAGATGAGGACTTGATCAACCCCAATCACGTCAAGAAGAAGATGAACATATCTGACCTCGGTGCACCTCGCGAATTAACAAGGCGTGAACGGTCAGTCCTCTGCTGAAGTTGATTCATGTCATTTGTCCATCTGACCCAATCGTGAATATGTAGGGAACAGAAGGAGAAGCAGGAGGCCCAGGACAAGTACTGGAAGGTTCGTCCTGTTCCGCTTTCACCGTTTCCAGCTGCCCATATTGAACGCTTTAATACCAGCTACACGTCCAAGGCAAGACAGACCAGGCGAAAGCCGACCTCTCTCGACTGGCCAAGATTCGTGCTGAACGCGAGGCTGCTCAAGCGAAGAGGAAGGCTGAGGCCGAAGGTGAGCTTCTCTTTCTTATCAGTCGACTACACTGATCAATTCTTTGTCTCTCAGCTAAAGTGCAGGAGGCGGAGGCTAAGAAGCAGGCTCAGCTAGCCAAGAAGAAGACATAGATAGGACTGTCGTTGTCATCAATTTTTTTTGGAAGTTTGGTGTGTATGAATAGGCTCGCCAGTTGATATTACTCGCGCAGGTCAAATGTATAAATGCGCCAACCTACTCTATGTACAACATTTTTCAAGTGTATAAGAATGTGTGGGTGATCGGACGAAGACTGGTTGATTTCCGGCACCTCCTGCATATCCACTCGACTGAACGAAAATCTAGACGGCCTGAAGTACGAGACAGGATGAAAGGTATATCATCCCAACTAGAGATTGTATTCGACGCCTAAGTGGCGCATATGCAAGTCCTTCATTGAACAGGCCCCCCTTTGGAGGTAAGCAAACCATGGTTGCTGAATCGGATACTTTTTTGGGATCGACGGTGAGGATCTTCAGCTGGAAGTTGATGGAACATCAGTTGAAAAAACGAAGTTCGTTGAAAACTATCAGATCAACCACTTACAAGTCGCGACAGAGCAGATTGGAGGGAGCACGATTAAAGCTCATCTCCAGAACTATACTCCCAATCCTCACGCTCCGAGTCCGTTGTCCACTCCTCGTCACTGTCCACGCTGCCTTTTTCTGGTTTACACCACCTGCGATGCTTTGGCCAATCCTGCAGAAGTCGAAACAATAAATTTCAACGGACATACTGACAGAAAAACATACCGCCTTCTGACATGCGTGTCCACAATAGCGCGGTTTCTTCTCCTGCGGACAGTGTCCACCGCACCTCTTTAGCTTGACAGTTTTATCGCACACTGAACACATGGTAGATATCATACGCTGCGTGCCAGTCTCTTCGCGGAAGGCATCGTATGCCTTTCGGAGGTTAGCGGTGCCCTCCAACCAGTTTTTGGGTGCACATCCTTCAACTCGTCGCTCTTGCACCTGGACGAGATACAGGCCACACCATGCGAAGAGCCCGAACATAGCGCTGATCTCAATGAGCGCAAAGGCTTTGCCATAGTTGTCGACCCTATCTGCTGCCTCTGCCTCTGTGCTTCCCTGCTCCTCCAACGCACAGATCTTGCGTCTAATGAGCATAAATGTAAGATTGGCAGCGATGGCGCGTGCAGAGGCGGGCTGGGCAGCGTCGCCGATGATCTTGGTGAAGATGTCATACGCGGCTTCAGCGTCGCACGTAGCGGGTGTACCCGAGGCTAACCTAGAGCATGTAAACCCGAATCGCAAGACTGTCGTCAGATGCCACCAGGTCTTCGAAGACAATTCAAAGCAGACGGCAAGAGAATCACCGCAGTCCGTACTCCAGCATATCATCTGGGAGTTCCTTTTCCGCCCCAGCACGCACAGTCTCAGTAGTCCACCGCTCCAAACGCTCTTTACATTCGTTGACGCCTTGCTTGTGGAAAAATGACGACGATTTCCTTCCATAGGGACCTGGAGCTGTAGCCGGCTTGAAGCAGACGTGATAGAGGGAGACGTAATTCTCGAAGGCAAACTTGCGATCTTCCTCGAAGCGTTTCTTCATAAAGTCTTTGGATACAGGATATTTCGCTTCAGAGGTCGCCATTTGGGATGATGGTGGTACGAAGAATTATTTCCGTCTGTTCCGTCCTTCGCGACAACACGTGACGGTGATTCCATCCCCCATAATTATGGTCCCGGACTCCCATTCACAACCACGACCAGTGTAACTGTCCACGAATATCGCGATATCGGGAGCACTCTGAAAGCAGGCCCATCCGGCTAAGAAATATAAACGCCGTTCTCGTCAATTTTTGGAGGTTTTATGCGTAAGAGGGAGTCGTGCTGTCCTCGCTGCCAGTGGTGCCTAGTAGAGGTCCTTTCATGATGGAACCAGTTACCCCACTCGGAAGCTTTATGAGGCATCTGGCCCAAATCCTACAATATATCTGAGAGCCATGGGTGCTGAAGCAGTTCCTGCGTTGTCGGACGCTTTTTTGGATCCAGAGTAAGGATCTTCAGCTGAAAATCAGTGGCTTCAGGGGAAGGTCGCATGTTCTCTGGTAAAGCGTCGAAGAAAACACCCAAGTCGAGATGCTGATCATAGTCTTTGAACTCAGAATGTAATGTTCCGGTTGCGAATCGTTGAATATATGCAGCATACCGGGAGAGCCAGGAAGATACTCTGACTCACCGTCTGGGTTGAAGTATATCCCTCCCTTCTCGCTCGCTCGGACCAAATACGGAGGGAATGTGCCGAAAAACTGATACATATGAATTGGGAAGAAGACTTCTAGGGAGTCCAGATAGATGACATTGTCTGATAAAAGTTGATGGAGCTACAACAGGCGTAATCATACAAGCATGCACACCAAGAAGAGGGGACATACCAGGATTCCAGTACTCCAAATATCCGTCGAAGCATTCCATGGGGCACCGATGGATGCCTCTGGCGATCGAGTCAATGGACAAGAGATGGGGCGGGTGTTGTATTCGTATGCACTCTCCTCTGCTAGAAAAGCTGATGCCTTCGACTTGAATAATTTCAAATTCAAAGGAATGTACAAAATTGTGTTCACCGGTTCCAAAATCCATCAGTTTGAAGTGTATTTTCTTCCAGCCCTCAATGTCTGAAGGGTCGGGCAAGTTTGAAAATGCGGTTAATTCGGTAAGTACAACGGAGCTCCCATCTGGAGCAGGTACTTCGAATGAGTTAGGTCGCCCCAACGCGCTCGAAGCTGTGAGCTTATGATCAGAAGACGCTAGCAGATTTGATAGTTTGACATCTATGGCGGTTCGTCAGGACAAGACAGTAGACAATGTCAGAGAGCGTGAATGTAACCTGTATGGACAATTTTGCCTTGGTTATGACAGTAATCAAGTGCGCACAACAGGTCGTGCATTACCCGCTTCACAACGAACTCGGGGAGGTAAAACAATGTTGGATGGAAGCAGCTAGTAGGAATGAGAAACGCGCACATGTCGAGCGCTTCCGTGATAATGCAGAGATGTTCTCCGTAGCGACTCATATCCCGAAACGAGTCAAGGAGAGCAGGCGCGCATGAGAAGCCAGGGTGTGATCTGTCGCCATCTCGCAGTCGCTGCATAGCCGCAAGTTCTGCAGAGTGTTCGGAGGCGAGAGCTAAGCCGAATATCAGGGAGAAGCAGAGACGGAAAGAAGTCATACCCACCCGTCAGTATTTTCACAGCAACGCAGGTGTCTTCACTGTCGATAACTTTGAACATGCGTCAAGGTAGAGGAGACTCGGAATACGAACCTCGAGCTAGTATCTCGAGCGAGCCATACAGTTGACTGCTTGCCATGGCCTATCTTCGCTAGGACTTCATATCGTCTGCCCTTCAGATATTCCCCAATTGTTGTCGGGCGATAGCCGCCAGGCATATATGCTTCCAGAGGCTCTTGTCGAGAAAGCCATGCGGGGGTGTAAGCGGAAGAAGTCGATACCGTTTTGGAAAGATGACGAGGGCTAAAAGCGGCATGAGATAACTTTTTGCGCGTGGTGAATGCGGGAAGATGTCGAAGGTGTTGCTTTGTAAAAGAACCCGCAGTTACACGACTGGGCCTTCAGCTTCAGGTAGGAAATGGTGCATTGTTGTCGGTGAGAGCAAGAGTGATGGTGGGAAGATCGACTCGCCACTGATGCCCCTTTCTTTCCTCTTGCCACCATGTCCAGACAGCTTACTCCCAAGAACTGTTAAAGAAAAGCTGTGAGGACGACACCAAATTTGCCTTCGACCAATATGTGTCGATTTATCACGCGTGCTTCAAGCCTGCGGCCTCATCTTCTTCCCGTAGGCATTACACGAAAGAGTGCACTGAACGTCTGGACAGGTGGACGACGGCAAGGCTACGTGCTGGAGCATCGAACGAGCGCCCGGACGACATGCTCGAGTATGGGCTAAGGTGCGTGATTCTCTTCTTAGTTCTTACCTTCCTGCACTTGCTCAGCTCGTTATAGGTTAGCTACAGGCACTCGGGCTCAGTTCAACGAGACCACCGCCCTTACGCTCTTCTTGAAGGTCATGCAAGACCCAGTGCATCCAGAAAATGCACGCGCGATAGCTGCCAACCTCACTTGCACCCTTCTCAAGCGAGACATTCGCGTCGATGCCAAGGATGAGTTCGATGGTGCAAGGGCATTCTGCCTCGCGGACCTCAGTGCGATGTATGGGCTCTTCGCATGGTGCTCCCTGGATCTAATCCAAATCTACAAACGTCGTGGACACCCACCTGGGTGGAAGGCCGAGAGCTTCACGCACCTATGGAAGGCGTACGACGCGTATCAAGCTGAGATCGCCTCGGGACGCGTAAGGCCACCGTTTTGCGCCGTCTGTGCCACCCTTCCGTCGGCCACTGTCAGACTAAGGAAGTGCGCTGGCAATTGTGAAAGAGCGAGGAAACCATTATATTGTAGTCGCGCTTGTCAGAAGGAGGTATGTCCTCCACCATTGCCTTCCCCTTTCTCGCGTTTTAATCCCCACAGGACTGGCCGGAGCATCGCAAGTGGTGTATATCTGACGGTGGTGAAGAACCGACGATGGACTCAGACCATGATGACCTATATTGATACTAGTGATTAGGGAAATAGTAAAGATCTGACATCGACAACATCGAGGAAATATTGATTATTCTCCACTTCTCTCCATGACCAAACCGTCCTATTCCACTAAAGCACCTGGTCAACCGCGCATTAATCAGCCATGTTGTGCACAGATTCAAAGAGCTCAGAGGTCGAGTAGAATGACGCCATTCATGCACTCTGCGACAGGTCATGATCTATGTACTGAGAGACAGCGGGTGACAGTTGTACCTCTGGTGTCGCTGGTGCCCGCGAAACCCCATTCTTCTACCAAGAATATAAGCCTGATTGTCCAAAGTCTGAATTTTGACAAGAGCACGTACGTCTAAGTAGCTAGTAATGGCAATGTCCAGATAATAACATAGATTAGGATATTTCGCGTCAAATGGCATCGAAGAGTCCCGTAACTCTGTAGAGAATTCATCAGAGCGCGGGCAGCGTAGTAGCAGCTCCGCCAGATAACGCATGGCGATGATTTTTACAGGACTCAAATGCCCTTCATTCAGCATCCTTTCCCTAGAGTAAAATAAAATAAATGCTATGACGCCAAAGCGAACAATGCTCACTGGCGGGTTACTGTCTGCACAATCTGCCATGCAACTCCAAGCACCAAATCATCTCTATCTGAGATATACCGTCGGTGAACAAGGAGAAAAAAGGCACGTAGCATTCGACTAAACAAGGGTGAATATGTCGTGCTCCAAGCGCTCAAAGCTTGTTCCAGAATGATGTGGGTGACCATAGGTCCTTGACGAGAATCAGTAAAAGAATCGTTGCCCATATCACCCCACAAATAATCGAACAGCTGTCCATAGATTACAAGCGCCGCCAGTTCGACGCCCGATTGCGTGAGGAAGGAGGGGTGGTGGAATATTATGTCGGCACTGAGGGCAAGAGATTCGGCCTGTCCATCGCGAAGCTGATCTACAGGGGTATCGTTTATAGGGCGGTGGACCAACTTGCTGAAGAAGAAGTGTGCAAGGCGCTGTTCATACAGCTCAATAACATCGGCATATTTGTCCGAAGGCTGGACCATCAGCCAGGCAAAAAAATTGGGGAGGGCTGATAGTTGTTGGTGCATGTAAGGGATAGAGGAGCAAAGATTAAGGAATGCCTCGATATCGAACCCAGCTAGTGCCTGCAGAAGGTCTTCGGTTGCGGATGATTGGGAGCATTCACGCAGAAGAAAACGACGGGCAATCTGTTGGGGTCTGCTGAGAGCTAAACAAATAGCAGTATTAATATTCGGAGGATGTAATGTAACAAGCGCTGACCAACCTTTTTTATTCTCATAGTTGTCGAGCAATGCCTTGAGATGTCGAATATAGTGCCTGGAAAAACGGTTATGTGCCTGCGAGGGGTCGATAAAGAATTCCACCGAACGCTGCTCGTCAAGAAGAAAATCACTGAGGGAGGCATGAAGCAGTCTAAGTTCCCCTTCTTCGCCGTCTGGTGAAGGGACGTATATGATCGAGTGCATGCCAGCGAGGACCGTGTACACTTCACCATATTTGTAGAAAAAGAGGATTTCGATCATGCTTGGAGACCGAGGGAAGTCAAAAGATGACGTGAGCGTGAGCAGGCTGAGAATTTCGAGCACTTTCTCGATGTCGTACACAGATGATAGGATGTGGTGGTAGAGGGTATCAAGTTCGGTGAATGGCAAAACTTCAGAATCCTCTTCGTTGTCGTGACGTGGTTGCGAGAGCTCGAAAATGATTCCTAGGCGGTCCTGAGGTAGATGGTTGGGAGAGTCAACAAATTTCATGACCGTGGAGGCGTAGATAAATTGGCCCGAGGCCTTCCTGACAAGCTGTTGTATCTGCTCTTCGTATGGCCATGTCTGAGGGAGCTGAGGGCCGGAGGGGTGATTCTTCCTAATCTCTGCAAAACGGGACTCCAAGAATATCTTGATGTCAGCGTCGGGGCGGCACGAATCATCTAGCACGATGGTCTCGACGGAAGGGTCGAAGTCACGAAAGGTGTTTCGGATAGGAGTTTCTGGACGACTGGCGATGAGGAATATGAGAGGATACGGCGAATCTTTCGAGGCCGCGCTGAGCACTCGAAGTATCTCCTGCTGGGATTTTGTGTCGACGCACTCATCGAGCCCATCAATGATGATGAGACGGGGTCGCCGGTGAAGCCTCGAAGCCACAATCTCGTCTTCGCACACCTCGTTCAAGGTATCGACAATAAGGGTCTGAATCTGGGTTTCGAGAGACGAGGAGACGATCATCGGGTCGAGATCGAGCACGTTGCCAATGTACTCTCTCAGCTCCGGGATGGACATGGTGATCTGGTGGGCGAGCGTCGTGGCGAAGCGGCTCTTGTCGTTACGTCCAGCAGCAGACCGGGAAAAGAAGAAGCTGGCGGCCAGAAGCTTCAATTTCTGGCACAACTCCGCGGTCGTCTGTGCGATAGCTGACTTGCCTGAACCGGCAGGGCCATACAGCCACAGGAAACGAGAGAGCTTATCGGTGTCCTGTATCCAGTCCATGATCTTCCTGATCACTGCTTTTCGAGTTTGTGGGTGGCATTTCGGTGGGTCATAGCGTTCGGCAGAATTGTGGGCGGCACCTGGGGCAACGTGCTCGCGCAGGGTCCTCAGTCCTGCAGAGAAACGGAAGGAATTGAACTTTTGCTAGCGCTAAAAGAGGAGTCGCGATGCGGACCTTCCCGCCAGACTTGACTGCTTGAGCCGACTGAAGAGGATGAATGTGCGTGGAACTCTCCTCCGTAAATGACAGTGTTCTTAGCCCCCGTAAACATGGACATCGTCGAAGTGCTGAAGGGGCATGCACTAATGGGAGTTGCACATCGTGTCGATGAGGTGACGGTGAGAGTTGGTGGTGGCTTTTGAACTCAGGTTCGTGAGAACAGGCGCTTACGCTTTTGCAATGCCAGATTTAATGACAAGTAAACTTAATGCAAGTGACCAACAGAACACTTCCATTGCGGGTTTTGTCCTTTAACTATAGATCTGGAGGCAGGATTCAGTAATAATGGCGACTATTCTACTCATCCAACTAGATTCCTCCATCGGATATGACCATCACAGAGCTGTTTACAAATGAGAGAATGGGTGAACCAAAATCACGAGGTGCATTGCTCTACATGCAATCAGACATCGTAGATGTACCGCTATATCAATTCCGCGAAAGATGGTAATAGATCGAGTTCTCGGATGTCGACGCCTGCAAAGTCTCGGTCCTTGACGCGACGAGACTCTAGCTCGCGCTTTGCGAGCCACAGATGTAGCAGGTGGATGCAGTCCTTGGCCTAACGAAATAAATAGTGAATCAGAGGAGCGAAACAGACAGAATAGCAAACATACCACCACGAAGAGTCCAAAGCCAACAGCATTGCGCCACCTAAAAGCAAAAGTCAACACAATTCCCGTACTATTAAAGGGCCTTGAAGTACTGACCAAACGGGATCACTGTCCACCCACGTCCTCGATCCACCAAGAAACGCCGACACCAGGATCTTCAACCCAACCCGGGTCTGCTGAAACACACTCAGCTGCTTCCAGGGCATATTCAACTCCTTCTCCTCGGGGAACAGCGCGAGCCTGCCCCACGGTGGAAGGGGGAGCAGCCCAGTTGCCTTTCGTCCGCGAAGGCCTAGGAACGCTCGCAATAGCGATGAGCGCCTGGACAGACGGAAGAGGAGCGTCCCCATCGTGCTCGCGATGGCCGGAATGATGAGGGCTCCACCAATCCGCCGCCCGAGAGACGACGCGTTGATCTCGATGAGCTGCTCGGCTGCTTGCACGGCTGCAGCGTTAGGGTCGGCATTGGCATCTTGCCCCCCAGCGGCAGCACCATCTTGCGCTGGCGGGGCTGGTGCTTCATCAGCGGGATGGCCATCTTCTTCGTCTTGTCCTATCTCGTGGCCCTCGTCGTCGACCGCCCGAATACGGATGATTAGTGGCCCCTCGTTGAATCGCAGTCCTGGTCTCGCACCCCTCCTCTGCGTTGGCATCGGTGTGCCCAAAAGCTTGTAGTACAGGTTCCCAAAACAATGCCGGTAAATGCTCCGTACGATTGGCACTCCAACTACCCCGAATAGAATCGGTGGTGGCGGCCAGTAATACTTGGGAAGGAGTCCGTCTCGTATGCGGCTTGAGTTCTCTGGTTTTGACCAATACTCGAACAATCGTCTGCTGCGCTCACCCACGGGGGGTGCTGGCGGCCACACGAGGAGGGAGGGTATAACCATCGAAGATGTGCCCGATGTAAAGCGGGAAAGGATGAGTGATATGGGTAGGAGAGGTAGGTTGATGTATGCGGACCATGTCCAGTTGATTGGGTCGTCCGTAAGGATGAGGTCAAACATCCTGGAAGGTATCAGATTGAGGTTGTGCATGATGCATTATACGTACTCTTTCCCGATGAATTGTTCCACCGCCCACGCTCCGTATGCCGTTAAACACACATACACGCCTTTCAACCGTCAAAGGGAGAATATTTGAGAATGCAGCATCACTCACTCGTCCCAACGATACCCACAGCCGCAGCAGCTCCAAACACAGTGAAGTACCTCCCAAATCGCTGCAGCACCTGGTTCCCACTTGCCAGCACCCGTAGAATCACTGGCTCGTCGCTTTCTATCTCGTATTGAGTGCCGCACTGGGGACACTTGAGGGCATTTGGCGCGCGTGAGGGGTTGCTTTGTGAAGATTGAATCCATTTAAGTAGACAGTCTTCATGTGCGATTAGGGTGCAGTTACAAGGATGGGTCCAGGCTCGTGGAGGGTTGTCAGAAGCTGATGAGGCAGTCAATTATTGCTCAAGAACGGCGCCGAGCATGCTCACGTTGGTCCGCTCTTTCTTCTTCCCTGCAGATATAGCATAATTTCACCTAGATGAGAGTCAGAAATCCGTCTAATGGCACTTCAATCGATGAGACGAACACGGAGATCGTTGATTGTCGGAACTCGAGTAGTTGACATTCGTCGTCAATTATTGGCGTACAAAAGCGTTTCAAGAGTGCTCCTGATACCAAAATGTCGTGTCGAGAGTTGCACTGGTCGTGGTACAGGATGAAAGAGAGGCGCCGGCATGTGGGGATGCCCGTCACGTGTGGCGTGCTCAATCAGGGCCCTACTAAGTAACACCAAGGAGATAGTAGGTGCTTACTTGCTTTCTTACCATCACCATCTCAAATGGCCACCGATGACAAGAAATCAGCTCTACCGAAGGACTTCATGAAGAAATGCTGCGAGGAAGACCCCAAGTTTGCCTTTGAGCAAGATGCTTCCCTTTATCACGCTTGCTTCAAGTCTGCTACAGCTCCAGGTCCCTATGGACGGAAAGCATCTTCGTATTTCCACAAACAAGGTATCAAGGAATGCAATGAACGTCTGGAAAGATGGACGACGGAGAAGGTGCGTGCTGGTACTGCGAAGGAACGGGCGGATGATACGCTGGAGTATGGGCTACGGTATATCTATCATCGTCATCATCTTTCACCATCTGAGGACAGTCTTGCGTTAATTACCTGCAGGCTAGCTTCAGGTGCACGCGTGTCGTTCAACGAAGACGCCGCCTACGACATCTTCACCAAGCTCATCGCCGACGATGCCCAGCCCGCCTCCGCGCGAGCAATCGCCGCCAACCTCGCCTGCACGATTCTCAAACGCAAGCTCCTACCCTCAGAAAAGCAGCCCTCAGCGGACAAGTTCGACTTGGGCAAAGCTTTCGCGCTGATGGAGATCAGCGCCATGTTCGGGCTCTTTGCGTGGTGCGGGCTGCACCTCATCCAGCTGTGCGAGCGTCAAGGTGACGCACCGAATTGGGAGCGGATCGCCATGCCTCATCTGCGGAAGGCATACGATACTTTCCGCGAGGAGACGGGTACACAGCGCATGATCTTCGATTTGTGCTCGGTGTGCAATAGGGCGCCTCCACCAAGGGTCAAGATGAAGAGGTGCAGCGGTCATTGTCCAGAGGACAAGAAACCTCTTTATTGTGGACGCGCGTGTCAGAAGGTGGTACGTTTCCTGCTGATATATCTGGGGAGGCTGTTATTTCTACTTTACCAGGACTGGCCAAAACATCGCAAATGGTACAAACCAGAGGAAAGTAGCTCGGATAGTGACGAAGAGTGGACAACAGACTCGGATCGCGAGGATTGGGAGTATAGTTCGAAAGATGACCTTTGATCGTCATCCTCAAATCTGTTGTGTTGTCGCTATGTGATGACTTGCTGTCGAAACATGTAGATTGGATTATACAACGCGATAGTTGAGGGAGATGTTGTCCGGAAGGGACCATGATTGCGACAATCTCTGCTTCCATTTTCCGAATTATCCCCTCAGCGTCTTCACATGAGTAAGGGAAGACGCAAAGTGGTGCATCTGCGATGGTTGTTTCTGAGTCCTATTTTTAGCCGAACCACACTCGGGCGTTTCTTCCCTGTCGCAGTAAATTCCACCACTTATCCTTAGTAGTACTATAGTTACGTCTCTGTGGTAATCAAAATATTGGCGCTTCGACTGGCAAGTGACATCCTGCAGCATCAACCCAGTGCTCATAGATATCCACAAAGATATAACTTCCTCTGAAGCTTGCAGGCACTTTCTAACTTAAAGGTGTATATATTCTGAAGCTCTAGCTTTAGAACACTCCCTTGTTCTTGTCGTTAGGCATAATCCGTTCCCTGTGCTTGATTTCTACTATATGGATGACTGGAATTATAGTTATTATATGACATGTCTTCCTCTACTGTATCAGTTGTTATCAACTATTCCTTCAACGTTTGGATGGCCACTGAGGAGCGCAAATATTTAGTAACATATAAAACAGAAGAGAAATAGAACATACCCTCCCCATTGCGTAAGCTTCAACACCAGTTGCATCCTTTCCGGTCGCGCATAGCCCACTGCTGTTGGACGACCCAACACCCATTTGTATAGGTAAAGGGTTCTAGTAAAGCGACATCAATGACCACCAGAGGAGCGCTGAGAGTGGCTGCGTACTTCAAAACCCAGGTGGGCGTACAGGTCTCGCGACTTCGCGGTGCTGGCTTCGAGGCAGAACGTGGCTTCGGGTGCATCTGCGAATGCATCACGCATTAGCTTGGACATCAGGCCTAAGGAGAAGTTAGACAATGAACAATGGAGCAAAAGCTACATGTGGCTGACCTCTGCCTTGATAATCAGGATCGGTGAAGATTAGCTGGACATACCAGGCTTCCGTGGGGGACTCCTGCACGCCCTTTTCTTCGAAGCACCTCTTCATCTTCTTCTCGCAGCCATTTTGATACTCGATCGACATTTTCTGTTTGAGCCATTAGTAATGAACGAGAGTGAGGGGACCGACGAATACGCACCCAGAGCCCTGCGAGCCCCCATTGCTTCAAAACACTCCCAAAGCCAGATTTAAACAGTAAATGAAGCCTCCACGCAGCCATTCGCTTTCTGGGAGGCATCAATAGCGCGCCGCCCGCGATACTACCATTATTCGCTGGGTCGACGACGACCGAGACGCGTCCGCCTGCGAGGAAGCATGATTTGGCCAAGAAATAGAGGAATTTTCCTCGTCTACGATATTCCTCCGCGTCCACCTCCGGGTCGATGAACTGCAGAAAAAAAGGTAATCAGATTACCAGAAAGTCGGACACAGAGTTAAACAGTGCCAACCGACCTGCTTGAGATTCGCGAAATAGTTGAACACCGGGTCGTGCAAGAACGCCCGATTGGCAGCCTGGACAAATTCGTCAAGGTCGTCTAGAGTCGCAAGCCGCACGTAGGGTGTCGCCGTATCCGTACTCTGATCAGGGGGCATGTTGAGAGTTGGTTGATACTCGAAAATATGTACGAGGCAACTATAAGAAGTTCTTTTGCCTGTCGGATAGAGCTGAGCCGACCGCAGCCAAGAGTAGGAGCATCCCAAAAGCCGTAGACTACGCAAGTTTTGGCGTTTGAGGAGGACTGGGGATGATTGATGAGAGTGTCTGGATCCTTTCCACTGAGCTGTGGAGCTGTGCTCGGTTCGACGGCTAGACGCTCTCAGCGCTGAGTTGATGATGAATCGATGACTAAGGCCTCGGCAAATCGCGAAAACTATGCGATCTCTTCGGACTCCGGAGTCCGGAAATCTGAGAACTGATCGCATACGTGAATTGGAAACTGCGGCGCTCGTTTGTTCCACCTGTATCGAGTCCGGAGGGGTCCAAGCACCGTTGTTGTCGCAGAAACGGCCTTGCGTGCGAGCGCCTGGCCGGACACTAGGTTCCAAACGACCAGGTAAAAAAAAAATAAGTCAGCACAACATGGGTCTGCACTAACCACACCCAGCCTAGTCAATATACTCAGTTGTTGTCGAGCAATCGCTCACTGAGAGTTACGCTACTGTCTCCGAAACGCGCCTGAAAAAGAGTCTCTCTTGCTAATTCTGAAAACAGGAAAAACTGGCGCACCATCAATTTGTGAATCAGACTGTTGGTCTGCGAGAGGCTGGTGCGAGAGACAAGTCCATGATTCCAATTCCAGCCAGGAGGATATTCGCACATTCCTGTGACATTTGACGAGCTGGTCATCGCGGGTGTTACATAGATTCGTTGGAAAACGGGGTTGATCCAGACAAGCAGTCGCAAATCGTCGGACTCGATGTCGGAGTCCGCCATCGGGAGACTAACGTCCTTTACTAACCAATCTGCTCTCTTGTAGCTGGTCGATTTATTTGTTTAATATTTCTTATTAGACACTGGTTTTCTGACTTCAAGGTTCGACTTGAGGCGCATCTACTTACATAAATCAGTATGTGCACCCAGGACCCGTAAAGGAAAGGCGTACCCTCATTTGGGCGGACAGTCAACATGAGCACCTGCCGTGGTGTACAGTCAAACGATTGCATAGCAATAAGCCGACAACGGCACATAAGCATATATTGAAACGAGATTACGGATCTATGTACAAGGGAGCAACATAGCGTAACAAGAGCTGGACTTCGCGTCGCAGCACATTCATTTTGGTGGATCAAAGACAGAAGAACAGAACAATGCTCATAAGAAGGCGCATGGACAATGGAACGAAGAATGGCACCAAGAAACGAAAGAAAACGACTCAATGATGATCATAGCGAGGAGGGGACTGGGCCCTGTCCTTGTCTTTCCCACTTTCGCCATCCTTTTTTCCGTTGAGCTCTGCGGGGGGAGGAGTCCGCCCGCGGTCGCGATCCCTGTCTCTGTCGTCTCGTCGGCGGTCGGGAGATGGGCTTCGACGTTTTTCAGGCGACCTGCTTCTTCTTCTCCTGTCGTCCCTGTCCCTGTCCCTATCGCGGTCGCGGTCATCGTGGCGGCGTGGGCTGCGAGAGCGTTCGCGGTCACGATGACGATCGCGACGAGGCGGAGAGCGTCGTTCGTAGCGCCAAACCGACGAAGGAGGGTTCTTGGCCCACTGTTGGCAAATAAGAGGCTGTCTAAACACGTGAAAAGGAGACGGTTACTTGGATGCTCAGGCGGGAACCTTCGAAGTATCGACCGTGCCTACCACGGTTTAAAGTTAAAGTTAGAAATAGCATTCAAAGAACGAAGTTCCAACGTACATGTCGTAGTAAGCATCTTCCGCATCACGGGTGCTTCTGAACTCGACAAATGCATAGCTACGAGGGTGGTTCGAGGCGTTGAGCGATCGTGGTTCGACAAAAAGTGGTATCGAGCGGCGACGCAAGTCGAGGCAAAAAATCGAAACATCGTATATCGACAACTCGCAGATTCAACGGGCGGCGCAGCAGGCAGGCGTGAGCCAATCACGAAGGACGAAGACGTTCGACACGCTGGACTCGATGCGACCTCGGCGACTTTCTTTTCCGACTTCGACCTCGAAAAGATGTAAGGCGGTAAGAATACTTACGGGTTGTGAGTGGCGTGAGGGTTCCTGGGCGCAGGAACGTCGCAACGAACCAGCGGGCCAAACCTGAAAGAAAAAAGCCCATTATGAACATGACGAAGGCAGGTCTGTCGAGAACTCTGTCATACCTCTCAAATTCATACGCGAGGTCGCGGGCACGTGTCGCTGGATGAAATCCACTGACAAAAAGGATGCGGGGCATCGTCGCGGTTAGGGTTGAAGCCAATGCTTCGGCGCCGCCCTTATATGAGCGCGCTTTTGTTTGGCCTTGTTGTCGTTGTGGCGCCGTGAACGACTTGCCATTGCCCTGTTCTTACCCTCCAGCACCTCGAAAACCATAGATTGGGCACTCAGGCGCCTCCCAGGTAAGCAACCTGCCATCATTGATACAGAAAGCTCATACTTGTGCAGATGACGCCGTAATTTCGCGTATGCAAAGAACTGCCTTTCGTTTTGCGAAGCATGTACCACGTATTTTCGGCACGCGTATACTTTCGACCTCTCTCCGTCGAACAGATACCGCTCGGCCTATCAGAACGAAGCATTTCGTTCAATCTTTCTACAGGGAGACTCAGGACCCTCTATGGCGCGTCGTGGATGCACTGAGGTCTCTTGCAGGCCGCCGCGAAGAGTTGCCAAAGGGCCCAGTGCCTGAAGAAGAGTTGGCGGAATGGGAGCCCGTTATCTCTCATCTGGATATCGGGGTGGCCGTTTCTCATCTAGAGCAACTTGGATACCCAGTTAGACCTCAACTCAACCCAGAAACCAACCGTTCGTTGACCGGAAGACAAATTCCAACCTGGGTTATCCTTTACCTCGTTGGCTACAAGGTTCGGACGTCAGCACATGCTCAAGGACCGTTGTTGGATTTCGTCTACAGTCAGCTCGATTCTACGCCGGTCGAAATACACGGACCCCTCCTCATTCTTACCACCTTCAGCCTCGCTCGTTTCAACCTTCTTATCCCCACCCGACGCGTCCTCGACACCTTCCTCAACACCCCTCTGCTTCAAGATCCTGGCCTGCAATTCAACCTTCTTCTTCAAGCTCTTTCATACATTCAGCACCGATCGGCGGAAAATGCGAACAACGTCGTTGCCATTCTCAAGGCTATGGAGGCGCGTCAACTTAAGCTGCGATCTCAAACGTATGAAGCCCTTCTCAACGACCGCTTCGTCACGTTGCAACTCACTAAGTTCCTCCACCAACGAATGATACAAGAAGGTTTCGTGCCAAGTGCAAGCCATCTCGAGGCGTACCTCCGCATATTCGCGAAGAATGGTATCATTCATAATGCGCAACAATATTTCGAAATCATCCACGCAACAACTAAGGGACCACCATCAGATGAGCATGCAGCGGAAGACCCTCGTTTGCGAGCGAACACTCTTCTCCTCAATGCCCTTGACAAGCGTGCATCCGCCTTCGAGTTCCTACGCTCGATGAAAGACGCCAACTCCGAACAGGCCACCTCTTCCCATCATCCCGCTGCCCGTCGAGAAGTTCGCTTTGTTCACAAGACCAAGGCCGATATATACGAGGAGACTGCTGCTCTCAACGTCGCAGCAAAGGACCTATCAACATCGACCGCCCTCCTGTTGAAGCTGTTCCAGGGCATAAAGTCGACGCGTTCTGCAGCCACGTACACAGTCCTCGTTCAAGGCCTTCTGCTGCGCAGAGAATTCACACGAGCCCAGACGTATTGGAACAGGCTGGCAATGTCTGGTGTGGGCCTCGATAACCATTCTTTGACAGCAGGGCTGCAGGCGTACATTCGAAGCGGAAAGCCCGACATCGCCTTCCAGATCCTCGAGACGTATGCTTTGAAACCAGGACAAGATTTCTCGCGCCCAAAGACCAAGCTGCCTTCGGTTCGGTTAAACACAGTGTCGATGAATGAGTTCCTCGTGGCTCTCAAACGCATCAGCCGTCCAGATGCTGTCTTTCGTCTTTGGGATTACATGGGCACCCTTTATGAAGTATATCCGAATGTGCAAACGCTGTCCATCCTCCTGCAGTCCGCCCGACTCGCTTTTCGGATGGATGACACCCTTTCTGGCGCGCTTGCCCATCTGAAGCTCTTCAATCCCTTCAAGCGCCGTCAAGCTCCTAGTCTCAAGGTTTCGCGTGATGAAGCTGTCGCGGCTATTGTCTCCGTCTTGGGCCACCCCAAGCAAGACAAGGTCGATGGATATAAGTCAGGTATCTGGCAAGAGCAACTGCCACTCGAGTTCGCTCGCAAGGTCTTCCTTCAAGCTCTTTTCGGGATGGACACCAAAGGCCGGCTCGCAGGGGTTCGTTCTCCTGCAAATGCTATCCGCGACTCGTATGAAGACGATGCGAGTCCAGGCATCGGGTTACCTCGCCTTGGCCCTAAGGAATATGTCTTCGAGCCGCCGTCCGATTTACTCTCCCCTGCTGGCAAGAGTCACTACCCCCACATCGTCGTCAGCAACGCGAACTGCTTCAACTACATCACGCTTCTCGGCGTAGGTAGTCGCGCAGCGGAGATCCCACTCGTGCTAGCGTGGATGCGAGCCCTGGGGCTGCAGCCTTCCAACTCAACGCTCGCCGTGGCTCTCGTGTTCTGGGCCGAGGTCAGCGTGCAGGCGCCGCTCGTAGAGAAATGGTCTGGCGGCCCGGAGAAGAACGAGTATGCGAAGCTGGTGGATTGGCTCCGGGATTGGGTTGGGGAGAGGAGGCTGCCGCATTGGCGTACGCTCCAGAAGTGGCAGGGTATTGTGCATAAGATGCGGACAACCACCGGAGAGGTCAAGGTGGACGGTGGAGCAAGTACTCAGGGAGGTAAGGGGCATTGGTATAGGCCCAAGAGGCCCATACGTCGCTACGCTACTGGAGCTCGTCGCACTAATCGCGAATCGGAGTAGCTTATGGAGCTTGTCTTGAAGCCTGTTGTGCCTTCGGGTGAGTCAAATACGATTGAATCAACAAGTCCCTGGAATGCAGATGCAAGCCTTTGTAGCATAAGCGGCGTTTTTCGAAGCCTAACTATGATAGAAATCCAATCTGGCTTCGTCCGGCAAGTTTATCGGAGGTCCAGGAGCGAGCCTTATAATATGCCTGCGATGCGACCATTCCTCTGATCGCCCACCATGTTCCCTCAGGAAATTGTCGACAACATTGTCGGTGCTGTAACAACCGACCCCGTCAACGCCGACTCGCGCAAGGCCTTGATAGCCTGCACACTTGTCTCTCAATCGTTCAGCCATCCGGCCCGAAAACTTCTATGGTCCGAAGTGGACTTGTCGACACTGGCCCAGAGGTGCGACAGCGCCCAAGTTCGTAACCGCGTTCCCGAGTTTTGCACCCTCCTCAAGGATCCCGCCGCCAGCTTGTTGCCTTTGATACACTCACTTCGTATACGTGCTCCCTACTTGGAACGTATGCTACAAGTCTGTCCGGAGGTGTTAGAGGTTTTCGCCGCCTCGAACTTGCAAAGCGAAGTCAGAGTAGAGACTATTACGCTCGAGAGCGTCGAACTGCCAATCAGCGTCGAATATTTATGGGACAACATGGATTGGTGCGAGGAGGCACTGATGGCAAAGCTTTTCCAGCTCCCGAGTCTCAAGCATCTTCGGTTCTCTCATCTGGCCGGCGTTCCCTTTTCCCTCGTTGTGGATTGCCCCTCCCTCCGATCCCTCGAGGCCATCCATACGTCCTTCACATTCGCTCCCCGTTCGACTCCCGGACTTCAAGCCATAACACAGCGCCGAGCTCTAAACCTCAATTATTTAATGCTCCACGAGGTGAAGCTTGCTGGATATGGAGCATATAGTCCAGAGATATTCGCCAAAACCGTCACGGACTTGAAAGCCTCCATCCTCCTACCGTCGGACGCAGCTGCTATGTGGAAGCTCCTACAGCGAAGTTCGTCCAACCTTCAATCTCTAGAGCTCCTGCTTCGCATGGACGCTCGCTTCCTTGCCCAGAGTCCCATCAATCTCGGAGAACTTCACGCCCTCAAACATCTCACCCTCCGCATCCAAACGGGCACGCATTCCCAGATGCCGCCGGTCGACGACATCTTCAGCCTGCCCATTCCTTCTACCTCCCACTTTACCCTTAACACACTCGACATCGTCATAAATGCTTCAGTCACCTCCGTCGAAGTGCGCTCATTTCTCGACCTACAACAAGATGCATGGCGTGCTTTATCCCCCAGTACAGTTTCCAGGAGATCTCCCGCTCTCAGAAAAGTCACGGTGCATATGGTCATGATAACGACCAAGTACCCGAGTGACGAAGAGGAGGGTCAAGGAATCCAAGAACTGTTGGAAAGCAAACTTCGATCACTTATATTCGACTTGGAGGACACCTCTTGCAGTCTTTCTTTTGATGTTTCGGTCGCTTTCCGCAGCCCCAAGCGCAGCCACTACTTTCGAGATTGACACACGTACATACTTCGCTTTCCACCCGCTTTCCACCTTGGGCATCAATGGTGGTCGAGACCAACCTTATAGCCAGCCATTTTAGAAACTGCGACTGCTAGAATAGAGGACTCGACATAAGGCAAATACTTGTGTGTCAACGATTTGAATTCGGTTCATCGGTCACGTCTGCTTCCCAACTACCCCACCCTGACTTGCAGTTTCAGCGGTAATTCTCCTTTTAACATGACAAAGTGGTCGAAAAGCCCTTCCTCCCAGTGCGCATGGTCGTATCCATCCGCGAACGACATGTCGAAGGTACGCACAAGCAAGCACGTTATGTACCGCAGCTCCATCATTGCGAGCGGTTTCCCTGGGCAGTTCGCAGGTCCAACAGAAAAAGGGATGAAGGCCGCTCTATTGAGCATGAGACTGGGATCCTTGCTTATCCACCGGTCTGGCCAGAATTCGTCTGGGCGAGGAGAAAAATATCTCGGATCGCGATGGAAGATGTAGGGCGAGACTTGAACAGCGGTACCTTCGGGGATGAACCTTTGATCATGAAAGTTGGGTGTGTGTAAGTGAGGTGCGGTTGCTTGCTCAGAGGCGACTTACAAACCAGGCGCCAGCAGCTTGCCTCCACTTCCGAGGGCTGGAGCGCGTTGGAGGCTGCTCGCGATAGGCGGTTGGAGGCGAAGAGCCTCGTTCCTATACAACAGAGCGAATCAGCAGAATGACATGTCTATGTCAGGACATACGCACACGACACCATTCAACAAGGGTAACGCGCCTAAAGAGTTCACGTCGATCGCTTCGTTCAGGACAGGGCTGGGGTAGGCATCGTCGATTTCACTACGCAGTCGTACGAGGTATTCAGGATTTTGGAGGAGGTAGTAGACGATGTTGCACAGGACGGAAGTGCTGGTGTCCGACCCTGCTACGATGGCAAGAAGTGCGTTTGATGTGATCACGGGAATAGGATTGGCCATTGCATTTGGGTCATCCTCGATCTATGATTCTCTGAATTAGCGGGCATAAAACTGCAAGTACAATGTGCTCTCACCAAGTAATGAAAAAGGTCTTTACGCTTCAGAGTGTCCGAGAGCGCCGCCCGCTTTTTGCCTTGCTCTAGTCCGAATTGCCCGAACTTCCGGGAGTCTTTGCCAAGGAAGGGCAATTTACGCATTATTTCTTGGAGCCACGGAACGTGCTGCGAGACGCTTGGAGGGCTCAAAAGTCTAAATTCTTTGTGAAATTTACCCAGCACCAGATTCACTCACAAAATGCCCCTTCTAATTGTCCTAAGAATGCCGTCCCGGTCTCCATCTACCAGGAACGAGTACACGCCACCAAATCTTCAAGTAGAGTATCAGGTCGAGATCCTAAAGCGAGCCGGTATGGAATCACTCTTACGCTAGATCGCCAACAACGTCGAAGCTGGCGAATTCTTGAAGGTTCAGCAAGAGTTCCTGCCTCCGAGCAAGCGAACATACGCAAGGTAATTAATCCACAGGGCAATGTCTACTCGTTGTGCAGCATTCGGAGTCTGCAGGACCTCCTTCAACTTTGTCACGAACTGTTCAGAACGGGCGATCAGAAATTCTGTATAGTTTGCAACGGCTGCTGGTTTAAACGCTGCGTTCCATGGTCGCCGAAGCTGTGCATGCCGCCGAAGGTCTCGAGTAGAGGTGAGATGGTCATTGAGTTTTCGTTTCTTGGAAGGGACGCTTGATCGACCCTCCCACACTGCAAGACTACATATCAGATGGCTTCCAAGGAGAATGTGAATGAGTGTGTAACCCACTTGGGCCTTTGGGCATCCCAGATGTCCCCAAGATGTTTGGAAGCATGTCCACTTCCGCAACAGAAATCTCATTAGGACCTGACAAATTGAATTAGTCGGTTCGTTGCAAGAGCATAGGCATAGGTCAGACGTTGGTCACTCACCGATTCGAACAATCGGCCCGTAGACGTCGTGCAGTGACTTGTAATAGACGTGTGGTTTGCCTTGCCATGCAATGTACGCGCCCCAGAGTTTTGTGGCCTTACACTGCCAAGGTCCAGGATAGCATGAGAGCGGGTGAAAGGGAGACAGGCGATAAACAAGAATAGAGGAAAGTAGGGTGACAACAAGGGTGACAAAACTGGTTCCGACCGCTTTCACCAGCGAATCAAAATGAGGAAACAGTAATAATAATGCCGATGGAGCTGAAAGGCCGATCAGGATAACGAATACAGCCGAAATTGATTTGGGTTCGTGTTTCTTGAACCAAAGGTGCAATGCCTATAAGAAGAGTGTTTCGTTCAGTGCTATTCATATGCTGGCTTTGTATCCCAGTATCGTACCACCGCAAGAGAGATCTGGATTATGAGTGCTTCCTGGACAGGAGCAGATACTGCCATGGAGAAGACGAGGAGCAGATGGCTGTCTGAGGGTTTCGAAGCTCACAAAGAGGGCGCCGGACTAGAACCTTTATAGCCAGCACAAGACAGTATAAAAATAGATCCTTGTGGATAACTCGAACCACTTTGTTGTTCGGTTCGAATTCGTCTTGGAGGTAAACCGTAAGCTGTGTTTTCTCGCTCTAGCGATTCTGAATAAATACTCGTGCCAATGGCCGCCGCGTCTCCACTTGATCTTGAGTAACTGTGCTTCCTGAGTGCTGGAGGAATCGAGCGCACTACTGAGAGCTCAGTTAGAGGAGCTGTGGCGAGGTTCAACATTGGTCGTCACTGTGACTGTCACAGCCGGAGTCAGAGCCGCCGCATTTGGGTCAACGATTTCCAACCTTGGAGTCGGACTCGGCAGGGATGAGACTAGGGCGACACGGGCGAACCCACAAGCAGCCCACAATTCCGAGTGGGTGATGACTGTGGGTGTTCTGAATTTCCACACAATTAAGTCTCTTCTGTCTTCCTGACTTAATCGGAAAACCTCCCACTGGCAGCTGAGCTACTAGCTCTGAGATCATCCGGACACTACATAACTACGAGAGAAACTCGCCGCCAATCCTCCTCAGGAGGTCCTGGTGCAAATGGTAACGGATAAACAGCCAAACCACTGAGAAGACAGAACTTCCCATGAAGCTTGTCTCGCCATGTCCTCTATTTATGGGATTTCACCCTAACAACTAGCCAAGGCCTAAAGTGCTTAGTCGGAGAGCGACTGACAATTCAGAGTTTGAAGCTTCATCAGCGACATATTGGTGTTTGCCGGCTGTTTCTTTTGAAATGATGCGATGGAAACCTCTACACTTAGATTTTGGTTTTATTTCTTCACGTTACACTAATCTGCGCATTCAACCCGCACGGGCAGCCCACGCATGCTTCTCTCGCTTCTTCAAGCTTCTGCTTCTCATGATGAAGAGTGTATGCATTTTCCTGCCACATTCAAAGCGTAGATCAGTCAACGGTGGACAATCATTCTGCTTGAGTGGGCCCTCCCACACGGGTATGTGGGTGGCTGCCTACTCTGGTCCAACTTCTCTTTCCGCAAGAGAATGATTGATCACTATTGCGATCTAGGTGGGCTCAACTGCCAGCTATGCCACTAACAATTCCTGAGGTGTTTCAAGAATCTCCATAGGCTTGATTTATGAATGGGCACTGATCTGTCGAAACAAATTGATGTGATATTGTACTATCGGATGCCATGGACTATTTTTAACTGCTTACAAGGCGATCGGACTGCTGGGGGATACTTAAGGACGGAGTGACACAAATACGCTCGCCGTCTTCCCCGCATCATCGACCCGCATATTCGCTCCAACCTCCTCGCCTCGAAGTCCTCGATAATTGCCATTGATGGAACTTATTGACTTCAACAGATTTGTGTGGCGCACTGATGACAAAATACCGGGCCGCTACCTCCGAGAGGCGGGAGGCGGAGAAGTCATCGAAGACATGTGGAAGCTCACGAAGCACGGAGAGCAGAACCTCTTTCTCGGAGTATACGCCGACTTATCTACCCCACTCGAAGCCGACTCTCTATTCGACCACGTCCGGAAAGCCTGGAAGTCACTTCGCTGGGAGGTGCCCACACTGGCAGCGACGACCTCTCATGTTTGGCACGAGGATAAACCGCCAACAACGTTTATAGTCTACGACGTCGGGATATCTGACGTGGACGTCGACCTATGGATCAACGAGACCGTGGAGATGCACCTGGAGTATAAGGATAGAACGCTCGATGACCTTCGGTATGACTTCGGCCAAGTGCCGATCCCCGTTAACGACTACGACCGGCAGACCTTCCTCTATCTAGTCCCATACTCGCCAACAAAGTTCGGTCTCCTCATTCGTACCGCACACACGACGTTTGATGGCGCGGGCATCAAGATCCTGATGACGAAACTCTTGATGCATCTTGAGAAGTATGTTAGTGATGCCACCGAGTACACTCGGGAGCAGGATGCGCTGATGCGGTGGGGGACTGAGGGAGAACGCCTTCTCCCCATAGTCACGGAGATTTTACGGAAGCACGAGCCGGCGGTCGTGGACGATCGAGGAGTCGTGCTCGTGAAGGAGTTGCCTGCGGAAGTGCGGGAGGGGAAAGAATATTTCGAATGTTTGGCGGACGTGATGAATGGGCTTGTGTCGGGTATTCCGGTAATGTGGATTCTAATTTTTTGAGCTCGCAGGGAGCTCATTACTGGGGTTAGCGAGCTCACCGCTTCAAGTCGTTCATTGAACCCCCGTTCGACTCGAAGACAACGATGCCAAAGACCCGTCGCCTTCAGCACACCTTCACGGTCGAAGAGTCGAAGAAGATACAGGCCGCAGGAGCCGTGCCGGACGATCCAATCCAGAAGCTAACGGTGAATCACCTTGGTGAGTTTCTCTACGCAAATTCCGCTGGTATTTGAAGAAAACCACTGACAAACCAACAGTTCTTGGAGCTCTGTGCCTCCTTCCCCTCATCGACAACCCGCCACCACCAAACACAGACGCACTCGTCTTCTACTATGGCCTTGTCGACGGGCGCCCACGGCTTGACAAGAAGTATAGAGGTTCGCTTGATTATCCCGGCTACTGCCTCGGAATGTCGGGGCTGCACATTCCCGCGTCGATATTCCACCAGCATCCTATCGAGGACAAGAAGGCACTCGTTCTCGATTTTGCGAAGGCCGTCAAGAAAGAATACGCGAAACAGGCAGCTTATACTTCATTGGTCGCTATTGAGCCCCAACAAGGCGACTTGATGATGAACGGGCCAGCACCCCCGCCATGGTCAGGTCCTTTGTACTCTGCGGATGGGAAAGGGGCCGTGTACCTCCATCCTCGGTATCCTGCAGAAGGCAAACCGGTAATCGAGATTACGGACTTTTTCTTGGGTCTGAACAAGTGCGATCCAGGACCGTAAGTCAAACATGTTTTCGGTCCGGGGTATGCTTCTGACTGCGAAACAGGTTTTTCCGTTGCAGCGAGTGGAGAGGGAGGATTATGTTAAGCGTCGACTTCAACGAACTTGCGGTGGACGTGAATGTAGTCCAAGGATGGATGAATTTATGGGCCGAGTTGCTTTTGAGCGTCGCTGTTGAAGAAACTGGTAGGGACTACATAAGACCCGGACAGGATGAAGTTCGCCAGGGCTCTCGATCCTCCTTTTGGTCTTGTGTGTGCATGTAAATTCATGCCATATTTAGGTATCGTAGCTTCGTATGACTTGGAACATCAGCAGTTTCGGATTTTCAGCCATAGTAAGGTATAGCAGGGGACCTTTTGGCTATAGCGTCTATTCAAATTCCATAGCGCGTAATATACACGGTCTAACTTTAGAGCATTCTATAGCGTGCACTGCGTGATCCATAGCGTTCCATAACATCTGGCACCAGAGGCAGATCGAGCCTTGTTCGCAATTACAATCTAATCGACTATCTCGTCCCTTTCTTGGGAGGAAGTCGTGTCTTGTCTGCTCGCATTCAAGTCCGCTGAGCCTGCCCTAACTGGTCATGTGCAGGTATTTCGAGCTTTCCTTCAGGCAGGGTAACATGCCTCAATTCCACGTCGGCTCGCACTGCAATGATCGACATGCCCATCCTCCTCTACTCGGTTGCACAGCAGCAAGTCAATGGCAAATAGGGGATCACAGTGCAGGATGGAGACCGTTGGAATATACCATAGGATAAGGGATGGGTAGAATTTAGTAGGGGGCCTGATGTATGTATCGTAGGACACTTGAATCCAACCCTTTACTCTTAACGAGACAAGAGTGATCGTTTGAACCACGATTCATAAATTCGACCGTGGAGAGCAGGAAATTCCCTTGACGGAAATACCTAGCAACGGGCTCAAACTATGGTGTACTCCATAGCACTCCATAGCATCATCAGAAGGCTGTGTAATGTGACCGGTGCGCTATGAATTGGGGGACCTGATCTATGGTATTATGGCGCTACGGAATGTTATGTAAACTGGCATAGCAAAACACGGAACTGCTGATGAATGTACATTAGAACATGTGTGAGCTTGTATAATGAAGTAAGGAAAGAGAAACTGGAAATAGTGTAAGAATTTACTTACATTTCACGATACTTGGTCAAAGTGCAGGTCAAGTACAGGTAGATAGAATACAAGTGCCTGTCAGTAGTGCCTGAGCAGGAAAAAAAATGAAGAAAAATCATTAATATTCTTGCATCATCAGCACACAGCCTCTTTGGTATTCTCAACCATATTTTTAGATGGAGATCTCTAGCAATCTACTGTTGATGACCCTGAATTTGGCCACCCCTGGTAGTTGGCCATTTGCATAATTCCACCATTTCAAGGGTGATTTCTGTCATTATTTTTGCAGATAACTGCTGTGTATATGCTGTAGGAAATCTGCACCAGCTTTGGGAGAGAAATACTGGTAAATCGTGAAGATATCATGTCTGAGCCATGGCCAGCAGGAGTGATGGCTGAGATTTCATAAGCTGAAATGGGCCTGCCGCCAATTCTGACCTGCACCTCTCACTCAAGTCAGCCCTCCTCTGCGCGGGACAAAAAATGGCGTATGCTTGAAGGTATCAGGCACTAGAATACAATACTGCCTTGTCATGGTATAGACACTATCTTCTGTAAATGTACTCCCAAATTGTGCTCTTAATTTATCATGCCCTGGAAACGACCTAAGTTGTAGTCTGCATCAGCAGTTTCAGTTTTTGCTATGCCAGTCTATGTAGTGTTCCGTAATGCCATAACACCATAGATCAGGCCCCCCTCTGCATAACGCACTGGTTGCATTACGTAGACTCCCGAGGATGCTATGGAATGCTATGGAGCATGCCATAGAGTGAGCCTATTTCTGTGTGTTCAGCCAAGAAAGGCAATTCCCTGCTGTCCCATTGCTGGATCGATGCTTTGAAAACTCACCCCCCCATAGCAGTCTTATCAACAGCAAGGTGATATATTCAAGTGTGCTATGGTACACTGGGCTCCCTAGTAGATTCCATGGACTCGTTATCCTACAGCGTGTTGCGATAGTCCCAGTCCCCTCCTTCAACAAGATCACACATTCACCATTAGCGCTGTCCATTGTTGGTGTCACCGAGAGTGCCTCTTAATTTGATGAAGGCGGCCAATGACAGCCTGAGTGATGAGCTACTTTAGCAATCAGAACGAAAACAGGAAAACCACTGACCAACACCGCCATGGATTGGTATTGCATATTGCAGCGGGGTCTCGAGGAGGGGGAGAGGGATCACATGTCAATCTGCTGGTAGTACATATGGGAGGTGGAGCAAAGGGACAATATTTCTGAACTTGAGTATTTGACCATGAGCCCCGGCATTGATTCTGTGGGCGCATTAAGACATTGGCTAGAAGTTGAAGGAGGCTCACGGGTAAAGGACGCACCAGTGGCCAAAGTTATGTTGCTGTTGAGTTTGTTCTGTGGGCTGTGTATCATGGTTGAATAAGAGCACTGTGCTCAGTGAACCACGTACCAAGAAGCAATGTGTCATGTGGGTACTCGCACCTCCCTACGTTGTCTTCCAGCGGCACCTCCACCACACCTCGGCTTCCCACCTCAATGTTCAGTTGTGTCCAGGGTCCCTGCATTGATGACGAGTGCAGTTGGAAGCTTCAGATGGCCAATGGAGGTCGACTACCAAGTCTCATTGATCAGACTGGGGGGTTAGAGAAGAACAGGAGATGCAGGGAAGGTAGTGGGTCAAGTTTGAGTTTGCATTGTGTCGATAAAGGTTACTGTTTTGGGAACTTAAACTTGCATGTGATCACTTCAATGCAACACAACCTCCTCCCAAGAAGGGACAAAAGTGGAAGAGATAACTGATTAGATTGTGATCGTGAAGGGAAGGTGGGCTGCTTTTCAGGATGCAAGTTATGGGATGCTATGGATCATGCAGAAGCTGCTATAGAGCGATCTAAAGTTAGACCATGGATATTATGTAGCATTAGGTTGCTATAGGCTGCTATGAAATTTGAATAGACACTATGGCCAAAAGGACTTGTGCTATACCTCACTATGACTGAAAATCCGAAACTGCTGATGTGTGCCAGAAATGATGTACTTGATGGACTGACACAAAACAAGTTGTAATATGCAATGTGTATGTTAATAAATCTGATATTATGCTTCTCTGAATTTTTTGAATTTTTTGAATACCCTGCTGGGGGGGTTAAGTGTTAAATGACCATATTTTGACTAGTTGAATAACCAAAACAGAATCTTTGCCAAATAACATGGCACATTGAGATTTATAATCTCTAACTATACTTGAGATGGTAAGGTATAAACGACAAGTGTTTTTGTGGCAAAGGGACTTGTATAGCTTGAAGGAGAGAGGGAGGGAGTCCTGAGACACTTGTTGACCATCTTATCTCGGCCAGCCATCAATCCAATTTGGCCCGATTTCAGGGGTGGCCAAACTTGGTTAGACTCATGACCAGTACCTTTGGTGATGTCCTTCCTTTTCTGATTTATTTGTTTGCTCTTTGTTGTGGGGCAAACATCAAGTGGAGTGTGAAAAGAAAGAACATCACTGAAGGACTGGGAGGAACGGTCGCGGTTCAGTCGAGGTCCCCAAAGTGTGACTCTGACTTAGCAAAATTTCAATGCTGGACTGTCAAAAAACATTCCTCCTCACGATATGTGTAAATGGCTCAGAAGTTGAAAAAAACGTGTTTAGAATATATTTGTAGAGTAAAAATTTTGACAAAAATTTTGGCCTGTAGAGTACACTAGGTCATTGCTGAATGGGTGGATTTGTAACAAGTACACATGAGGGTAGTGGTTGTTCAGTGGCCAGTGCTGCTGCTGCAACAGTACAGGGGCATATGAGGTAAATGGGTATGATAAACGGGGGGGGGGTGGAGATGGCATGGGGGCATGTACAAAAGGGCAGCAGGTTGAGAGATAATGAATGTATGGGTTGCCGCGCACCCACTGGATAAGGCAACACCACTGGTATAGGAGCAGGTGTCGAAGGTGGCAGAACATGAGAATTTGATGTTGAAGGTGCAAGGTAGCTGTGAACCACAGCTGAGTCTTACAGGGGTTGAACGTTGACGTGTTGACAGGGCATGAAAGACTGGAGCTGTTAGCAGTTGGATAGCAATCAGTGAAGGTGGCAACGCATGAGAACACGATCGTGCCGAGATGACAGGTGGTGGGGTGTGGAGGGCAGACGCAGTGGGTGTCAAATTCGAAGTCAACATCTTGAGCTCGAGCGGCAGATCATTGGTTCACTTGCTTTGCTTGACGTTTTTTTTTGCTCCTCAGTCAAGCTTTACAAATTTACCTGCCTGCCGCTCTCACCTTCCTGACCTCTTGTCACATCCCATTCCTGAACCCATTGTTCCATTGTCCCATTGTTCATTGTTCTGGTTCATCAATGGGCTTTCCCTTCATTGTTCTATTCATTATTGTCCTTATTGTTCTCTGTCATTGTTCTGCTGGCATTCATTACATAACCTAGATCTTCTCCATTGTTCTCAATAGTATAAGTAGCTAGGTAGTGTACTGGATTCCCCAGCTTGAATCCCAACCTTGACAACCCCTCTGCTCTGTTGTTCATCCTCTGTCTCCTGGGCCTTGGCCAGGATGACTTCTTCTTGTCTCTCCTTTGTCAAGACCAAGGCAGTTCCTGTAAATTGGGGACAACCAGATGATGTGTAGGGGCACAGCACAAGAGCATGCTGAGGCCAAGTCCCCCCCTCTGTTCAGGTCATTACACCTCTTCCCCAAGTACTTTGCCTCACCTTCCCCTTTTCCATCGCACCTGCGTCTGTGCCATTCTCTGGAGTACCTCCCCCCTGTCCATCGATTGAGCATGTGAACATCAACAATGACATCTCCTCAAGCCTCGTTCTCCCTTGCCCGTCTTGCTGTGCCCTTTGGTTTGGCCCTCATAGCCGACACAGGATGCCACCTTGGACATGGACAAAGTTGATGTTCAAGGAGGTGATTCAAGCAAGGAGAACTCATCAGATGATGAGTATGGGAGATACGATAGTCGGAGGAGAGTGACAAAGAGCGATGTCATTGTGTACATCACTGGAATTTCACTAAGTCCAACATGACAATGTGACACCTTGACAGAAAGTGTTCCGTTACTCCCAGCCGTTTCTGAACGAAGCCTGCGGAGTTCGAAAATGAAACGGCTGGTAGCGAGCCTAAAACTCAGTATAAACACCGAAATTCGACACCACCCTCTCGTAAAATTCACTACAACTCCCAGGTGCTTCTAAAAATCATGAAACTTTGTAATTAGGAACTAAGGACATATTTCTATGATATAGTACCACTTTTGTGACATAGGAAGTGGTCTCACTGAAGAGAATTGACTCGACTTTTGAAAGTACCAAGTTCAGGGTCGTCAACAGTATTGAAAAGTGATGAACCGTCGAACTCGTCAAATAAGTACGCGCCTGACCAATCAGTGAACGTGGGACCGGCTTAGTCAGAAGCTTTGTCTGAAAGGAACCGTTACGTAACGGAACTCGCTCAATTCCTACCTCCATGAAGAACAACCTTTTGAACCATCTATGACGGCTTAATCTGACCAACCAAGCCAGTGCGGGGGTAAATGGACATATAGACCTCACCCTGGGTGTTGCATTGGAGGTGCTTGACGGTGCGCTACTCGGTGTTGTCTGTCTTGTGTGTGTAGAAACTGAATCAAAACCCAATCCTTCGCAAAGATGTTACCTCTGATACCTGGCAACATTGACAGCCGCACGTGGATTTTCGCGGTTGTATTGGGTCCTGGACGGTGTTGATCATGGACCTCGGACACCTATCCAAGCAACATACCATGAACACGCTGCTGCCCTTGACGCATCCGGAGATCGAATACCGTGCTGCAGAGCAGGGCAAGAAGTCTGCTACAACTACGACTGGCCAGAGTGCGGTGGAGAAGCAAGGCTCTCCGACCCTTGTGGATATACTGGAGGTGTATCAGGACAGGATCGAATGGAAGGACAAGGTCGAACATTCGCAACTCCCCGAAATCTGTCCAGTACGTCCTTCTCGATCCGCAACGGGATCACTTGGGCTGATGATATCTTCCTTTCCGAAAGTCGGATGGCGAGTCGCCAAAGCTGAGAGCATTGTATGGAGATACTGCTTTCGCTCTACGCGGCCACAGAGTCCCTTACGATGTCCAACAGCTTCTTCTCGGATATCGAGTACTTGAAAGATGCTAGTGGAGGCGGTCTCAATTACATGCAGGCTGATACGACGGCCGGGTGGCTCCAGCAGCGTTTCGGTGTATCGCCCTTGTACTTCAGAGCTGTAACACGACCTGTCCCGAGTCCGACCCAGGAGCAAGCATACTTCGTTCGGCGAGACGATGACGGCCAAAGTGTGTCCCTAGGTTCGTGAAATGCCGTCCAACCGTTGGATCTGGGTATGCCAACCCTCGTCATAGATGGTTTCTATCACTTCTTAGACTCGTTCAACGTGACTGTTATCAAGAGCTGTGCCGTCTGGTTCTCCCATCGCGTTCAAGGGGACCAGTGTTCGACGTATATGTTCCACAACTGTCTTAAGGCCGCGAAAGAAAACTTGTTCAACCTCTCACGAGATAATGCCAATGCCCCTGCCTTTCTCCGACCCCTCGTCCTTGATATGTTCCTGGCCGAGGATAGGTTATTGTTGCTGCAGGGGAGCGGTGGCACCTTAAGTCTGCGCCTGTTTCAATTCGTAAGAATTTAATCATTACCTAAGACATACGCCCAACACTTATTCGCGAATATGGACAGGAGGCCCAGGCGAACACGAAAATGACAGCTGAGCAGGCAGCCACCGCAATTGCAGATCTCCATATCCATTCCGGCCGCTTTCGCCACCTGCGTGGTCAGACAGCGGATTTGGAAGACAACTTGCGGTTCCTCTCATTGCTCAGCCGTCAGCTGTCTGAGCTCTCAGGCCCTCCTTCAAGCCGGGGCAGAGCGTTCGGCGCAGGTCTAGGGACCATCTCCGAATCCATGAGCTTTCTTCAGTACCAGACAGAGCACCTGCTGCGCTGGCAGCTTATGTACGTGGACCGAATATCCACCCAAATCGGCCTCCTGTTCAACTTGGCCAACCAACTCGACAGTCGGACCAATCTCGACATTGCCAGGCTGACCTCGAAGATATCGATCTCTACACAGCGCGATAGTTCGTCTATGATCACGTATGTCTTTGATCCGCTCCATAAACTCTGCTCACATGTCGAATAATAGAATCGCCATCGTAACCATGTTCTTCCTCCCAGGAACCTTCGTGTCTGTAAGTACCCTCTTCAATGCTATGTTGCACAAGCAGTAAATCAAGACCATCAGGCATTCTTCAGCATGGTATTCTTTGACACGAAGGAAGACACACGTGGACGTCCTACCATGGTCGTTGGCCCTCAGGTCTGGATATACGTGGTTGCCACAGCCATCCTCACCATCATGGTGTTCTGCGTCTGGGGTATTTGGCATTATCACCGCATCAGGCGCCAGTCAGTACATCTTGATGTCGAGAACCGCTCGACGGTCCTCCCGCAGAAGGGTGACGAGATTACTTATAGGGCGTTTCGTCCATAGGAGGAGACTAGTTCCTTGTTTTACCTGTTCGGGGGCCACCTACTGTGAACTACTCATCTAGCTTCAGTCTAGTTTATACTTCTTATCACAAGCCAGCTTATCCAGGTGTTTCTCATTGCGAGGTAGGACCATGTCGTTGAGGAGGGAAGGCCTAACCGTGAATGAGGATGCGGGTACCACCTGCAACCTCATCTCGGTAGGGATAATTAGATGCCGCTTGGGGACTCCGGGATTCCGAGCGTAGGGTTGGAGGGTTTTGTACTCCCGTTACGTGCAAGCATCTCACATTTTCCTTGTCTTTTGCTTTTGTTTCCTCTAGACGACTATACAGTTCTTCGTCATTCTTTCTCATCCCTCTCTCTGAGGCGGTCGAGTACCCACCGAGCGCTAAAACAAGTGAACTGCAAATAGTAGTCTCGGACCGTAATCAATATTCTGCAGCCGTACCTCGTGAGATGCAATGCCCATGCATGGATAAATTTAAATTTGTTCTTATTGGCAGTGAATTGTGTCTTCTGCAACCTGAGCCTCGGGGTCGAGTTCAGACCCTGAGGCCATTGTCCTGAGTAACAACAAGTCTTGAGCTTGAACGCAGGTTGGTACCTCGAAGATGAGGGGCAATCCCATCAAGCATGTTGGTATTGTCGGCGCAATGAATTTCCCGCAGAGACTTGTCGAGAATCCGAAGCATTGAAGAGGAAGTCTGGACAAAATATTTGCTTTGCCAGAGACTTCACAATGGCCATTGACAAGGAGGGCGACAGTTGTGGCAGAGATGACTAGCTTGTTCAATGAGTTGCTGTGGGTGCTCGGTGAAGAAGGGAGAAGCTCTACGGTGGGGCCTGAGCAGTGGTGGCTGGATTATTGAGTTTGAAACAATTGCAGTTCTGGTGCGGTGGACGCCCGAGCGTGGCGCTTGTTCACTTTATGACCGTCGTCTCCTTTTAGATCCCAAATATGTATGTGCTTGCGTCAAAGGCGCCCCTAGCTACTACGTCCATCCACTTGACACACGTTGAACTTCCCTTCCATACTCCTCAATTCATAAAAATTATACCCGATTCAAGGTTCCGAGGCGAGTTGAGTGTTAGCAATAATTCGATCAAAATTGTAATTCTTGCCCTAAGTCTTGATGGTGGGCGTCAGTGGGGGTCATCTCCTGCCATCCTTGATCAAGGTGTCTTGAAATATGAAGAGAAGGCGACAATCATAGAGATAGAACCACCCTGCCGTTCGAATTGTAGCTGATAACATTGTTGAAGCATTGATGAGCGTTGGGAGCCCGGTAACGAAGGTATCGCACTGCTGGAGCTACAAGAATAAAAGTAGGCTTACTTCGAGGTCCTGAAATTGGGCGGGTGGTAAGGGACTCCGGACGCGGTATAAAATCGGAAAGAGTTGTGCCCTCAAGAGACTGCCGAGTGATTATTGTCCAGAGGGATCAGTCAAAGAATCATGGGGATAAAGATTACAGGGCGTATACCTATGAGGGTGTTGGAGACGAGGGCACACGGGAGGGCGATGTTGAGTGGGACGATGGCGTTTGCATTTGATAATGCATCGGGGTGGACACGACGCATTGAGGAAGGTAGAAAGCCTGAAGGATTGCGAGCGCTTATTGAAATTGATCGGTAACTTTCCATTTCATCCAAATCTCTTGTTCTTGGCGCAGCCGAGGACGTTGCCTCTGCGTTTCATCCAGCAGACTCGAATGAATGCAGAGTCCGCCGAGAGAATTTCAGTCGAAACTCTGCTGGAGTTCTGCTGTGGCTGATTATGTCAGGGCCGCGTGCTTCTCGAGTCTCGACCTTAGGCTTTTACGAACCTCTTACCTGAATACATGTGGAGAGGCTTCTGCAATATGTATTTAGTAGGTTTAACAAGCTAGACAATTGAAGAACTCCATTAATGAACTTCCGAGGAATTTTGCACGTTTTATTGACAGGCTACAGCCGGTTGCCCCCTGAAACGACAGGCACGTCAAGAGTTCCCACGGTCTGAACGACCATCTCCCTTTGTTGAACGCTGACTTGAACCACGACAAACAGCCGTGCACCCTGCACGCACCGCCCACAGCCCTTACAGCACATCCACGAGGTAAGAATCGTCGATATATCCTCGAGATACGCTGTACATTGTGGGCTGACCCCTCTGGCTCCTTGCAGCGGTCGTTGACTCAGCAACGTCGGTGATGGCGCCCCCCAGCTCAGGAAACCCCTCCAGCAACCTCCAGATACCTTCCATGAATTCAAATCCGGGGCCGTCGCGCCAGTACAGCCATTCGCCATCGTCTGCGTACACGCCAAGCGCCGGGACGTCGTCTGCACGCCCCACCTCGGTCGCAGCTCACACAACAACCACTTCCCAGAACCATCACTCAGCCTCAGCGTCACGGCGCCAGCGTGCATCGCACACTGTCGTTTCGCCAAGCTCTAGCGGACAGCAACAAGGCAGCTCGCAATCTCACCACGAAAGCTCCGCCCCTCTTTATACCGACATTTATGCACACCCGGCCGCTGTCGCCTACGCTGCTGCACACCCTCGTCGAACCATCCCCAAATTCGGTCCTTACCTTCTGCTTCAGACCCTGGGAGAGGGCGAGTTCGGAAAAGTCAAACTTGGGCTTCACTGCCAGTGGGGAGAGGAAGTCGCAGTCAAATTGATTCGGCGGGGTAACGTTGATGGAACAGTCAGAATGTCCAAGGTAGAGCGGGAAATTGAGGTCCTAAAGGTACTTGCTTTTCTCTTCGAACCCGATGGCTGCCTAATTTCCTTCCCAGACTCTCAAACACCCCAACATCGTTCGATTATACGACGTGATAGAAACGGACAAGTACATTGGAATAATCCTGGAATACGCCTCCGGAGGAGAGCTCTTCGACCACATCCTCGCCCATCGTTATCTGCGCGAGCGCGACGCTGCCAAACTCTTTTCGCAACTCATCTCAGGTGTATGGTACATCCACCAGAAGAAAATCGTGCATCGAGACCTTAAACTTGAAAACCTTCTCCTTGACCGACACCGCAATGTCATCATCACGGATTTCGGTTTTGCCAACCGCTTCGAGCATCGCGCCGACGACCTGATGCAAACTTCTTGCGGAAGCCCTTGCTACGCCGCCCCTGAACTCGTCATCAGCGAAGGCCTCTACGTTGGTAGCGCAGTTGACATCTGGAGCTGTGGTGTTATCCTCTACGCCATGCTCGCGGGCTATCTCCCATTCGATGACGATCCTGCTAATCCAGATGGCGACAACATTAATCTCCTCTACCGATACATCATCAGCACACCTCTCTCATTTCCTGATTACATTTCTATGGAAGCTAGGGACCTTCTCAGCACGATGTTAGTTCCAGACCCCACACGCAGAACGACTCTGGATGGTGTTATGCGCCACCCATGGCTCACTGCATACCATTCACCACGTACCGACGGCCAGCCCAATGCTTTCGGAAAGACCATCGAAGAGCTGGAACAAACGGCCATGGATCAGCACCAAAGTAAACGACAGGCCTACCAAAGGCAGATGCGGGCTCACGCTACCGCCAACGGCGTTGTTTCGCCTTCTAGGACCCAGAGTCATCGACCGGACCATGGCACGGCACCCTCTTCATCCACCCGCAGCCGATCAACACAGCCAGAGTATCTCTACGATTCGTCTGTTGACCAGTCCATCATTTCTCCGACTGCAAACGTCGTGGCGAGCCCAACGCAAAACGGTACTGCCCGCAAGAATTATGGTAGCCCTGCTGCCCTCGGACTCGCCGAGGACGATCCTTTCGCCGGTCCTCCGGGAAGTGCGACCCACAACACTGCTACTGCTCCCCCTGTTTCTGCAGGCTCCAAGCAACGGACGTCAGAAGATACATCGCAAGCCAATGCTGCTCTTTCTCCGAATTCTCAATCCGCGAAGGGCCACAGATCCAGCTCGAGCGGAGGAGGCGGAGGGTTCAGGCACACGATTCAGGTCGAGTATGACGATGCTTCGAAGAACTCGAGGAGGAGCGAAGATCGTCGACGCGATAGGAGTGGAAGCCAGGGGCAGTCGAGTGCACAGCCACAGCAAGCCCAACAAAATGGACCGACGGTGGCCGCTCCTCTTGTAGGCCCGGCTCCGCCTGCGAAGGAGAGAAGACCATCTCAGAGTAGTTTTAAGCCCTTGCCTCCATCGCCGCCTACAGTGGCTCCATCATCGTATCGCCCACCGACTGCCGTCGTCGCGCCTCCAACACCAAAGACTGCAACACCAGGTTCCGCGACTCCGACCAGAGGATCTCGGCCTGCTGAGCTCAATGGCACCAAGACTCCTGCAACTGCCGAGCCTTTAGTCGTCAACATCTCCTCGCCACCTGCGACGCCCAACACTGCTGCAATCGAGCAACATGAGAGGGATAGGGATTCTGCAAAGGACACTGGCAGTCAGAATTCGACGTCTTCCGCCAAGAAGGGACACAGTCGAGGCAAGTCAAGCCTCGATAGGATTGGCCTCGGGAAGATCTTTGGCTCAGGCTTTGGCACCAATGTCTCGACCGCAGCTGCCCCGGTCACCACAGCAGTCAACGGCGATGGAACAATAGCCAGCCAGCATAGCATCACTCCTGTACCGTCCGAGGGACAAGGAAGTGCCACATCAGTTCTTTTGAGCCCCGTTGCCAACGAGAAGGATAGTGGGAAGAAAAGCAGGAGGAATACGTTGACAGTAATGGTGGAGCCATTTAGTCGGTCCATTCGGAACAGGAAAGGTCGGATGGCGAGTACTCCTCTGACGGCGGACGGGCCCAGTGCAGCAAAGGAAGGAAAACGCTCTCCACAAGCCCAGAGCGCGGTGCTGCCTCCTACCAACGTGACACCCGCCACGGCTGACACTACCCTCTCACCGTCGAACGAATTCGGTGATCCGACTGGTATGCATGCGTCGTCGAACAAGGCAAAGAAGGTCATGCAGTGGTTCAGGACGAAGTCGAAGGGCAGAGACTCTGTTGGGTATGGTGTGGAGGAGGACAGCGCAAGTCGAGAGAAGGAGAGCGGCACCCCCACGCAGACCAAGTACCGTAAAGGCTTTTCAGCATCCAGCAGCACAGTCAACCAGGCAGTGCCTGCCTCGGCACCAGGCCTCAAGGAGGCCGCCATGTCGCCCGTGCATGTCGTCGTTACCCAACCGAACTCGGCTGCTCCTCGGCACACGGCGAGCGGACACCCACAGCGGTCCGCGAGCACTGCGACCGAATCGTCGGCCACGACGCCGAGCTTCGTCACCCGCTTCCGCAACTCCGTCACAGTTGGAGGATCTTCACACAACAACCACAGCAGCGCTGACAAGACCCACCCTCATGGCCAGTTGAGGATCCATCACGGTGCCGTCGATCAGACGACGATCACCACGCGCCCGCCGCCGGAGGTTATGGCGCACGTTAGGAAGGTGCTGGAGGGCATGGGTGTGGAGATTCAGTTGGAGAGCGAGTACAAGTATAGGTGCATCCGGGCGAAGAAGAGGAAGGGCGCTATAAGTGGGGCAGCTGGTACCTCATCTGCTGCCACTGTTGTTGCCCCTGCTCCTGGTGCTGCTCCGGGCACAGGTTTGGCTGCCATTACGATGGTAGGAAGCGCCGCTTCCAACGGGGTGAGTTGTTTTCTTCCATGATTCGATCCCTAGATACTGATGTTTCTGCGTTGCTGCGTTAGGTCGATAAGCGTGGTTTACCTCTCCCTTCACCGTCTGCGTTTGCTGGAACCGGCGGGATGCTTCGTGGCCTTCTCATGCGCCGACAGTCGTCGCAGGTGTCGACTCATGGACCTTCGTCGTCAGCATCTCTGGCTTTCGACGATGAGAGTTCAGTGGTTGTCAGCGAGCCGCTCATCATTCCAGAGGCGGCGTATGGAGACCCATCACAAGACGCTGGCGACGAAGTCCGGTTCTCAGTGGAATTGACGCGACTCGACCGTCTGAATGACACCTACAGTTTGGATATCAGACGTCTCAAAGGAAACCTCCGGAGTTATAAGTTCCTGTACGATACCCTTAGAGAGTGCGTTTTTCATTCCCTTCCGTGCCATTTATAGGTCGCTGACGCGAGCTCTTGTTCAGACGCGCCGATCTTTCTGCCACCCAGGCGTAATAGAGATCAAATCTATCCTTTCGGTCTTGTTTTCCGTGTACATCTATCCTGGCGCCCATTTCTATCTCTAATTCGCTATCCATTCCGTCCGAACCTACAATCCACTCTGGCTCCTCTCGATATTGGTCCTGTTACCTTTGTCAACCGCCTTTCTTTCCACATTTTTACCTTGTTGCATCCATCCCATTTTTATCTCCTTGTTCAATCATTTTCGTACTTACGACATACCCTAATCACAACACCCCCTCGATCCTTCTTTCTCTTAAATTTCATTCAATTCCACTCTTCTCTGTGGTATCATCTCCGAGTCCAGTGTCCGACTATCCCATCAAAAACGCTGAAAAGACCTTGATTACACATCGTCCTTCCACCACCTCTGTCATACATGTTTTCTTTGTTCTTCCGCTACACCTGTTTTATTACGAATATACTTTTTATGGCTCCACGCCGTTTGCAGTTCACCCAAACAACGCTTCGCTTTCGGCCTTGGCATCGCCCTTTTTGCATTACCTTTTTTGGTGTGTGGCGGCTTCAACCGACTACAGTCGAGATCTTACCAGAACTATCCGCTCCATCATTAGCACGCCTAAGCCACCCGAAAATGTTTGCATGCCCTCTGAAGACATGCAACAACTGGATCTGCTCCTTCACACTTGGTGGCATGATATCAAAACCAACTCCCACCAAACAAGCCTTCCTTTACGGTCTTCGCAGCCAGCTTCGAAGACTGTTGCAGGGGCGGTTTAAGCCTCCAAGAATATCGGCGTCTTTTTCAATCCATGTCTGCCTCATAAAGGTGCACAGAAAGTGGGCTCCGGCGTCACTCGGCTTTCTTGTGTTCCATATGGACGCGTAAATCGATGCCGACTCGCACAGGATTCCCAACCAAGGAATAAATCTGAAACGGGGTTCAGTTCTAGAGCAATCTCCCGAGAAGAATCGCATGTCCAGTTGGTTGGTTGGTTGGTTGGCGTCAAATCCCTGGTCATTCCTGTTCAGGGCTGAGCCCAATGAGCGTTGAAATATTGACCGCTCGAATCAGCCGCAGGACACATCCAATTGTCCGTAAAATAGCACCTCAGCTCTCTCGGATTGTTTACGCCTCCGGAGGAAAAGGAAGACGATCCTCACGATCCTATGTGGCCGAGTCATAGATACGTGTGAACTAACGTCAAAAAATCCGGCGAACTCCCGTCATCTCAGGAAATGATTCTATAAAGGAAAATCAACACGATCTGTACCACCCGTTTTGTCCATCCTTGTTCAAATTCTGGGTGATTGTCCGCTTCCCAGGGTTCTGACCTCATTAATGATTGAACAAGCTTAACGTCCTGTGGGCAGTGCGAGCTTCCCATTCTTACTCTCTTACCATCAACGCCACTGACGCTCGAAATCTCTCCATAGACTTGAGCCTCACCCGCAGGTATTTAGAAGCCCAGCACCCCTTCAAAAGGTATGCGTCAGGTCGTTGATATGATCTTTGCCCCTATCCGTATTGTTCTCCACAGCACAGCACGTACGCAGCTACTAAATAAATACGACAGGATACCACTGATTGTCATGGCCGCGTCACCTTCTGCACCTCAAATTTCCCAAGCTGAGAAGCCCGAAGTGAACCTCGATTCCCTGGACATTCATCGCGGCGCAATAGACCAGACGACCATCACAACAGAACCGCCCACCAAGGTGATGAAGCGCGTGAACGCACTCTTGCAGGAACTCGGGGTCCAAGTCCAAGAGGAGACGCCCTTCAGATACCGCTGTATCAGGGCGAAGAAAGTGGGAGCGCCGACCACGCAGGTATCGAGCGAGGCAGCCTCTCAGTCGATTATTTCTGAGCCAAACGTCAGTGCCGCTGCTCTGCATGAAGTCCCCCTGTCATATCTTGCGGATGGCCCCCACAATTCAGATCATTGACGACCTACTTCACATAGATCCCTACTCCATCCCAGAGCGATGCAATCGCTTGCACACTGTACGGATCCCTTCCAGAGGACCCTGCAGACGAGGTCCGGTTCACAGTGGAGTTGACGAGGCTCGCCGGCTTGAATGATACGTACAGCCTCGACGTTCGCCGGTTGAAGGGCAATTTGAGAAGCTACAAGTTCGTCTATGACACCATTCGCGAGTGGGTTTCATCTTCAACCGTCTCAAGAGGGAATAAACTAACAATGGAATCTTCTGTAGACGTGCGGAGCTCAATCGTGCATGATTGTCACGCTAATTGTGCAAACGCGAAAATCAGGAACACGATTCCTATGATACCCATTCTCGTGCTCAATATTCCCTTTGACTGAGCCTCTGGTCCCCTCCCCATTCACGCAATAAGCTGTCCCAACGATCCAAGACGTCCTGTGCAGTGCATCATAGAAGTAAATTGTATGGTATAGGGTTGTACAGATTCATGAATGCTTTTATGAACGAAGGCGACGATCAAGGAACAAAGGAAGTGGTAAAAATAGAATGTAGGTATAGTAAACGTGAAGAGAGAATAGGTCAAAAGCTTCACCCATCAACGTGCGTTCAGATACCGCATGCAACTTGAATGCTCTCGCTCAGCTCAGCCTCAGTTGGCTCCACTTCGGGCTCCACCTTATTCTTCCCCTTGACCACGTTCGCCATAAACCCAGAGCGTTCATCACTATTCGCACCCTGATCGCACTCGTCCACAGGGGTCGGCAACGCCGAGCTCGTAGGGGTGGGGTTTGTAGTTGCGCTCGTCGGGAACGCAGAGAGCTGCGATGAGCAAGAGCTCTCGCTGCTTGTGGGGCTGGGGTTGCCTGGTTGCCATGCCATGAGCGGGCTGTCAGGGGTGTCGCCGGCCTTCTCTCGGTAGGCGAGGAGCGCCTGCAAGGTCTTCTCGGAGGGGAAATCGAGGTTCAGACGAGGAGGCGCCGCCGCGCGCTTGATGGAAGAGGACGAGGGTAGGCTAGCTGACGCAGCGAGGTTTCCAGAGAAGAGATCCTCCGCCATCTGTGGGTGGGGGCCATCAGATTTGTCGTGCGAGCCAGCAGACGTCGAGAGCTGCATGAGGAGCGGGTCGATCTGGTGCAAGAAAATCTCTCCCTTGACTTGTTGTTGCTGCTGTGACATCAACATGTACTGCATCGAAACCTCGCAGTCGGATTGCTGATGTTCGGACCCAGAAATAGGCTCCAAAGACGGCATAAGGTTTGACGACTCGCCGAGATCAGAATTGTTCCCAAAGCCAGCGTCAGAAAAGTGGTCGGGACCGAAGAGGGGCAGGATACTAGGAACGCGAGGGCGTTGGGCGAGAGGCAGATGAGAATCTTCGACAACCGACAGGTCTTTCATCTTCATGAATTCGGCATGAGCAGTAGCGTAGTCGTTATAGCGATATTGCCATCCATTTGGAAGGCCCTTATACAAAGATACCTCCCGAGTCATGGGTACACTTTGGAGCCCGCGATAGTTGGGAGAGCCGACGCCCGCCAAGGTGGGTTTCATTCCGCGGGCACGGAGAATCGCCTCGCGGTAGGCCGCCTCCAGAGGATCGTTGTCGAGAAGAGGTGACATCGGATGATCGCGAGGACCTCCCATCGTGGGCCACGGTATTCCAGGAGCAGGAGACGACGGCGTCGGAGATGGAGCGGTGGTTTCGGGACCATAGCTGGGGAAGAAGTCGCGAAAGGGGGACAGATTGGCTTCCTCGGCCCTTGGCTCGGCCATCTGCGACGCAAGAGCAGCGGAGTCGATGTTCCCGCACTTCTTCATGATGCACGTCGGGCAAGCCTTGATGAAGTTCGAGACAAGATCCTTTGGAACCCAGGTATAGTGCTTGCGGATGAGCGCGCAAGTCTTGTCGCGTCCGCCGTGTCCGGTGCTTCCGTGGCAATAACAAAGGAGATCGTAGAGCTGTTCCTGGATAGCGACCAAGAGATTGTCGTGGAGCAGGACCTCTTGAGGAGCGTCGTCGCTGTTATCGGTACCGCCCAGAGTAACGCGATGGGTCTTGCTGAGAGTGAACATCTTGCGGGCCCAGAATCGGAATTGAGCCGTCTCTCCCGGAGCATCGGGTTGATGGAGAACGTCCCAGATACGATCGAAGAGAGCTTGCGAGATAAGAGCCTTTCCTTGCCTCCGAGGTGTCAGCGACTGGATGTAGGTATTCTCGACCTGTTTGTACTGCGCGTAAGTCGGGAATCCTGGTCGCTCGTTATGGCCAGTCGGCTTCATATCCTGAATCCCATCGGGCGTAGATGGGACCATAATAGGAGTGACACCGCGTGTATACGGTTTGAAACCACTGGACGAGTTACGTCGAGAGCCGGGGCGTGCAGGAGACATTAGAACTGATTGAAGTCGACGACTAGGATAGTTTGGTTGGGTATTGTGTGGGATAGTAGGAATGATTTAAGCTATAAAATCAACTAAGCGTCCAAATCACAGTACATAGGAGATATGAGACTCACTGTGGGGCAAGACCGTCAAGGCGTTGTGGTGGTTGTTGGAGAAGAATTTGGAGGCTGACCGTCCGCCGCAAATTCGCTTTCAGATATCACACGTCACGTCATATGACCAAGTCACTGTCACATCCTACCTGTCGGAACGTTTGGTCTACCGTCTTGTCTTTCTCTCTTCGATTAGCTGCAACCTCTCATGACACTCCGGTTACACTCGAAAGAATGCTGCAGCGCTGATGTATGCTCATGATAATATGAATGCTAGGAGAGGGAATACCGTCTCTGCTTACTATTCGACACTGACTAAGAACCCTCTCATGGCTTTTCGCAAATTGACGTTTACTTAGGTTAAACCGAGTCGGGAATGCAGCTATTTTTTTGCGCAGCTGATCTAGCAAAGTATCTCTCTGAACTCAAACCCAGGTGCGTCATGAGCTCACTTCCAACCCCCTGTCATAGCGATGACCATTCGTAATATAGGAGGGCTGATGCTGGTTGAATATTGAATGCGGACTCCTATGAGCGACGATACAGAGGACTGCGACGACTTACCAGAACTACAGCCATTCCGCCAACGTTAATCGACAATGGTTGATTGATAGGTGCAGGCATGCTGCCCGTTTTACTAATGGCTGTCTAAGAATACCTTTCCCCGCTCGGAACGCATGCTTAGTTCCCCGGGACTCGCGCTCCTTAACTCAGGTTGGCCTTGGAACCTGCGAGATGGCGAGAAGCGGTCAGAAATTACCGATAACCCCGAGGGACATCATAAAGACGGGCAACTCTGATCATCCTGGACCTGGGATGTTAACTCTCCTGCCCCCTTCCCCACCATTCGACCATCTTCTGACCAGTCCCGCTACGTTGGCGATGCCAGACTCTCCTCTCTCTTATCCTGACCTCCTTCATGTCCTAGAGCTTACCTACGACGGAATACATTCAAAAGGTAAAACTTTCGGCACCCCACAGGAATTAGTTAACGATTATATTCTCTCTTTTTAACAGTCGCAGCACTCACCCTTCTTTGCTCTGATATCGTTCACACTTTCCCCGACGAGGTTCAGAGAAGGTTTTCCTCTGTACAACTTTAGGAGGCTGAACTTCATTATAATTTGTCAGGTTGAGTTTATCTGGAGGTTTATATGCACGCATGATTGATTATTTCCGATTCTTATATTGTCCTGCTAGGGCGAAGTGGACTTGGACGAAGTCTTCGTATCTTATCGCTAGATACTACGGAGTGATCTATATAATGTCAGTGCTAATTATAACTCAACTAATCCATCGCTCATGCTGCTGTACGTTATAGAGTTATCCTCATAGGTTAGACCCCAGTTCTCCCTAGTTATGGAAAATTTCGAGCGCTTATTTCACTTTTCCGTTTTATTAACGTACCAGGCGATTCCCTTACCGAGCGTTCTCCTGATGTAAGTGCAAGGTGATCCTATCTTTGAGTGGTGTTAATTGAGTTGCGACTTTCTAGTTGTGAGTTCCCTCGATTTTGTGCCGGCAGCATATTCAACGGACGAAAGCTGCAATCCCTTCCATCGTTATAAATCCCTGTCAGTAAACCCCGCACAATCCGTTAGGCGCACTCATCAAATAGTCGTCCTTTCTGTCCCACAGAGGGGGGCATGTAATCTTCAGCCGGGTAGTCGACTTCATCTTCATCCAGAGAATCCACGCTCTTTATCGCCACGAAAATACGGGTAAGTAGTTATCTATCCTTATTTTGTTCTACGTATGATTCGGATTCGTATCTAGTTCTCTTCTTCCTTGTGCCTCTTTTCCTGGGTGCGTACCGCTATTGAGGACTCAGGACTCGTGGTCAGTCGATTTTTTCTGCACACACTGACTCGGATATCTTTGCTAGCTGAAGCAGCGGTTCGCCGTCTTCGCTATCTTTCTCTAGTATCCAGCTCATCTTGAGACCCTCGCACCGGGAATAGCTGAATATCTACGGGGCACTGCTGGCAAGCAGCCTCTCCGCTGATGGCTTACTCGTTCCTCCTATAAAGCAGTGGCCAGGGTGCCTTGTCAGAATCGAGTCGTGGCTGGAGGTGAGCCTCTTTGCTGTGTAAGCCTGATCACAGCAACTATAGCGATTATTGAAGTAACCACATCTGCAATAGAGTTCCAGCTTTGACTGAGTCCGGTAAGGATTTAGTATTTATCTTCCAGCTTTAGAGTTTCGTAGGCCGTGATGTGCGTGCTCTGGGAGAGACGAAGAAACCTCAATCTCACTCAAAACACTCACGCAAGTACGTGGGGCATGAAAGACTTCGATTAGATGATAGAAATGGTGTCAGAATAGATAGAAAATAGAAAATAAATAAATGCTCCGTCGAAGCGTCGCATCTGAGTGCCCAGGAGTGGTCTTCCTGCTCCTAAAACACTCAATCTCGAAGACAGGGACGGTCTTCCTCTCCCTGAATCCGAAGTGCAGAGGGAATGGTCTTCCTTTTCCCCTAACACTCAAAACCGGAGCAGTGGTCTTCCTTCTGCTCAAAAAACTCAAATCCTCGGGTGGTCTTCCTTCCCTCGGATCGTACTATCTCAGCGGTGGTCTTCCTTCCGCTGTTATCATCTCTCTAGCTCGCTGGTGGTCTTCCTTCCAGCTTGCTCCTCTATCTCTTACTCTATCTCGCAAGAATGTGTCTTAATCATTTATTAATCCCCCGAACCCTCTTAGAAGTCAACCTGGGAGCTAACGAGCGTCCTACCGGACCGCCTCGCTTCGCTACCCACTCCCAACCTCGGGGAGGTGGCTGCTTGCCTCTCGTCGTCGTCCTCCTCGGGTTTATATACTCGAGGATCCGGATATCCGGAATCTCATCTTCCGGGTGTCTTACTCAGCTCGTAGGTGTCCAGAATGTTCTATTAGGCTTGTCCGACCAATAGAATATAATTTACCTCATGATATGAGGTCATCACGACCTTTCTCGGGGCGTCTATCCTCGTTGTACACCATTTATGGTGTTGCCATGTCTATATCTGGACTACGGAACATCAATACTCCAGGTATCTGACTCAGCGTTGTGACCCAAGCCTACTCGAGTGATTCCTATTGGTCGATTCACACAGAAAACACATGATTGTGGCGGTTCGAGCGCCAATACCATCTGGTAGCGCTCGTTGTCACACATCACAACTGCCTCAAACGGCGGATTACAGTCACGTCTCACTGAGGATTAAACCTCATTATCGTTATCTTATCAATGAAATAAGAACTTCATTATCGAAAAATTCTCAGCCGTATCAGCCGAGCCCTTGCCTCTTTTCCATCCGCAGCCATATTCTTCGCATTGACAATATTCAAATTCATGCAATCCGTCCGCGACCAAACCGGCCAACCGATATTGAATGCTCTGCGAGATCACAAAAACCATTCGCCCATACTAACTATTCTTGTATGGGACGGAGCCTTGTACTTCTTTTTGTAAGAAGGCATTCTTCTAGTCCACTGTTCTTTTGATCATCGAATTATTTTCTTTAGAACCTTGAGTGAGTGATCAGGACACCGCTACGTTTCCACTTACCTTACTTAACCGCGATCTCAACCTCAGTCATCCTCCTTTTCTTCGCCGTCTTGCTGGTCTTGAGGAACGGAGAGTTAGGCATCCCCATCGTTCCGTAAGTCGGATCGTGTCTCAATCATTACTTTTAATAACCAGATATACCAGTTGGGTAGTAGTTGTATACTCGATGGCAGGCTCTCATATGGTCCTCAATCTGCGCAAGGCAGGTCGCAACGGAGCTCCTACCTTGCTCTCGCAAACGTACCGAAGCCTTGACTGGGATTTTAGATTTACGAATTTGAGAGAGTCCGGCAACGTGCAGTCGGCACTCCAATCTAGTCTTCCTTGACTTTTATAATCGTTCCGATCCCGAATTTACGCACAAGATAAAATGTGATCCACCATTCGACCGCTCTCGTTTAGCGTATCGTCCAGGATACATACCGGGCCGGCCACCGCCAGTGAACTTCTCCTGCCAGATCAGGACTTTAAAACTTCAAGCTCTTCAAACGTTCAACCCATGATGATGTTCACTCCTGAACACTCTGCTTCTTGAACTTTTACTCTGGGTCCTTGATTGTAGAAAGGATATATGGCGCAGGTGATCCGAACCCTTCCTTTCCCGACAGAAAACCGGCGCAAAAAGCAGTCCTGAGTCAGACCCCCGAGGGCCGATCGGAGGAGGCCTTACCAGTAATTGCTGAAGGTTGGCTTTTCGAGTCTCGAAACTTCCGATTCACCCATCTTTTAACCTCAGGTGCCAACTCCAGGGGAGGCGGAACGTGGGTAAGAGGCGCTGATGAGCCACAGATCGCCCTGACATCGGCGTTCGGGCAACACCCGCCACCCAGACTCAGCTGGGTAAGTCCTAGGCTTCTTCGCCGACCCTCGTATCACCCAAGCTGAATTGAAGATTCTGGTCTTGTACAAGCTTGTACATAACTCGCAATTTCGCCGCAGGAAGCGATACCTACGCCAGCCTTAAATTTTTTTATCCAGCGCAAGCCTCTTTTAGGACCCTCTTTGGCTGACATGGTACACCATGAAGGACTGGTCATATACACCGACATCGAGGACACATCATCCTACCCTGGGCCTTGGAACCACTGCCTTGTCTTGACAATCTGTCTGGCCGCTCCATGAGTGTTGACCCGCAGCCCGCGATAGCCACCGACTGGAGCACGAGTGGAGGGTCTAGGAGCTGCCAATACATCTTCGTGGAGGTGGTCGCGGTTGTCAAGAATGATGCAAAGAACTATAAAGGTAAGTAATGTCGGGAGTTCATCACCATGACATGAGCACTCAATAGCACTTAGATCACGAAGAAGGCACGCGTGCCGTCACCCGGAGGACCTCCCGTATTGTATCGTATAAAGCTTGGGGATGAAGATGGTGTTCAAGGTTATTTCGCCCGAAGGGAAGCCCAGTGAACAGCATGTCTGACTCTCTTGACCTCGCTTCACAAATCCGGTTCCTCTTTCACGTTCTGAAGCTTTCTTACGATTCGATTTATTCGAAGGGTGCGAGCATGTCATGAACTTGTCCACCTTCTCGTTCTGACACACAACGCAGCCGCAGCGGTCACATTTCTTGTCTGTGATATCTGCTGGACATTTTCCGACGAGGTATACACCTTTTCAGGCTCTGGTTGGACGTGTCTATTCTAACTCACGCCCGTTTACGTAGGTTCAATACATTTGGGGGTTGGCCCGTAGTATTTGTTTTGCAGCTCGAACTCTGACCGCGAGTTAGGTCGAAATGGACTTGGGCGAAGGTGCTATATCTAATTGCCCGGTATTATGCTCTCATGTATAATCTGTGAGTCGCCGAGTTTGGAACGCACATTAATCTTGACCCATCTACTAGAGTCCTGCTGTTCGGTGAGGACTATGGCCACATGAACAACGCCGTACTCATACATGAAGCTTTCGTTCAGTGGATTCCAGGAAGGGGTTAACTCCAACGGTGCGCAGTGGAACTTATTCATATATTTCTGGGACTAACGTCTGCTTCCTGTAGTTGTGAGTTCGCCAGCATACTTATTCTAGCCCTTACAAACCTTGAATTGTATGCAGCTGCAATAGCTATCATAGATTTGTGACCCTGTAAGAGGATTATTCATTTTCCGTTGTCTATTACACAGCCCTCCGACATTTCGTGACCCTGGTCGGTAGGGCGGGAAGCGTAGTTTTCACCCAAGTAGCAGACATTATCTTCATTCAGAGAGTTTATGCCCTTTATCGTCGAAGCAACAAGAGTGAGCTCTCGCTCTATTGTCACGCTCTATCGTCCACTCAGGCCGCCCCTAGTCTTGTGCCTTCTAATCTTGCTTCTTCTTGGTTCGTGTCCAAATTACAGATGGTTTCATGAAGCTGACTTTACCTTTACGCAGTCGAGGCCACGGTTCGTTGCATCACTCTGCCTCTGCTGAAGGAATGGATATTCACGAACATTCCCCCCGACATAGCTCAATATCTACTCAGCCGTCCTAGCAGCCAACATATCGGAAGGCGGGCTGGTCACGCCCCCAATCCCTTGGCCCGGATGCCTCGTCGTTATCGATTCATGGCTGAAGGTGTGCCTCATGGCTGTGTGAGTAATGCGTATTGGTGCTTGTCGATCGAGAATCACCAATCTGAAGTGTCCGTCCTAGCATCCCTACGCTCACCATGGCAGGTATGGAATCATGGATGTGGAAACGCGAATGGCATTCACATGAGCCACCCACAGTCGTTTTCTTTGTGTTGACGATGTACAAGTTCTTCGGGTCGATTCGAGAACAAACGGGTAGACGGCTCCTCGATGTCCTCCGTGATCACAACAATTTCTCGCCGATTTTGATGATTCTGGTTTGGGATGGTGGAGTTTACTTCTTCTTGTAAGGCCTCCTCTTCTCCTGCTACGACGAACGTTCATGAAAAAGCTATTAGAATCCTCAGTATGTATACTGGTATGCTCTTTCAACGCTTCCACTCTAACAGGAAACTTGTGGGATCGAATAGTAATGTTGGTGATCTTCGCGTTTTTGACGCTGTACAAAGGTGGTGAGCTGAGCATGTCCCTGGTACCGTAAGCAAGCTTTGGTATCCTATAAGAGATATCCTCACTCACCTTGGATGTATCTCACTCAGATGGCCAACAGTCGTATATTCCGTCGCCGGCTCCCATTTAATCCTCAACCTGCGCAAGGCGGGTGGAAGGGGTGGGCCCACCCTCCTCATAGAGACTCTTCCCAGCCTACAAAGCGATCATGATATTAGGTTTGCGCACAAGGTCGGGTCCACTCACAGAATTGGTACGCTTCCGTAATGCAAAGTTTCGATGCTAGCAACGACATATCATGTCTTCTGTCTGTACTTACATAATTGAAAACCCCTCCTGTAGATATTTATTTTGTAACTGTGTTTTACAATTCTCCTTGTTTTCCTGAGGACGTGGGCCTCCCAAAAGAAACATCGCAGGTGGGCATGGGCACCCTCACCCGCTGCAATTTCAGCCTTCTGGTTGTTACTGCACAATAACTTTTATATCGGGGAGCATAACTACGGGTAAGTACATCAACATCTCATATGACTACCGAAACATACTGAACATAATAGCTACAACGCCCTCTGAATCGAAGGAAAATTAGACTCCAGGCGGCAGAAGAAATCGAGGAAAGTAGGCAAGGCAGTCGGGGTGCAAAAGTTCGGAAGTCGGACAAGGAGGGTAGGTCACTGGGTGCCTTCAGGTTTCTTTGCAGCGTTCTTGGCACCGCTCGTCAAACTCTTGTGAATGAACGGCAAGACTCCTCCGCCTGCAATCGTGGCACGAACAAGGGTGTCGAGTTCTTCGTCTCCTCGAATAGCGAGTTGCAGGTGGCGGGGGGTAATGCGTTTGACGCGGAGATCCTTGGACGCATTTCCTATCTAACCATCAGCAATCCACACTGCACTCTAAATGACCCTGAAGCATACCAGCAAGCTCCAATACTTCGGCGGTCAGGTACTCCAGAATGGCAGACGTGTACACAGCAGCTTTGGCACCGATACGGACGTTATGTTGGGTTCGTTGCTTGAGGTAACGGTGGATACGGCCAACGGGGAACTGAAGCAACGCTTAGCTGAGGAAACTTTTCAAGACGCGCGGTGAGGCGTCAAGAATACCATTACACACCTGAAGACCGGCTCTCTGACTTCGCGTCTGGATCTGACGTTGTTGATTGTTCTGTGACCCGCCGGCAGCAGGCGCGCCGGGCTTTGACTTGCCACCACCACCAGCCTTCGCTGCAGGTGCCATTTCACGGAAGTTTTTGGGTCGAAGGAATGTCTATGGACTGCGAAAAAATGACTCGGTGTGAGTTGATACGCTCACAGCGCGTTAAGAAGCAATTCCGCACCTATGATCGCCCTAAAAATTCAACTTCTGGTGCAGCTGTTGTACAAGAGCAATAAAATGAGTTGGCAAGGCTTCTCAAGGTTGCTCGAGGAGACTTCACCGTTGATGAACGCAGAAGTGGTGGTGGTTCCAAAGAGAGACGTATTGACGCGTATTTGGTAGTCATGATTCACACAACCGAAATCAACAAAGTCACACGCCCGGTCACGAGTCACATGTCGTGACTGGAAATATAGTCCTCCGAATCATATTTTTTTTTTTTTTTTTTTGAAGTCTTCCACGTAGGGTGTATTTTAGACGTACTCCAAATACACAAAAAATAGGGTGTTCGATCACAGTCCCTTGGAGGTAGGCTACACCTAAACGACCCTCCTCATCATCCCATCCCTCGACCCGCCGCCTTTGGTTGAAGCCCCATTGGGTGCCGAAGCTTCCAGCTGTTGAGACAGTTGGTGAGAGCTGACCAGTTTCCTTGCGGTTCGCCAAATCTAAACAATCAAGGGCTTCATGGTGTTAGTCCTTCCCAGCATTGGGCGCCGAAGCTTCCAAGCCGTCAGTCGCCTGCATGGTTGGTGTGCCGGGCCAACGCCATTGACGGGGGCAGCACATGTAGGTGCTAAGTACCCCTAACGAGATTGGATGGTTTGGAAGTGAAATGTTGAAATGAGTGACTCTGCCTTCCACTATGCCTTCCGCCCTCTGATACAACCCCACCCGCTTTCCTCCCCCATTTCCCAAACCCTAAGGCACGCATCCTGTAGCATCCCCCTACCATGCGAAGGCGGTCGAATATCTAGTGTTTCTCCCCAAGGGGTGTAGCCGGATCATAGGCAACACGGCTGATGATCGGAGACTAGCCTCCTCCCTCCATGGGTTGCCTTCCATGACTAGGTTGCGCCCCCGAAAGGTCTGCGCGAAGCAGAGCAAGACGGTACACGGGCTGCCTATCAAGTAGGGCCATCAGTTGCGCTTTGAGGTTGTCGTAAACAAGGTCTTCGGGCCTCCAACAAAGCGATTGGGATACAACCACGCCGAAGTCGCGATCTTCTCCGATAAATAAGAAAAGGTGTTGGTTTAATGAATAGATAAGGAATCAGGCAATGAGTGGGGCCCGATGGAGGACGATGCCGATTAATGAGAGGAGTTCGGTAGTGTAGAGCGCGGCCATGGTGGGGGCGACGAATTCCCACGGCCGGATGGTGATGGTTCAAAATCAAGAAGCGTCGTCCGAATCATATTCATAATGTCGTTGTTAACAGTCATTGTGCGTCGTCGCGGCCTGTCAAATACTCAACTATTGCGAAAATGTCAAGGGACTTGATTTCTTACTACCATGAACCCCCATCCATATACCCACCCAGAGATCGAATTCCGACAGGCGGAGCTCGTGAAGACTGGCCCCTTCATCGACTCAGACGGGAGTACCAGCGGGAAGACGCTAGTGGACCTGCTCGAGGTATACCCAGATAGAACAGAGTGGAAACCAAAGCTGGACCATTCAGAGCTTGTAGAGCTCGTCAAAGTAAGTGTTCAATCATCCATTCTTCTGACTGATTCGAACATCTGGATTCTGCAGGTAGATGATGTCGGGAAGTCCAGCAAGCCACCACCATTGCGAATATTGTACGACTACGTAGATGGGCGCTCTTCAGAAGCCTCCGTTTAACGCACTGTTTTGCAGCTTCTTCGATAATCTCTTCTTCCTGTCGGAGCATCCCTACAACGAGATCAGCTCGACAGGGTACTGGATGCGCCAGCTCTGGGGTGTTTCGCCGATATTCATGGCCGTCGCGACACGCAGACACGGTGGGATAAGGGGTAGTGGATGCTTCGTGCGTCGAGACAAGGACGGGAAGAGATCTTCTCTGGGTAGGCCACCCTCCTTTTTCTGCGGGCCGTCTCCTCATCTCCTCTAGACGGCGTGTATCACTTTTCCAGCGGCAAGGATCCTGCGACCACCATCTGGTTCTCCCACAGCCTAGTGGAAGGCCAAGGTTCCACATACATCATCCACAAATTCCCCGAGGAGACGAAGAAGGCCCTTCTCGCATGCATTGACACCTGCCTCCTGCGACCTCTGGCTGTCGACATGTTCCTCGCCGAACGCGTGAAGCATTCCCGCATCCACTGGACTGTGGGGTTCCCGTGGGCAAAGCCGCATTTGTTTCCGGGTCTTTCGACTAAGAGAAAGCTAGCATCTGCGAGAAAACTAAGGGTAAAATAATAAGATCCTGCGTATTTAACGGAGCAGAGCAGGCGTACAATACCCTTAACTTCGGGGTTTTGACGTCCGCGGTATGTTCTTCTAATTCGTCAACCTGTCAAGGATCTCGGAGTGAGTTCCAGATATGCTGCCAGTAACAAGAGTACTTACAGGAAAGAGGTCTGGTAGTGCGGAAGCATCTATCGCATTCTTCCACTCGGTCTTTTCGGAGTAGACTTCCAAGACATCGACAAGCGTCTGGGCGCCTGGGGTGGATCCAGTAGGTCGCACCGAGAGAGGTTGTTCTCTTTCTAGAGTTTCTATCGCTGCACACTCGATTGCCGGGTGTGTCAATGATTGAAACACGTCCATGCTGGAGTGGAATGAGAGAAGAGAGCTGGATTGGCGTAACGACGTCCACAAGGGTTAAATACGCAATTAGAGGGTGCTGGGTGTGTTTGCCTGGACACCCTGTGGTGTTGAATTCAGGTTCTAGGTTATGGGTTTTTTTGAAATGTACCCTGACATGTATTTTCCTTGTTCGCGAAAGGGGTACGCATGTCCTGGCACTGCATTAGATAGAGTAGTCAGGAGTAATGGAAGTTAATGGTGGCCCGGTGCATTAAATGTCCCCTGCTCGTTATCACAAAGAATGACTAGACCAACGCTGAGACCTGAGGTGCCAAAGCCGCTAACTTTGGCAGGCTCACATATACAACGTTGGCACCGGGCAGTTTAAATTTGCAGATTTTATTTACAAAATTTCGTCTCTCCACAAAAGTTCCCGAACTGGTCAACGTCATAGTGGCCAGGTCTGGACGCACAAAATTCAGCGTGTCAAGGTTGACCGTTTCGTGTTCGGCCCAGAAGCTCACCCGTTCTAGCTTTCGTAATCCCAGTATATCCAGGCACGAAGACCAACACCATCGATGGCGAACACGGTTTGGACTCAAGCCAGACAATGCCTGGAAGTGTAAGGTCTGACGATACAAGCCTTGCGAGTGCTCGAATTCGGAAAGCTGAGCAGCTGTGCAGCGACGCCTCGCGAGCTGTTCGAGGCTCCAAATCGTCGGTCCCTTCTTCTGAGCGAAGACGCCCAACGAGAATCTCCATCCTTCCCTGTGTGCGATGACCACTGAGTTGAAAATAGGGACCTATCAAGTCATCAGAAACGACTCGATGAGGAGGATGAGAGGAGTGTGAAGAGACATATGGCACCCGTTATCATGCTGGCTGCACGTCGACGCTTCGGGACCGTCAGGCGCGGCAAATGCCATCCTCCATCCAACGGTCGAAGCATAGGGAGAGAAGAACCACCTCAATACGTGACACCAACTCTCATGAACCGATGTGTTATAGTAGTTCCTACCGCCGTCCTATCGCCACGTCCCTGTGGCGCAAGGCTGTGGGCCGCCGCACTCATCGATCAACAGGTTGGCGTATGGTCTCGCAGAAATCCGTGTCAGGAGGTATCAAGGAAGCATACGATAAGAGGACCTTTCCGAAGGCAGCCGGAAAGGGCACGATTGTGGGTGCTAGGCGGGAGGAGTGGCCGAGATAGGTTCTTGGAATAGCAGGGAAGACCCAGGTCCAAAGGTCGACGGTGGGCCAACGTAGGTATATCGTGGTCGGATGAAGCTAACCGGTGCCCTCACGCGTTCTTCGTGAAAACGTCTACCAAACATTATTCGAGGCAAGTCGTCTTGCGTACCCCGCGGGGTAAGCGCGACCAGCATCAATGCTCGACTTTCGCTTCTGATCGAGGTCTTTGGACTATTTGCATAAAACGTCCTGTCGACAGATGTATCTATAAAATCACTGAGGATTTAGAATTTAACAATCTCTGATAGCGATTGCCTCTTACCTCGAACACTGGATGAAGGTTCACCACCTCACTAGACTCTGCGCCTAGACAATGCAGTATCTAAGTCTTTAATGAACTCGCCGCAGTTTGTTGACTTCTTGAAGGCTGATTACAAGCAGCAACGCAACGACCCTGTTGGACCTCGTATGAAAATTAACGGCCGAATCGCGTACCACCTTTCTGAGGCACATTGGGTATACTGGCTTGCACGCTTCGAGGGCCCATTATCCTGTAGGACTCCGATCTCCAGTAGGCGACGGTCGATGGTAACCTTCCGACCTCCCGAATGAGATGAGCTAGGTGCATGACCGGGAAGGTAGCGAGGAAGGACCGGAGGTGAAACGACAAGGATGAGGGATGGTAGTGCTGGCTCTATGCCGTGCGAGCGACGTCGAGGGGTATGTACCTCGGAGAGGGCGTCTCGGAGCTGTGATGTTGGCGGCGCCGTGGCTCATCTTCCGATGCGAAGTACTTATAAGTTATAACCCCAGACTTCTTCTAATAGTTGGAGGACGGCACGGCGTCCTATTCTCGTACCTATCCTCTGGACACTGGCTCGTCGGTGGTCGACGGTGCATTATTCTCGAAGACATGCGTCACTCTAAAGGCACCACCCATGGTCGAAGAAATTCGGCGGTCTCCAAGTACCTCTCTTGGCCCGGGGTGGCCAACACCGATCGACTTGGTACCCGTGAGCTACATGACGATCCGTTGGAGGGTGGCGCGGTCAAAACGAAATGAAATACGCTGTTGGGAGAGGCTATGGTGACGGGCGAGATGGAACGTTTCAAGCTTTGAACGTTGAACAAGCAAAGGATCGATGGGACACTGGCGCAATGTCTACCCTGTGGTTGAAGTCTCGTGATCATCGAGAGGGACAGACATTGGCCGCCAACGGAGAACGAGACTCCTGCTGATCGAGTATTACTCTGTTAAAAGATCGAGCTTGGTGGGTAGCGCGAACGTGTACATTGCAGGAAGCCGAAGGCTATGGAAATCTTGTTGGAAAGGCAGAGCTGGTCCTGGAGAGGGAGGGACGACGCCGGGCTGGTCGATCGGGCTCTTCTAGGTAAGTAGGAAGGGTTGGCTGGGCGGGTTTGGGACGATGAGGTGCTTTCGGGTGGAGGAGATGGATACCAGTAGGGGAAACGCAGATGTGTGCCGGGGGAGCGTAAAATACCAGGGCCGGCGAGGGAGGGCTGAGGCATCCGGCAGGGGCGAGGGCCGACGGCCGACGGCACATGACGATGAGGGAAATGCGGACTCGGGGGAGGCAATCGAGAGAAGAATGAGAGAGAAGCGAGAGCAGTGGCCATTAGTCAGGAGGGCTGCTTGCAATTGCCAAGGTCTTCAATACACGACGCTGCCTTTTGTGAAGGCGGGTAATTTCTTTGATGGCTGGTCGTTTCACTTTCGTACGTTCGTCTTTGAACCTCTTCAAATTCATATCGAGCGACCTGTTCGAAGTATCAGTATCTTCCGACTTCCCAAGGCGGCCGATGAGACACACCTAGACGCTGAGGAGACCCTCCAACCTCTAGAGCACGACCATGTCCTTCAAATTGCACGTACAACTCCGAAGACTGCGTCGAAAAAAATTGAGGCCAGAATTGACCGTGTTCTGGAGCAGAATTGGGGATCCATATCACAGCAGCGCGAAGGAGGGATCGAGCGCGAACTTGGGTGGAACAGAATCAGAGGGAGGGGCCTGGAACGGCTTCGTACGCGAGAGGAAGAAGATTCGGTAGCCAGAGGCAAGGCAAGGTCCTCGAGGGGAGGTGTGAGGAAGGATTGTTGGAGACGGTCGAGAGAAACGACGGGAGCCAATGAGGACGCAAAATGTGAACGAAATACCGGCCCGATCCACCGGCGTTCCTCGGCGGATGAGACTGGCCTTGATTTCCTTCCAATGAGTATCTTTTACTCGCTCTTCTATCTCGACGGTCCTCGTTAACCAAACCTGTGGGGACACTGCGAAACCCATTCCACTTAAATGCCGTTCTTTCTCTGAGTCCCTCCTAGCCGACTGTAATCGGCTTCATTTCAGGTTGGCCATACTGAGTCCTGGACTCCAACAACGAAACCCACAAAATTCTCAATGTTCGAGGCAAAGACTCGTCGTTTCAAAGGGTGGAAGGAAGGAATGGCAAATGCAACAAACAAATTTCAACAAGAACCTTCGAGCCTTCGGAATCTCAGCACAAATGCCAGCGACATAGTCGATGACTCGATGGAGGAAGTTCTCACATGGCATGGCCATGGCAGCGAGGCGTATTTCATATGTAGAGGGATGCGGAAATCCTAACACCCCGCAAGTAGAGGGTTGCAACGAATTTCCACTCTCCCGATTCTTGACTTTAACCTTATTGATTTTTTATTAGCCCCAAACGAACCACTCTTCTGAACTACTAGCTGCCTTGCATTGCTATTGGATATTCGGAATTTCAACGCCAGGGCCAGCCACAGAACCCCCGCTCGGAATGTTTCAATTGTCCAGCGTTTCGCTGAGTTTATCTCACTCGCATGCGGAGGCTTAAAGGAGGATTGACTCCCCAGCTAGGCTTACAACGCTATACAACAGAGGATACAGCAAGTGGCTGCTGGGCCTCGAACTGGGACCATTGCTCGCCATTGTCATACTATGATACGTGAACCCTGGGCCAGTAGGTGCGTAATGTGAACGGTCTCCAACGTCGGCATTGCGAAAACTGATATCACCAGATCGAATCAGCGAATCTGCAGCACGTCGTCTAAGTACGTTAATATCGTCAATAGAGACATTGGCAAGCTCCTGACATGCCAGATAGATTCCTTGCTGTTACGACGTCCGTATCGAGCACCTGAATCCGTAACTTACCCCAGATGGCCTACGAAATTGCCTTCAAAAATCACGATCGACACGGCGACGAAGGACTTATCACCTCGTTCTCTTCGTTGCATTGGACAGCCCTACAACATCGTCACCCCAATTCCACCGTCCGCGCCGCGCCGCACTCTTCATAGATTCTCATTACGTCCACATGTTCAAACTGCATGTTTGGCATTCGGATGAGCTCCAGTCTGCGACTCAAAATCACACTGCCTCAACCCCCGAGGGCGTCCTCTAGAGGCGTTGGACGTGACGTTCTTTCTTGTCGATTATTATTGTTATTGCGGAGATGTATGTGCACACCTTCGCCGCCCGCTGTTAGTTCTAAACTTCTACCTTCCTTGAGTTGTCCATTTCAAGAACCCCAATGCAACGCTCGAGTCCGTTGACTCTTTAACCAAGCCCACGCCTAACCTTTAATCCCCATTCGTCATCCGATATCCTACCATTCGCCGTCAGCAGCGATGTGGCTTCTGCTTTCCTTGTGCTGGAAGGCGGTTCTAGCCTTTTGCCTGGCATAACATGCACATATCGCAGAGCCAATCCACCAGTCAAGGGAGCTTCACTTCCGAAGTCGTTGCAGTGCAGGCAGCACGGTTCATCTTCTCCGGCCTATCCCCACTCCAATACGCCACTGGTCGGTATGTATGCGGCTTCTATCTGGTCTCATAGCCTGGTCATTTCGGTTCGAAGTCGAAGGGTGTCTTGCACCTCGGTGACAACATATCGATATGAAATGGTATGTCACTTACGTTGTCGCCCTGCCTTATGTATTGACGTCCCTCAAAGAGCGAGTCGGGAAAGTGAACCATAGCCGAACCCGTTGAAGGTTTAATCCGTCCAAAATCGACAATAATTTCCAAATGGGGCTGATAGACAGCCAAGGATCACTGGGAGTGGAGTCGGTTGCGAGGTTTCGAGTCCAGTTAGCGTTCTTTGTTTTATTTCAGCGGCGGAAATCTCACATGGCGCCCGCCGTCTTTACCTCTAAATTTAGCGTTGGAAGACTCACGTATGCCAGGACCCTGTCAGCCCTCATGCAGGGGCAAAGAGACTTGGCATTGAATGAGAATGGGGTGTTTACCATGTATAGGGCGACCTAGAGTTCCGAGGGCTCGCTTCGTTTCGCCATGTCGATGCTACTCTAGGCTGCTCGGCTGACGTATATGAACGAAGTCTCCTCGAGGCGTTTCTCCTCGAGGCATTTGTGGTGCTTCGGGAAGGATGGCATGAAGCTTCTATTCTGGTTGACTTTCCTGAGGTGGGCTCGGGTGCGTGCTAGTAGACGAGATCGAGAAGTCGAAGCCGGGCTGACACTGAAATATTGAACGTTGAGCGCTGGGGTTAGCAACAATGTAGAGAGGCGGATCGAGGAAGGCTAAGATGCTGCCGCAAGAGTTTGGAAATCCTAGCGCTGAATATGATTCTGAATATCTGCTTCGAGGGGGTTATATATCATAGGGCTGGATAGCGCTGTAAGTAGTCGCTAGAGTCGGCCGGTGGCATTAATTATGAGGTGATTTACTTGTCTCAGTGGCATGATCTAGTTCATCGATGCGAGCCCAACAGATCACATTACGGTTAGCGGCAGTTGCCGCCGTAGTGCTCGCCATAGTCTGGCACCGTAGCTTCCAATTCAGAGATTTTCCGACAGGTGCGGAGTAGCTAGTCTTATTGTCAGAAAGAATCATGCTACGGAGTCAAAGGAAAGCTAATGGCTATTTATGAGTTATAAGCGACGGAGACGAGGGGAAGGGGAATCGTATGAAAGATTGTGTTACTACATAGACTCGCTCCAACGAGATCAGGTATTGACAGGAGCGTGATGAGGCAACGTTTTATCTACAGCGATGTAAAAGCAGAAATGATACACGACATGAGAGAAAAGGTGATGGTACAAGATGAGAAACAGTCTATGTGGCCGCGGTAGTGTAGTTCCTGCGCACGGTATTTCGACGAAAGGTAAGAAGAGGAAACTAGTCACGAATCCAACGGTAAACATTTCCAGCCGAGTTGACTCCCCAAACCACGCCATCGGCTCCCGCTCCAATATCAACCAAGCCACCAGCGATATGAGCCCAGGGCTTACTATCATCGCCCGTGATCGTGTAGATGTTCCCTCCGCTGTTGACCCCCCAGACGTTGGTTTTCACCCCGGCGGAGATCGCAGTGAGGCCACCGTCGATTTTGACCCAGTGATTGGGATCGCCTTGGTCGCCCGTGTAGCGATAGATATTGCCAGCAGAGTTGACCCCCCAGACTGTGCCATCGGCACCCGCGCCAATGTCGGTCAGTGCACCGGGGATCTGAACCCAGGGGTTGCTGTCGTCGCCCGTGTAACGATAGATGTTTCCGCCAGCGTTGACTCCCCAGACGTTGGTGCGCGATCCAGCAGAGATTCGTTTGAGAGCACCGGAGATTTTGGTCCAGTGGTTGGAACCCCAGGTGTAGCGGTAGATGTCGCCGCCGGCGTTGACCCCCCAAACCGTGCCATCGGCAGCCGCTCCAATGTCGGTTAGGGAACCAGGGATCTGGACCCACGGGTTACTGTCATCGCCGGTGTAACGATAAACGTTGCCGCCAGCGTTGACTCCCCAGACATTGGTGACCGATCCAGCAGAGATTCGTGCAAGGCCACCGGGGATCTTCTTCCAAGGCATTGTGAGTGGTGATAAACTTGACAGAACACAGACCTCAGTGCCGTGAACGAGCAACAATAGTCGGTAAAATATACCTGATAACGCGCAGACTACATATATGTAAGCACGGGATACTCATGAGGAGAATTGTGTACGTACCACTGTAAACGATTGCGAACGATGAGGGGGAGATATGTGCGCACACTGTTTATATACAATGTCAGAAATTCAATCCGAGCGGAGTTCCAATGAGTTATGACACCAGTCGCGCTGCTGAGACCCAGGGGCCAGAATTACGTGTGTTCTGGACTGGAAGATTCACCCTCTGATAGGCCGATCCAAACTGTTTCAGGGCGCTGCAAAAATCGAGACACATTTTTGCAACGCGAGTCTTGCCGTCATTTAAAATCATGTAAATAAAAATTATGGAGATGATATGCACAAGAATCAAAGTCTCTTGATAACGAAAACATAATTTTGAGATGCTCGAGCAGGATAAATTCTACACGGCAAAGTTTACACTCTCTCACAACGTGAGAGGGTGCTTATGTGAGCATACCTTCCGCGGTAGACCAACCCCATTTGGAAACTATTGTCAATTTTGGAACAGCTACTCACCTGCGTGCGTGGTGCTATTCCGTCGGTGTAAAGGTGTGTACGGCCCCGCCCTGTGGATTCAGCGGCGAGGGCTGCGAAACAGGAGCATGAGATTTCGGGAGCAAGGCTGAGCAGGACGGAAGACCACATGCCCTACTTTCAAATGTCAAGCATCGTAAGGAGGGGCAGGGCGACACTCCACGAGGTGGGGTGATAGTGTAAATTACATACATTCCTGCTGCTTGCGCTGCAGGGCACACTTCTACTTCGAATCGATGTGATGAACCAGCATGACATGAGTCCAGAGTAGGGAAGGCAGAAGCCACCTCAATGGCGTCGTGCAATCCTACTGCAGAACGCGGGGTTGCGATGATCTATCCCCACGATAATAGCGCGGAGGATAAGTAGAGGACATAATTTATTCTAGCTAGAACGTCCCGGGTGAAGAGAGTTTGTTCTTAAGCGAATAGTTAGCGGGGAGCAAGAAAGAGACCGACATCGCCGTCATGTGTTCGACTTGAGCTGTGTCGAAACGAGACCTTGTGAAGATGAACTGATAGTCATCGACGGGAGAAGAATGCCTGTTTTTAATCGATACGCTCGGTGCAAGTCTCGAAAGTTAGTTGTGTGAAGGAGAAAGGCACAATCATCATGTGTTCAACTTGAGCTGTGTCAAAACCGTAGCTCATGACTGATCACTTCAAACATTTGAACTCCACGCCCACGGAGTTTTGATCACCGTGGTTCTGAATCGGCGATAGACCTGGCGGAAGATCGGAGATGAATGTGCGTGAGTCTGGAGGCGAACATCACTTGGAATTCGAAAGCCTAAGAAGCACATGTAGGCTGATATTGATTAGTCAGAAAGACGACGAATATAGCACTGTCTCTCCTTAATTGTCGCGTGAACCGACGAGGAGGGGCAGGGTGGCGTTATTGTGAAAAGAATTGGATGCGAGCTGACGATTAATGACGCGACGACGCGACGAAGGGCATGAGGGACAATATGACAGGCGATATGACAGGCGAGTGACATCGAGAAGCTCGGACGGGGGCTGCCGACTGTGGTTGGGACGTTGGTGCAGTGTGTACTGGGCTTCATCGATTCATCGACATCGATCATCGAGGTCACTATCAGACCGGTTGGCGCTCTGCAGCGTGCTTATGAAGGCATGAAAAAATTACGACCTCCTCGAGTTGAACTTTGCCCATCAACTCCATGAATTACGCCGGGAGCTAGATGTGTACATGTAGGAAAAAGGACAATGCAGAGAGTCGAAGTGGCTGGAAACAGCTGGAGGCGAGGGATGTGAGAAATGCGCCGTCACTCGAGTAAGGGCGATCCGGTCGATCGAGTGAGAGGGGCGTGTTGTAGAGGTCATTTGACATTCGGTGGCGAGATAATAGACGCCAAGCTCCTCGTTGAGGGGACAGGCCCCAGTGTTGCCCAAGTCCAGAAGTTCCTCCTTGGTATCGGGAGAAGGGGAGAGCCAGGGCAGTCACTCTTCGCTGGATCATGCACAATGAGCAGAGAAACTCGAGAGGAGAGACAGAGGATACGTACCACCGTGTCGCTAGGGTGGATGCCCTCTGAGTCTCGTGTCAACGTTCATGCTCTTCTGCTCATACTCCTCGTGCGGGATAGCAATATCCAAGCTTTCAACGGACGTCTAGGCCTCTATACGGAGCGAGAGTTCGGCGGCGAGGAAAGGACAAGAGGTGTATACCGAGTTATCCAGTGTACTGTGGACGCAGAGAAGTGCCCCGGGGAGGGGGGGAAAGCAGTAAAAGGCGACGAATGGTGTCGGTGGACATCGACAAGACGAAGAGCGGCGAGCCAGCCTGACAGAGGTAGTAGTGGTCTGGTTCGACTCTCCTGATTGGCTCAACTCGACAGCTCTTCCTGACGGCTGACCCTTTCTGCCTCGACGTACTCCCGTCTTCGGCCATGGTGGTAGATAAGACAACTTTCACCTTCTCATTCAGAAGGTTTAAATTCCAATTATGGTATTCACTTGTACTCTATGTACTAGGAACGCACTCTTTCGTAGCTTGCAGTCGGAGTCCACAAGGGGTCAAGAAGGACCGCTGCGCCAAACTGATGTGTGAGCTAGAAATGAAGGAGAAGGTATTTACCTTTTTGTAGTGTTTGCGCAGCTCGTTCCTGGCGAGAGGATCACCTTTTTATGTCGAGTCGAAAAGGCCGAAAATCGCTGAATGAATTCCTTTTTGTGGTTCGAGTCGACAAAGTCGGCGTTGAGCCTGTTGAACGCCGCGCCTTCTAGGGCCATCCTCTGGGTTCGTTGGAGAGCTTGTTCCACTTGGTAGCAAAGAGAAGGGCATTGATAGTGCAGATGAAGGAGTGCATATATGCATGGATAGTATTGGTGGTGACGGTGTTGGACATAAACTTCTCGCGAACGTGGAGGCGCTCTGTCGAGTCGTCGTTGGCATCGATCTCCAGGGCGGTAGTATAGATGCCAGAGTAAGATCCGTCGACGAGAACGTTGGCGACTGTGACATTATCGTCCGCCTGGGGAGGTACGCAGAGAAGACGCACGAAAGCCTGCTGCTCTCGGTCGTGCATCGCGCCGGTCGGCGGACAGGTAATAGGCTCGATCCCCTCGGAAGTGGGCAGGGGCTCATCATAACCTTCGAGGATCTCTGCAACCCGGTTGAGAGTGCTCTGAAAACGGTGAGAAGCGGCGCATACATGAAGAGATAACAAGCAATATCTGGCTTTGCTGCGGCTACAGGTCCCTGCCAGTCGATTTCGGGCTGCTCGATATCGGATGCCTACATCGTTCCCGCGGCGTTCATGTGTATGACGGCGGCAGTGCTATAGTACTCGGTGACGGTGTTCTTGTAGCGTGCGCGAGTCTTTGGAGAGAGACTTATGGGTTCTAGTTGAGAAATCGTAGCGAAACCTTTCTTGATGGGGGCAGAGGACATGGTGGTCGGAAGTCTAGAAAGTTTTGGTGACGCGTCCCAAAGAACGCGTCGTGTCACGTGGCCGCGTTACAATACCAGAAAGAACGCTTGAGTTGTTGGGAAGAGGTGGAGCGATGAGGAAGGAGAAAAGGGGATGTGCTCCGTGTTGTATGATAGATATCGAGCGGAAGATTGCAGGTGTTGCTGGTGTTACGTAAAATAGACGACACATTTCGACGACGGTGCGTTCGCTATAATAGGCAAACGGATATAGACGACGGTACAAAATAGTTATTTAAATACTGTAATACTGTACCTAGTAACACGCTCGCACAGTCTCGTGATATTCCAACAGCTGGGAGGGTCGCGACGTGGTTCGTCCTCCGTGATCTGGTGGAGGGATGCCGATTCCAGATTCCTCGTTGCAAAATATGAGTGTTGGCCAAAGCCAGAAGTCGGAATCCTGTTGGTGTTAGGAGAAGGCCGAAATTACATTGTGGGCGCGGACTGCAGTAAGATAGGTGGACGCCGAGGCAATGTTCGAGGAGCTGGTTTGTTGATCTACTACTACTACTTATTTTGATCTTATCTTGTCCCGATGGCGCCACATCAGAAGATTGCAGTGCACGGTCAACACCACGCCTTTTCCCCTAGGTCTTCCACTGGCGAACGCCCCCACGAGCTCGAATACAGTAGAGGTGACGATACTTCCCCTTCGTCTCCCTGTTATTAACAAAAGTAGGACGCCCGCAGGAAATGAAACATCCGAATAACGCGGCCGACCGGTTTACCCGTCATTTTGGGACTAATTACGCGCCTACGGAGACAGAGGTCGAAGAACTGAAGAACATCCTCAGAGATCCTGATACTCAGCTACGGGCGCTCGACGAACAGATCGTGCAGAAAGAGTTGGATGGACTACGGAAACGACGTATAGCGCTCTTGGAATCGACCAGAAACCACCGCACCCTTCTCTCATTGATTCGGCGAATTCCCCAAGAATTGCTGCAGGATATCTTCCTTGCCTGTCTTCCAGAGGACAGGAACCCCAGCATGAGCACCGATGAGGCCCCGATGCTCCTCACCCGCGTCTCGAGCTATTGGCGCCAGGTTGCACTCACCACGCCTCAACTCTGGGCGAAAATCTATATTCTTATCCCATCTGTCGCTGACCAGTGGGGGCATCAGGAAGAAATGAGCCGCGAATCCATCCACGATGCTGTAAACCAGCGCATCAAAGGTGTAAAGATATGGATCGACCGTTCACGGACCTGTCCTCTTAGTTTTCGCATCCATGAATGGACCGGGGATGAGGGAAGCTCGTTGGCAAGAATTTTCACACAGAGTGTCTCGTCCCCGTCTGTGGGAGGTGGAAGGATTTGACCCTGACAGGAGAATCACAGTCCTTTTACCCACTTCAACAACTCACCGCCTCTGAACTCCCTTGCCTCGAAACCCTTAGTCTTTCTTACTCGCAGGGGTGGGGAGCGCCGAACACGGGAAATTCAGAGAGCAATCTTTGGACAGCGAATGGAATATTGGGCAGCCAGCAGCTTCGCTCAAGATCTTTTCCGGTTCAATTCCTTTGGAGTCAGTGAAGTGGGAAAGGATGATAACGCTCTCATTTGAATGTGGCCACCGTTCAACCTGGAGTGGTCTTGATTTTTCGTCCATCACATTTACAAAAGCGGCTCTTCGCCAGGCTTCTGTCCTCAAAAATTTCACCTTGCGATCACGATCCCTCAATCAAGATGTCCGCGAGGATGAGGACTCGCCACCTATCGAACTTCCCTTCCTCACACACTTAGACATTGAAGACGAAGGTTGCAGTATCCTACCTCTCTTGCGCACACCATCCCTTCGCTCTTGCTCGTACCGTGACAGGAGTGGGAATGCTCGGCACACATCTCCGTTACTCCAATTCCTGAACTTGAACCCTGGCATAAATGTCGAGCAGCTGTACACAGATAATACAAGCGTACCCCATGAACAACTTATTGAATGTCTACGGCTCTGCCCAGTTCTTCAACTTCTCCAGCTAGGCTTTCATAACCCAGTATGGCCAGTCCACACCACCTATCGACGAATTGGGAGACTTGACGACAATTTTCTTCGACTGTTTGTCACGACTGCCCATTCTACCCTTTCGAACAAGGCTGACATTCTTTGTCCACTCCTTGAAGATATCAAGTTCATACAAGAGACTAATCTATCTGAGGTGGCCGTGATCAAATTCATCGAGCAAAAGCAAAGGAGGGAGGATCAACGACTTAACAAGCTTCGCAACATCAAAGTGACGTTCGGGCGAAAGAGGCGAGAGGGCGAGGACATGATGTCTGCCATAGCTCCATACATTGATGAAGGCCTCAAGGCACAGTTCACGTACCGTCATGCAGCGTACAGGAGTCAGGTATCTCTTTACGACGGGTTACCAAATGATCTTTCGTGGGGGTAGTGGAGGTATGACGACAGATGAGTAGACAAAATATGCATTGTATACACTTGATGAGTACAACTACCTGATATTCTCTGACAATGAGATGGTTAATAAAATGCCTAATTTAACAGGAGGCCGCCATGTCCCCATATCTTCCTCTCCGTCTCGTTGGACTGCCCTACAGTACCGTCTAGGCAACTCGCATAAGGTCCTCGCTGCCATGATCTGGGCGTGATCTCTTCGAGCCGTCGCCCTTGTAGAAGATTTCCTCCTTTGAGAACGAGGGCCATCGCCAGTGGGGTTTCGTTGGGTCTATAGTTCCTCTTCGCATGCGTCAGAGCGCGAAGACGGTTACTCGGCGGACCGTGTGGTTTCTCGTGCGTTCGTAATCGTCATGGACCTAGGTGTCGATGAGGAGGCTGTGTGACGCGAATGTCGAATGTACCTCGTTGCATCCTTTCTCTCTAGCGCCTACCTGATGCCGTCCATGCGTCAGATCTCAAAGCCTCATCTGGTGGATCACGGCGCCGGAGTCCCAAGTTTCCTGCTCTTGCGTTTCGGTCGATAGCTGGAACCTCAGGGCGGCCGAAATCTCCGCAATATCTTGCGTGATTGGTTGGTTGAAACCACAACTCTGTTCTGTTCAAAATTTCTTTACGAGCCTCTAGGAAGCCTCCCGGCAGTTCGCCTCCTTCATCGATAAAATTCTCTCCTGCTCTTCCCGCCGGTTCGAGTTCTACGAACTACCCTCGGAGTCAGCCATCGCATTCACTGTGTATGGTAATTTGGCTTCGACACGAAATTCAGGGATTGTTGCCTCGAGGACGACGTCAGAGGCACGTCATCTTCTATTCCTCTGCTTGAAAATTTAGCAGAGGTATATGTGGCCCTGGTGACCTTGGAAGCTTGATCTCAGCGCAGCGCCCTAGATGGTGACCTCAGAAATACGTTCATCCATTGTGAAGAACTGATTGAAGGGGAACTAATGGAAGAGGACCCACCTCAAACTCCTGAAATGGAGCACTGCAAGCGCCTCGATGAGTCTAAAAATCTGCATTCTGAGAAGAGCACAGCGACGTCGCTGCCGGAGTTGAGCGCTGAGCAGCCAGGGCAATACTCTGTTCCCTCTGTGTCGTACAACATGACTTCTTTCATGACATCCACCGGTATTAACCAGCGAACTCGAATGCACAGTCAATCGTTGACAATTTCTGGCCTGAGCTCAGTAATGAGGGGAGGAAGAGAGCGACACGAACGCTCAGGCGCCGTGATGATCTGAAGGTATCTCGTTCCGCCAAGATTTTGTGCTATTCAAGCCTTGACGAAATGAAATTGCTTTCGGACGAGGTTGGTCATTCTCCACGCTTGTGCGACGTCAACTCTGTTCTTACTCCACAACATTCACTCCAGAGGAAGCTCGATGTTGGGTTGTGTAAGTTCGAGCTGCGACACCAAGATTAGCCGGTACGAGATATCAGAAAGCGGTCGCTGCCGGTCGGACGCACAGACCAGGTGGTTGTGTATAAAAGCACCCAGGACTGCCCACATTCTCCAATCGAAAGTCCACAAGCATCCGATTAATTCAACAAATTCAACAAACTCAACAAACTCAACTCACAATGCAATTCCGCGCTACTCTCATTGCTTTCGCTCTCGCCACCCTTGCTGCCGCCACAACGACCGTCACGGTAACCCAACCGTCCGTAGGTGTCATTCTCATTATCGTCGTGGCCATGATTGCTTATCGTCCCTGCTGAAGCCTCCTCATCCGACCCCGTTGCCTGCCAGTCAGTGTAACACTGGTGAACTCCACTGCTGCAACTCGGTTCAAAATGTATGTTGAAACCTCATGCCCTGGTAAAGTAATAAATACCTGACGCGCGGTCCTCAGGCGAATAGTGGCTCGGACCTCCTTGGGCTTGTCCTTGGACTCATTGACGTGGTCGTTTTGCCCATCACCGCCCAGGTTGGGCTCACCTGCAACCCAATCAGCGTGATTGGACTTGGAGGCAATTCTTGCTCTGCTCAGCCCGTGTGCTGCCAGAATAACAACTTCGTATGGCGCACCTATTTTCCCACACATTTGCATCTCCTGACAGGTTATTTCGTGTAGAACGGACTCGTCGCTATTGGCTGCACCCCCGTCAACCTCAATCTTTAGTCGCTCATTGAAATCTTACTCGTCACTCTCGGGCGATGCGCGGTGCCCTTCGACCTATGCGTTGCGTGGAGTTCAGGGAGCCTGTGATTTTAATCTTGTTATACAAATCTGGATGTCGTTAATGTGTAAATGAATAAAAATAGGCGAGGATCGTTTGACATCATATACCGTACATTTGCGGACATATGCCCCACCAATCGGAGCTAATTTTTGGCAATGTGGCGCATACTTCCAATTTAGGCCAAATCAACTTCGAAGAAGTTCGGTCTGGAAACCGACGCTTCTTGCGGAGGGGCTGTGAATCCGCGTCAAAGTTGGTGGTCACTGAGGAAACCCAAGGGGACATGATGGGGTTGGGTGAGCGCAGCCGTGAGCGGTTAAGTTCGAAATATCGGTTATCATCCATGTGATTTTTCGAGGGGCCAGTGTCCATGCATCGCATATTGTGTGGATGGATGAAGGACGAGGTCAGTGTTGTCGTGCAGATATTCAGAGGCGAAGGACGTGAGGTGACTAAGATCGACTCAGCCAGGAAGGGGCCTACGTAAAGGGGAGGGGGACCCAGAGAGCACTCGGAGGGCAGAAGGAGTCGTCGGCCGAGTCGGCCCCGCTGAAGAGAGGTAGACGAAAAGCGCAACAGGGCTTGGGTTGGTAGGCGTTTGAATCTCGCACCGCATTTCTTCGGCGCACGAAGGGGAACAGGCTGGTACTACGATTTGAGTGGTGGGCATCCTGTGAGACCACGATCTTCGTGAAGGGATGCAGACCCTCCGACCTTCCAAAGGAAGTGTGTCGGGTGATAGATGTCGAGAAGGCCGCAGGTGTCCTGGGAACCCCGGTGGCGGGGTCGGTGCACAGGCCGTGCTTCGTCATTGACATCCGGGGCATCCGGTGATGAGGTAGAATAGACGCTAGTTTCCTCGTTGAGGGGAAAGAGGGGGAAAGGCGTGTGCTTCGGCCAAGTCGTTGGAGAAGGGAGAGCCAAGGTGGTCATTCTTCACCAGATAATGAACAATGAGCAGAGAAGCACGAGAGAAGAGGCAGAGAATACGTACCACCGCGTCGCTAGGATGGGTGTCCTCTCATGTGTCCAACATCATGCATCAACGTTCATGCCTTTCGGGTCACACTCCTCGTGCGGGACATGAGCAACGCAGCCTCTACGCGTTTCAACGGACGCCTCCAGACGTTGCAGTGTCACGAGTTTGCGGGGCTGTACGCCGTTCACATGCTGGTTGACACGGCTGAGGGTCTTGTAGTGCTGAAGCGCTGAGGGGCGAACCGGTGACGACTCAGGAGGACTTTATAAGGAGGGAGGGTTCGATGACGTGGGGAGGACGATTAGAGGCCCGGTGCGTACTGCCAGCTTATCAGGCAGAACGAGCATCACTTCAGAGAGAGACGTGGAAGGACAGAGCGGTGCGTTATCCGGTGTGCTGTGGACGCAGAGAGAGGGGCACGGAGATGGCCAGAGAGCTGGACGCGAAGGGCGCGATGATCATGAAAGCATCCGAAGCAAGAGGGATGGTCTCCCGGCCCGAGTGCACCGACGCTCCTGATTGGCTGCCGCTGCCTCTCCCATCCCGATGTCGCTCTCAAGTCATTCTCCTGCCTCCTGCGCATGCCCGTCTGCCCGCCTCCTCACCGTCTCGTCAGCGTCAGGTCTTGCGGCTCTTTTTCTGAGGCTGGCCACCCGCTCACCAGCTCACTGATCACGTACGTCCTCACCATCATCGTTCTTCAACATCTTCAACCGACATACTCCAATCCTCAACATGCCTGAGGCCTACATACTAAGTCCCGGCAATTCGAACGTCAAGTGTTTACTCGAAGAGGTAAGGAACGAGACTAAGAAGGAGGCACGTTCATAACTGCCTTCTCCCCAGTCTCCGTTTCTTTGGCCCAGACACTCTCGCCTTTCGAACTTCGGAGAGGAGGAAGGCAGGAAGTGGTTGCAGAATGCATCCCGAAAGCAGGAGAGATAACGACTGGGGATTCCATGGCGGGGATAGTAATGGAGGACATTGACGGCGGGGTATTCTCCCATGAATCGTTGGGCTCGGTGCGTCCAGTGACTATTGGAACCTTCAACCATGACGGAAGGATCTACCCTTGCCTCGCACCGCAAGACTTCTGGCGCTGATGGGCACTCTGAACGCACGTCCATCCTCGCGCAAGTAGCGCAGAAGAAGCGACGGTGAACTCGGTGGTTGGGACTCTCCGGTGCTGAACGCCAGCCTTCTTGGACGGGGAGGGCATGAAGGATAGAAGACGACAGCGAAAGTAGCGCCGCCGCTTGTATCGCAAACGCCAATTTAAAGGAAGTGGCGAAGGTAAAGGAAATTCAAAAGTGATTGCGCTAGTCCGAAATCGGAAGGCACGTGTATCCTGCCTATGCGCCACACACTTGGCTGAGTCTCTGGAAGGTGAATTATTGTAGCTATACGCCTCTGCACCTGGGACGTCAGTCTCGATTAATGGATCTACGGAGAAGCACGTTTCCTGACAGCGATTAATTCCCGTCATCCCTCTCTCTCGTCCTCGATAGATGGAAAGGTCACAAACGTTCCCGCGTGCTTCGTTTCCGACTATATAATGGTTGCGGCTTGGAACCACAATACCCAGCTTTCACTTATCCTATCGAACTCAAACTCATCTTCAGACACTCATCCACATTCCCGAACTCTTACAGACTCCAGGCACTACACTCTTACATCATGACTTCCTGGGGACCCAACCGACTCGACCTCTTCATCGTCGGCACCAACTCTGCTCTACACCACAAGCGGTGGGACGGCTCATGGGCCCCAGGCCAGACCACCTTCGAAGACCAAGGCGGGACGATGCACAACGACCCCGAGTGCGTAGCGTGGGGTCCCGACCGCCTCGACATCTTCGTGGTGGGCACCGACTACGCGATCTACGACAGGCTGTGGGACGGCGCGTCCTGGGTCGGTTACGAGCGGCTGGGTGGAAACGTGGCGGGCTCTCCTACCGCCGTGGCCCGGTCTGCTCACAGGTAAGTACTTAATCTCGTGTTCCTCGCTGATAGTATGCACTGACACTCCACTCTCCTCTAGACTCGATGTGTTCTTCATCGGCACGGACAGCTCTCTCTACCACAAGCGGTACGACGGTTCCAAATGGGTCCCATCCGTCGACGGATGGGAGAACCTGGGCGGCACATGGTTCTGCAACAAGCCAGCCATCGTCGTCTCCTCCTCCGAGCACCAGCTGGACTGCTTCGTCACGGGCGCCAATGGTGCGCTGTGGCACAGGCGCGGGGACGCGTCGTCTCAGTGGTCGTCCTGGGAGTCTCTCGGTGGCCAAATCGTCGGCGACCCAACTGCGGTGTGCTCGGACGGGGAACGCATCGACGTCTTCGCGAAGGGCGGGGACTCGGCGCTCTGGCACCTGGCGTGGAACGGGTCGTCGTGGGGTGAATGGGAGAGCTACGGGGGCATGTTCCTGTATGAGCCTGAGGCTGTTTCTTGGGGCCCGAACAGGGTGGATGTGTTTGTTATTGGGATGGGCGGCGCGTTGTATCACAAGTGGTGGGATGGGACGTCGGACAGGTTATGAAGATCTGGGAGGCACTTTTGTCAAGAAACCGAAGGCGGTGTGTTGGGGGAAGGATCGGATCGATGTGTTTGTCGTTGGCACCCGCCATGACGTACAGCATAAATATTGGGATAATGGGGTATGGAATGGTTTCGAGAGCCTGGGTGGGATCAGTGTCAGCCGGGTTACCTAAATGTTCTTGTTCCATTTTTTTACTGTGTGCATAATATGAATGATAAAGATGTGAGCCCGAGGATTGCGTGTTTGAGGAGGTAACCAAATGCAGGAAAATAAAATTTCTCGACTCAGATGGACAGCCAGGACGTGCCGTTATCCGCACGTTGTATGGGCGAACGAAGAGGGAGAGGCCGGCGTCATTAGGTCAAGGATCTGAGTTGTCCGGGACCGTTGAAGCAGACCGGCGAGCTGCTGAGATGGGACAGCGAGGAGGTCAAGTAGAAGCGCGGAAGTTCGATTCCAGCATGAGCCACGTCGAGCGGGGATCTAACGTCGAACCGTGGACACTGTCAGACCAAGCTGTGGTATGAGTTGAAATGTTGAACTTCAATTTAACTTCGCTTCTATTCTCTCCAGGATGGAGCCTGGAGTTAAGATAAGTCACGTATCAGCCTGCAGCTCATGAGGAGAGGGGAGGGAGGGAGGCGAGGCGAGGCACGGAGGATAGCTCACAGAGACGAAGCGGCCAGTGACGCCTGACGCGGACGACTGGAATAAAACGACGTGATTAGAGTGTCGTCTATTGAGTAACACGATACTGGGAAGAGAGAGAGAAAGAAGGACGGTCCTGTTGAAGTTAGAGAAAGGCGGGCTTGGCAGTTGTGATCACCCGGCCCGAGAGTACCCCACCTTATGATTGGCCGCCGCCCTGTCTCATCGTCTCTTCAGCGTCTTGCTGTTCAAACCTTCAACGTTTCAAAATTTCAACGTTAGCGTTCGGCCACCGAGACTAGCCCTAGCCACCCACCCACCGGCTCACTGGCGTACCAGACCACTCGATCGACGACCTTCCTGATTCTGTCGGGCTGGCTCTTCGCCTTGTATTGCGCCCTCCAAGCCCATCTCACTCCCTCTTCGCATCCTCTCTCCGCGTCCACTGCGCACTGGATAGCACACGTCATTCCATCTCTCTCTCTCTGAACTAAGTCTGACGCTCGTCCTTCCTGATAAGGTCGTTGTCTCTCCGTCCTCCCTTTCCCTCCCTTCTAGAGGCCTCCTTTCGTCACCATCAGCACCACAGAACTCGCAATCGCTCTCATGGTGGTGTATCGTCCGGGAACGATCGGCAATACTTTGCCCTCCCGCAGCGGCCTTTGGAAAGAGGGCTGTGGGACTTGGGCGAAACAGCCGTCGTCGAATTCCGTCTTCCTTACATAATTATCTACATATATCCTCTGCCGCGATCGACCTTGCATTTGCATAGTTTGCGTTTTTTCCGTGCACCGGTTTCTGCCATAAGTATGTGAATAACGACCTTGTGTCTGAGATTAGGATTTGAGAGTAGAAAAGAAGAGGAGATCACTTACATGTTTAGAAAAGGCACGATATGTTGTGCAATTAGGGCTGTAGAGCCGTATTCCCGTGGCAGACGGATGGAGGAGGACAAGAGTAGCATTACTCGGCGCGCGAGAGTGGGAAGGTAAGCGGAAAGAGAACACGGATAGTGGGTTCACTGAGAAGGAAAGACCTATCTGCGGTGTCAATCCCATAAACCAACACATCCACTGGCGAGATGAAACACACCATACCGCCTTGGAAGGCTGACTTGAAGAGAAAGATGCATGGTCGATGTCGATGTCGATGAGGGAGACTCGAAGAGACGACGAAGCTGCCCCATTTCCGTTCTGTAGCTACGTATCTTCTTTGCATGAGCGAAAAAAGAGAGGGCGGCAACGTACTCCAGAGAGCAGGATATGACGCCGCTACTAAGAAGGAGTCGAATGATTGGGGCCAAGTTGATGGGAAAATGAGCGTGAATGCAATATCGGCATCCAGGAGAGTCTTCGTGCTTTGCGGGACTAGGCACAGTAAGTAGGGATGCTTGAACGGGTAGATGGATGGGACCCACCGTCGTCACGTCATGATATCGGTTTGCCCTCTCAGAGTTTCAGCATCCAGATTCGATAAACAGAGTCGCCCATCGTAGGAGGTATGCCGTGCCCATGTCGTGTAGGTCAATTAGGCATTCTGTGGCGCCGCTGAGATTGGATGGAAGCCAAGGGAGGGCGAGGTTGGCGATGCCGGTGAAGAGACATTCGAGAGCGAAAAATTACGTCTACCCTGAGCGCTTGAGCTCTCGTCCTCCTCTCACACCATAACCCCACCGTCTGCTGAATCCTCGCCAACTCGTTTCGAGTCATGCACCACCCGAACTTCAGTTTCGTTACTGCCTGGGACCACCAGTCGTTTGCCAGGAGAATGGCTAGATGTAAACTTGAAGTGTAGGAGTAAACGTTGGCCGGCGCAGGCCAGCGCAGAGCAGAAGATCAGGCACTAGTACGTCATGGTCGTGGCATCAGATCAGATCAAGGGATTGTCGTTGCCTGTTTCGTAAGAACACAGTTGATCTTATCTTATCGTCACCGAGAATCCCGCTACGGGCGTCTATCTCGCGACCGTCACTTGAAAGGAATAGGATCACACTGACCCTCGAGACATTTGGATGAGTAAACACATTCTTTACAGTTAAAATCGTAGCTACTACCAGGTTGTCGTAAAGTATATGAAGACGGCGCTCTATACTCTAGGGTTTAGCGGGGATTTATGAGAGGAATTTGATATGTTTTGGAGGTTTCTCGGAATAAGGAAGTGAAATGAGGGCATGTGAGGTTCGTAAAGGAGGGTGAGGGGGATGTGGCTAGGAACTGCTTGGAGGACGCCGGTGGGGAGGGTAAGGAGAGTCTAGAGGGCGCCGAGGATGGGAGAGAGGATCTATGTGAATGCCTCGAATGCTGGGAATGCCGCGAACGCCGGGAAGGCGGGCCATGCGGGCCACGCGGGGAACTCTGGGAGAACTGGGAGGGGCGGGAGGGGCGGGAGTTGTTGGGGTTGGATTTGCCTCTCCTCGATGGTCGAATCGACTGGGTGCGCCTCAGTGAGGAGGATCGCAGCAAGAGCGAGAGCGAGGAGGCTTTGGAGAGATTGTTTGAACTGCATTGTGTCGAGGTGTATGTAGCTTGAGACAATGGTATCACTAAGCTTGCGTCGAGGTCTTTTATACCCCATGCTGTAGTAGTTTAATTGAACTTGAAGTTGCTCCTCGTCACTCGTGGAGCATAAGACCATGACGCTGGACTGAGGAGCCAACGACGCAATGGCAAGTGGTAAACACATTCCGCGACGCAGAATTCCATTGCTCGAAAAACGTAACTTGTTAGAAGGACGATTTTCGTCTTCTGGGCGGATGTTCAGATGAAGAGTTGACAGAAAGAAGACGTAGCGCTCCGTGAGTTCATTTCACCTGCCTATGGGCCTGATTTCACCCAGTAGACTCACACCCGAAGCATCTCACTGAACGTCTAACTTCAACAGGGAAGACGAAAATAGCGATGACGGTACTGGAAGGCGCAAAAGACTTACCTTCCTGTGCCTTCATTCGCATTACCAGCCTCGATGCGATCCGTTGTCCACTGGATTATCTGATTGCTTTCTGATTCGCCTCTTCGACAGCTCTTGGTCTCGGGATATGAAGTGGGTCGTCTCTCAACAAACATCCAATCTGCTGTAAAGTCGAATCTCTGACGAGCCCTCTCTCGAAATGAGGCGTGGGCCCGCGCTAGTCATTTTCGAGTCTATTTCCAAAGTCAGTCAAAGCTTCCTTAGTCCATGAATCTCGGAATACGAGGAAAAGAGGTAGGTATTTGGTTGGGAGCAGCTCCACCGTCGTCGTCGAGGCAAATCTATGACCAGCCCGAATGTAGAAATAACGGCGGATTGAGAGCGATAGGCGCGATTGCCGTTTGCGGTGACGGGGAAAACAGGAGTGAATTCGGAAGCCAGAGAAGGGCCTGCAACTAAGAGATGGAGAATCATATGTTGCCTGACGAGAAATTAAATGGCCGATCTCACTGCTCGACGTCTTCATAGAGTAGTTGTGGGGTGAGATCACAGATTATTGCATACTTCATTTGGTATGTAAGAACTTTCCGTTCGGACACAGTGGCTCTTATCTTATTGTGACTGACACGTTACGGGCGCCTATCTCCAGGTAGTCGCAGGAAAGGAATAGGATCGCAACTCTTTCGGCGTTTGCATGAGTAGAAACAATCTTTTTAGTGGAGGTGCAGACCAGGTATTTGTAATATACATGAAGAACTTGCTCTACAGGATTTTATGGGATTTTATGAGACATCTGATATGTTTTGGGGGTTTCTCGGAATAAGGAGGGGTCAGGTTCGTAAAGGAGGGACAGGAATGAAGGGTAGGATAGAAGGGGGCAGACGCGACTAAGGAGAGTCGAGAGGGCGCGGTGGATGAGTGAGAGGATCTACGGGCGTGCCGGGAGTGCCGGGAGCGCAGGGAGCGCAGGGAGCTCCGGCAATGCTGGGAAAGGCGGGAACGCTGCCAACGCGGGCCAGGGAGCGAAGGGAGGCCATGCGGGCCACTCTGGGTCAGCGCGGGGCAATAAGGGAATAGGGAGCTCCGGGATAGGCAGTGCTGGGAGTGCCGGGAGTGCCGGGATCGCGGGGGGTGCCGGGATGTCGATTTGCCTTTCCTCGATAGTCGAAACGATTGGGTGTGCCTCGGTGACGAGGATTGCAGCAAGTGCGAGGGCGAGGAGCTTTTGGATAGATTTTTTGAACTGCATTGTGTCGAGGTTTGTGGGCTTGAGACAATGGTAGCATCAAGTTCGCGTCCAGGTCTTTTATACTCGTAGTTGTAGCGGTCCAACTTGACGCTTTTCATCGTCGCTCGTGGAGCATAGGACTATGACGCTGCACTGAAGAGCCGACGACGCAATGGAAAATGGTAAGCACATTCCTAGTCGGAAGCTAACTCCTCTAAAAATGTAGCACGCTAGAAGGCAGGATTTGCGACACCTGTACGGATGCTCAGATGAAGACGTAATGGAAGATGCACGCCTTGGTAACCCCATGTGTCTGACTTCGAAACAGTCGATTCACACCAGGAAAAGCTAGCTTCAAAAAGGTACACTGAATTATCGACCAGGGCACAGGAAGGAAGCAAAATAGCTTACGTAGCTATGTGTTCATTCACGTTCATACCCTCGACACGGTCCATTCTTCCCAAAATTCTCAGCTTTTGTTGAGATTCACTTCTTCGAGAGCTCCTGATGTCAGGACACGAAGTGAGCCGTCGAACCTCGTACAACCTGTTGTAGACAGAAGTATCTCATCAGCGCTCTCTCGGAGTGACATGTGGGTCGATGCTAGTGATTTTCGAGTCTATGGAGTGTCCAAAGCCTACTAAAGCCCGGAATCGAGGAATAGAGGTGCGTGTTTGGTTGGGAACAGCTCCACTGTGGTCATCGAGAAAAGTCTACATACGATGGCGTGTACTAGCAAAATTGCGCCTGTCAGGTGAGTCCCTTCGTATGCAGGCCCGACGTTCGTCATGACCAGACATTCGTCACGACCCAACGTTCGTCAGATCACAGGTGGATGGTACGATAGGTAAGACGCACCGCGTCGTAGGCTTGGTTCGGCCGATAGCTACAACGCGGAGGATGCGCCTGGCCCCGAAGCTTCGAAAATCCAAAGTTCTTCGACAACATTGCAGAAGAGCCTCGTCCATTCAAGTCCTAAAGGGAATTTTGAGTTCGTATCATTTATTTAATAAAATAGTCCGAAGAAAACCTGTCTGGCTTGGACATTGACTCCAGTCGTGGATCCATTTATCGAGACTGTATCCGCTTGAGTGGCCGTGCCTTTCCACTCTTTGGAATATTGCAGGTGCCCTCGGATTTATAAAAAAATGTTGAGACGGATACGGCGATGAGCCTGGAAGGAGGGAAATAGCGTTCGCAGGTTTCAAGGGTGATACGAACGGAGAGAAGGAGCCTTGCTAGTCAGAGTTATCCAGCTGGTGAAGTCGCCTCGGCGATATCGTAGGATTGTCCAACGCGATGGAGAGGACAAGGAGATAAACCCTACGTCGCTCTGGTGGTCTAACGTGACGCACAGGGAAGTGTGATATGCCTCGCTGTCGCTCTCATGGAGAAATGCATCCGAGGGCGTGCGCCGCCGGTGTTCGCTGTGTGTGTAATTCCCCTTTGCATTCCCGTAGGAGACCCGGACGACGCGTCAAGAGCTATGAAATGTCCCCATGTACGAGATGAGACGTACCTCCACAGTGTCCAAGACCTCAATTGCAGTCGGCGCACTGCAGGCACACATCTGTTAACCCAACGTTATCTCTGTGCGTCTCCCAACCCTCCCGACAAATTTCCTTGCAGTCAGCTATGAGCGCTTTCGTGCCTCGAACAGGAGCTAGGAGCCAGAGTTGGCAGCTGCAGGCATGCATCCATAAGGCAATGGGGAAACGAGTCCCTTGTGCTCGCATGTTCCGATCGCGGTGGTGGGGACGTGATCATGGTAGAGACATCGATGGGAGGGTGCTGTGTGGGCAGCCAGCAGTAAATGCGTGGTAAGTCGGACGGACTTGAAGCCAGCGCCATTGTTCCTCACGTGTTTTTCGGATGGGCCTCCGGATTAGGCCAATGTGGCCACATTTCCTGTCACTCCATCAGTATTGTTCGCCGTCTCAAAATGTGGCTCCGTGGCTCACTTAGGATTACATTGACCAACTCAGTGCATGAATGAGTCAGACATAAGTGGCCCATGCAATCATGTTCGCCGAAACTCACTATGTAGTGGGCCACTTCTGCCAGTGGCTCTTGACAGCCTTCTGAGTATAAAAGCCGTGAAAGCTGGCCGGCGCAAGTGAGCGAAACCCCTCTATTTTACCTTATTCTTCTCTCTCCCATCAACATGGCTCGCTCTAGCAAAAGCCATGAGAAACGGCCAACGCACGTCACCGAAATCCTGAGTTTGCACGCTTCCGCCAATAACGCTCCCACCAACAAGGCTCGCCGCGGCACTAAGATTTTTGCAGGGAAGAAGCGTCGGTGAGTTCAAAGCTCATCGTTGGAATGACAGGGACTTACGACGTGCTAGGCCGTTCTGGATCCCACAAGTGCCCGATGGCGCCTGGAACGACAAGGACGGAAATGTCGTCGATCAGCAGGCCAGACCCGAGCTGTTCCAACTACTGGTTTCCCTTGCTACATTCTTCTTAATATTTTGTGTTCTTGAAATAAGTGCACTGTTGCCACAATTGCTCGTCTGTATGATTAATCCTTGCCGTCAGTTGGGTTTAATCAAAGCGGGGACCGATTAATTAAACATGTACTTAGGATCAATCTTGTTGCTCTCGCGGGCCTATTTAATCTGGCGCATGGACATTAATCTAGCATCTGAGAACCATGTCAATCTGTGGATTAATTCGATCTCGATTAATCTAAAATCTCGCACACAAGTGAGAGGGGAGCACGCAACGAGCAGATTAATCTACTCCTGGGATTAAAGAGAGAAAGCATCGAGATGGTTCACAGTTTAATCCCAGTCCGTCGAGTTTTTTCGCTCGAAGCCCGCCTTGGTTAACGTCGACCCACTGGGCACCAGGAATGTGCAGGACTCAGCTCCTCGAATCGTAATGGCAGGCAAGTGTTCGCACTTTCCCAGGTTTTCCTGCATGCATGCAGAAGTGTTGGCGGGCTGCTGACGCGTCAAATAGGTCGCTTGCCGTTTCAGCGTGAAACTTATGTCGTTCTTTACCTGGTGACAAATTTTAAGCAGAGACTGAAGAGGATAGGCGGAGGAGACCCACCACACATAGATTGCTAGTCCTCTTTCCAACGGCCAATGCGGGAGGGCAAAGTGTTGCCGATTGATCTCGGACGATACACCAGTGCCATGAGAGCGATTGCGAGCCCTGTGGTGACGAAAGAGGCCTCTAGAGGGGGGGAGGGAAAGGGAAGACGGAGAGAGAGAACGACTATAGGTGCGTAAGTACTGCTTATCAGGAAGGACGGGCGTCAGTTCAGAGAGAGACGTGGAAGGATGACGACGTGTGCTATCCAGTGCGCAGTGGACGCGGAGAGAGGACGCGACAGAGGGAGTGAGAGCCGGGCTTGAAGGGCGCGATACAAGGCGAAGAGCCAGCCCGACAGAATCTGAAGGAGAGGTCGACCATCGAGTGGTCTGGTTGGAGTCAGAGGTCCCGGTAAACGTTCACACGGGAGGCGCACGATGACCGCTCTCGGAAGCGCAGGCTCGGAAACGCGTCGAGCAGGCCGTGCGGATGGCGTCGCAGTGAGGTTGGGATGTTGGTTGAAGATGTTGGACGGCTGTGAGGGCCGAGGAGGTGCAGGAGGGCGGACTCAACAAGAGGCGGAAGGGAGGAGCTCGAGAGGAAGCAGCGGCGGCCAATCAGGAGCTTCGATGCACTCGGGCCGCGAAATATCTGCCAAGCCTTTCTTCTCAACCAGACCGACGGCCTCTCCGATCTCCAGCCCTGGTTCCTCGCCTTACGGTCGACGTTAGCCGCGTCCATCAGCGGGTGGACGAATAAGCCGCTCTCTTCAAGCTCAACGTGCTCCTCAATTCAGTCCCTCTCCCCTCGCGCTGAACACCAGTGACCAGCGTTTCCGCATCAAGCACAATACTTATCTGCCTCAGAAACGCTGCCTCCAGACCAGCGATTTCGATCTCACTTCCTCGTTCCTCTCTCTCCCTGTCGCCCTCCCGCTCTCCCGTCCATCAACGCGAAGCACCCTCGCGTCTGGGGTCTGCGGCTCATCCCCGCGGATTCCTCCATTCTCACCCACTCAAGCGACATTCTCCAACTCCTTCCCCAAACTCGCTTCATGCCAAGACTCCCTCATTGCCGCTGGCCACCAGCCCACGCCGTACCCACGTTCCCGTCGTTGTGGCAAGGACCTCGTTGCCCGTCACCCCATGTGTCCCAACGCCGACTTTGTCTACTAGCTCCTGTTCGAGATAGTTGAGCACTTGAAGGGTTCAAATTATCGAAGAAGCGGTTGAACGCGAGGTGGATGCACACAGCGTCGTTGGTGTGGTCGTCGAGTGCTCAGACCGCGAGGTTTTTCACGACGTCGAGGTGCATCTCATTTCGTCCATGGAGATGTTGAGCGCCTACTGACACGTCCGCTAGATGTGCTGTGCACATGCGAAAAACTGCACCAGCTCACTGACATCCCTCACCTTCATCCACTCCTCGGCCTCAGCGTCAACATTTCAACGTTCACGCTCAGGCGGCATCAACTATACCGGCGTCCGACTGTTGACCGGCGACTTCAATCTCGCCTCCGCGACCCCCCTCCGCTGCCTCCCTTATAGTCCAGCCTCCGAACGAATCCAATCCCTCCGAGTACTCTCGCCTGGGTGTTTACCCCTCTCGTTCTTATGAGACCGAGACTCCCTCCTACCGGCTCCCGACGCCCTCCTAGCCCATTTCTATCTGCACCAGTACTCGACCGCAGGTATCTCGTTACCCGTCGCCTCATATAAGTATGCCAATCTGAGGCTGTCGATTCCGGCTCCCACCCTTTTCCAGCAACGCAATTGACGCATAGCTGAGAACTCGAAGGACAGTTCATGTCGCAAGGATTTGGAGAGTCGGTTGAACGCAAGGGGGATAACGTTGGCTCGACATATGCATGTGTGGGAGTGCGCAGACCGCAAGGCCTTTCACGATATCAAGGTGCGTCTCAGTCTCATTTCGTCCATGATGTTGAGCGTCTGCCGACGCGTCATTCAGGCCGTGGCACAACGAATAACTGGCGATCCACGCTCTCGGAGCAGGCATCCCGCTTTGACGTCGAGAACGGCGACAGGGCTTCCCACACCTTCCTCTCCATCACGTTGGACTGTCCTACGGCACCATCCGATCCACTTGCCAGAGGTTCTTGTACTATGACGGGCGTGATGGCCTCAAGCCCTCCTGCAGGCCGAGATTGAATAGCAGCGAACCGCCCTCGGCGAGGACTACATTCCCCTCAGCAATAGTCCAGTGCGAGGAGACAAAGCTGCTGTCGCTCTTGTGGAGGAACGCATCCTTCGAGAATGAGGGCCATCGTCATTAGAGGTTCGTTGGGTCTATACATAGTTCCTCTTCGCATGCGTCAGAGCGCGAAGACGGTGACTCGGCGGACCGTGTGGTTCTTCGTGCGTTCGTAGCCGTCATGGGCCCAGGTGTCGATGGGGAGGCGGCACGATGCGAATATCGAACGTACTCCACCGTCGCTGCATCCTTTCTGACTCTCTAGTCTCCACCTGATGAGTCCTCCCATCAGATCTCAATGCAGTGGATTACGCCGGAATCCAACTTTTCTGCTCTTGCATTTCTGAATCGGATTTCGGTCGACAATTGGGACCTTCAGGGCGGCCGAAATTCCAGCGTGATCTTGTACAATTGGGTGGCTTAAACCACTGCTCTGTTCTGTTTCCGTTTTCTTCACGAGCCCCTGAGAAGCCTCACAGGCAGTTCGCCGCCTTCATCGATAAAGATGTCTCCCATTCTTCACGCCAGTTCGGAGTCGTGTTTGCTGTGTACGGCAATTTGGCTGTCACCCTGAACTTGATTCGACACGAAACTCGGAGATTGTAGCCCGGACTCTGGAGGACGACGTCAGAGGCACGTCACATTCTATTCCTCTCCTTGAACATTTAGCAGACGTATATGTGGCTCTGGTGACCTTGGAAGCTTCATCTTACCTCAGAAATGCATTCATCCATTGTAGAGAAATGATCGAAGGGGAACTGATCGAAGAGGGCCCACCTTCAAACTCCTGAAATGGAGAAAGCGCCTCGCATTCTTCATTCCTATACAGTTTGTCGCAGCTGGCGGCGGTGTCGAACGGATGTCACGTTCAATGTATTCTGAGAAGAGCACAGCAACTTCGAATTCACTGCGGGAGTTGAGCGGCCAGGGCAATACTCTGTTCCACAAACTCACTCCCTATGACACACCTTCCGGTATTGACCAGCGAACCTCAATACACAGTCAATCATCGACAGTTTCTGCCGTGAATTCGATAATAAGGGAAGGATTGAAAGAGCGACACGAACGCTCAGCGCTGAGGCGCCGTCCTCGCGAGGATCCGAATCCATCTCGCTGCGTTAAGCTCTCAATGGAGTTTATGCCATTCGAAATTGAAACTGCTTTCGGACGAGGTTCATCATACTCCCCGCTTGTGCGACGTCAACTCTGTCCTTACTCCACAACATTCACTCCAGAGAAAGTGTGAGGTCGGGTTGTGCAAGTTTGGTAGCCGCGACACCAAGATCAACTGGTACGAGATATGAGAAGGTGGTCGCTTTAGTTTAGAACGCACAGGCCATGTTGTCGTGTATAAAAGCACCCCCAGGACTGCCCACATTCTCCAATCGAAAGTCCACAAGCATCCGATTAACTCAACAAATTCAACAAACTCAACCAACTCAACTCGCAATGCAATTCCGCGCTACTCTCGTTACTTTCGCTCTCGCCACCCTTGCTGCCGCCACAACGACCGTCACGGTAACCCAACCGTCCGTAGGTGTCATTCTCATTATCGTCGTGGCCATGATTGCTTATCGTCCCTGCTCAAGACTCCTTATCCGACCCCGTTGCCTGCCAGTCAGTGCAACACTGGTGAACTCCACTGTTGTAACTCCGTCGAGGAGGTACGTTGAAACCTCATGCCTGATAAAGTATCAGCACACCTGACGCATGATGGCCCTCAGGCAGACAGCGGCGGTCTCTTGGGTGTGGTCCTTGGGCTCCTTAGCGTGGTCGTTTCGCCTGTCACCGCCCAGGTTGGGCTCACCTGCAACCCGATCAGCGTGATTGGACTTGGAGGCAATTCTTGCTCTGCTCAGCCTGTGTGCTGCCAGAATAACAACTTTGTAGGCTTTGTCTATCTTCTTGCACAATCACACATCCTGACAGGTCGTTTCGTGTAGAACGGGCTCGTCGTTATTGGCTGCACCCCCGTCAACCTCAACCTTTAGTCGCTCATTGAGATATTTCTCGTCACCCATGACGTCTTTCAGGCGATGAGCGGTGCCCCTTGACATATGAGTGGCCTGGAGTTTAGGGGAGCTTGGGATTTTAATCTGGTCGTACGAATCTGGATGTCGTTAACATGTAAATCAATTAAAATAGGCGAGGATATTTGACATCATATACCGTACATTTGCGGACATATGCCCCACCACTCGGAGCTAAATTTTGGCAATGTGGCGCACACTTCCAATTTAGGCGAGTTCACCTTCGACGAAGTTTTTTTTTGTCAACATTTCGTACCAGATGACGAACTACGGCACGAACATCGCAACCCCAGGCGTTCCTCAAGGCCCCGACGGTTTCAGCGGCACGTCAGGAACCATATAAATGCTTACATTTAATTTAAAATTTCATTGTGAGCGGTGAATTAGGGGAGCTCACGACGCTGGCATAAGCAACGCTTATCCGCTTACTTGGCAAGCGCCGCTGCCATCGTGACAACCAAAAAGGGACAGGGGCGTGAGAATACTCTTTGAACACCCTCGTTGCCGACTCAGTAGTTTGGCCATCGAGCCGCAAATGTGCATACGTGTATCCAAGATATTACCTTAATACATCTGTGTGCCGTAGGCTAAACAATATTTAATGTGTTGATCAAAGCTTCATTGAGATGCAACACGAGTCGTTCCAGTGACTCGTGAGGGAATCCGGAAGTCTGAACACAAATTGTGTGTGCATTGCCCGGTCTAAGAAGAACGAGAGGTTTTATGTGCTCCGTGTAGAGTTTGAGGAGAAGTTTAAATATTGGCTTCTATCTGGAGTCGCTCTCTGCTTGCGATAATGAATTTCGCAAAATGATATTCGACTCGGATGCTACTTGAATTGACGAGGCGCCCGCCTTCGTCCCTCCATCGCGCAGAGGTACCCATTTGAGGAGAGAAACTCCCGGTGTGCTCGATAGCTCGCTTTGAACGTCCAGGCACTCCAAATTGAGCTTCTCTCAAGTGAAATGAAGAGGGATAAAAAAGATGATCTTGACAACTTTAAAAGGTGGCGGGGGCATATATAGTAAATATATACGCAGTGCCAGGTGTGTGAATGTCGCAGGAGAAGTAAATTTTTTGCAACCTTGAAGGTATTTAACCGCCAGGAGCGTCAGAGTCTTCATGATCTCATGGAAAGTTGAATCAGATACATATAGGGCTGCCAACCGTGCCGGGTACGGTGACGGCCGTCCAAGGACGGCTGGAGGTCGGGTTTAAATGAGTGAGAACCGGCCGGGTATTCAGGAAAGGGATGTACCATCGGGTCGGGTCGGGAATAAACACGGCCGTGTACGGCCGTCCTCCAACCCGGTAACATAAGTAACCCTCGGCGCCTAAATTTGCTGATTGGTCCCTCCGACTGTGTGGGCCTTTGGCATGGTGAGATGTTGGGTAGTAATCTTTTAAACCCAACTCATTCGGGCATTTTTTAGAGAGCCTTCGTAGCATGCCACGGCCAATGCATTCAAGCGCCCATCGAACAACTTCGGACTATTGGATTGGACCAGCGGGTGCATATAGCCGCATCCCGAATCACCTCCACTAGCCACGGAGACCCATCTCCTGCACACTTATCTCTCTATTTCATCTTGTATCTTCTTGACGCCCTCGTAAGTCGTCATAAATTCATCCCTCATACTTATATTTCGTCGTTTTTGTGGGCTTATGACATCGTTCAAAATATCAGCTTCTCTGGAGTTCTAACACATTAAGCGCTCGTCCCAGGTTCTGGCACGTTTCGCATCGCACCTCTCTTCTTCACTCACTCAAGCTACTCAAGTCTCGCACACCCAGGGAATGACGCACCTCGCAATTTGCGTCGCGCCGCTACTCTATCGGGATATGTAGGTGTTATATTTTATGCATATTTGTCTACCCATTATACACAGTTAACCTACCAATCACTAGGCATATCATTCGATACAGAGATGAGTAACAATTACTCTCGAACCCGGCTTTCCGTCGACGGGTTCCACCGGCCGACCAAGCCGTGGGCGCTGTGAATGGTTCAGCCGTCCCGGGTGAGGGAAGCCAGGAATGGTTCCGGTTCGGCTACCCGTGCCGTGCGTCGGCTGCCGTCTACCGTCGCACACGGGTTCGGTTGGCAGCCCTAGATACATAAACCACACCTGTCCACAAATCTCCATGTCTAAAATTTATTAGCACATTTGCATGCCTATTATAGCTAATATCCTGGCGTGCTCTTATTTTAATGGACAACCAACACGGTTGAGAGCTCATCCACAGCAACTCTTAGACAACCTTCTCGACACGCAAACCTCGTCCAAACCTGATAAATTTCGTAAAATTTCTTGATATAATTTTATTTTTAACTGAGCATAAGAGACATGTGGTACTATAGAAAATTTTATGCATTAAAATCGGTGGTATAAGAGCCCGATGGGCGGAGGAAAGGCGAAAGCGCTCAAAGTCAGAGGAAACCTGAGGCAATGCGCTGGGCGTGACCCTGTGTGACGCTTGCCAAGACAAGCGTCGTAAGCCGGTAAGCGTCGCTTATGCCAGCGTCGTGAGCTCCCCTATTGTTATACAAAGTATTAAAGTTATCTAGCGCGAAAGTGTGATTAGATCCTCCATCATCGTTCAAGACATGTCGCATAGATGCCGCCTTTAAATAACAAGTAAGCCGTCTCCATCAACTACCTCCTCTGCATCGAACGAGCCCTACATTCCGTAATCTTCCAACAGCGCTTTGATGCCATCCATCGAGCTCGCAGCTCGAGGTTCGAAGATCACCTTGAACGGCAGTGGGTGGGCGTTCGCCGACTTGGTGAACGCAAGCTCGTCGATGGGCGACGAAGGGTCCTTCCTGATGTTGAACGCCCAGAAGAGAAGAGAGGTGTTGAGGAATACAGAGCTGGATTTTCAATCTTTTAGATCAGCCACAAATGAACAAAGAGTCGGAGAGTACTGACGTGGTAGCCAGATGCTGCCCAGGACACACTCTCCTTCCGAACCCAAACGTGAACGAGCGTAGGTCGTCCTTTATCTTGCCCTCGGTGTTCAGCCACCGCTGCGGGTCGAATTTCTCCGGGTCAGGGAAATATGCAGGGTCGCGTCCAACAGACCTAGACCACAAGAGATTAGGATTTTAAGGTTTAAAGTTTGAGGCGGAGGGTACGAAATGGGGAATGTATACGTATTAGGGTATAGCGCCACCACACGTGAGACAGGCATCGGAAGAGAGCGTAGACCTACCACACATTACCGCTGACGGTCGCACCTTTGGGAATCAGATAGTTATTCTGAATAGTCATGGTGGTCAGGGTACAGTCTGGACAGGAGTTGAAGAAGAGAGAGGTACCCAGACTATGTCCTTCATTGCCTTATGCGGGAACCCACCAGCAGAAACAGGCCTCCACCTGAAGGTCTCTAGCACAAACGCCATCAGCTGTGGTAGCTTCCCGTGCTCCCTCGCACCGATGCTCATCAGGTCCAGCTCCGGAGCCCGCTCCCGTCCAACCACCACGTCAAGCTCCTCCTGGACCCGAGCCTGTGCGGCAGGGTAACACGCCGATGCCATAACCACGATCGAGATGGCAGAAGCGGACGTGTCGGTGCCTGCACCAAACATCGACCCGGCGAGATAGGCCGTTTCGTCGTCTGACAGCTCGAGTTCAGCTTGTCGTTCGAGGATGTATTTTCCGAATGACTCTGGGATGACTTCCTTGCGTTCCTGGATGGGCGTTATGAGGATCAAAGTTAAAGAGAAAGAGGGTACGAACAATTTTAGCTTTGACTTCGTTCAGCAGACGTTTGAAGAGGGCACGCTCCTCAGTATACCCATCTTGAAGCTCCTTTAGATAGCCCGGGATGTACCTATCCCATGACGCGTTAATCAGACATAAAGCTATCGCAATTGCGAAGATACAAACTTGAGAAACGGGTAAGCGTCGACCTTCCAGGAACCTGGGCGAAGTGCGACGCCCAGACGCGTGAGGCAGCGGTAAACAGCCCGCACATCGGGGTCTTCGTAAGACTTCGGGTGCCGCCCATAGGCAAGGGCCATTATCACCGAAGCCGAGTACCTGTCAGTCGTGTCTGTCAGCACGATCCATACGGATGGAACTTGAGCGGTAAGATGAAGAGTCATTACTGCGATATGAGGGCGCGGCGAATGAATTATGCGGGTCATACTCGCCTCTTAGCATGGTCTTGGTGTCGATTGGGATTGTCAATCACGTCCAGGATATGCTGCTTCGCGTTTCGCGTGAGTATAGGGGCATAGCTGGCAACAATCTTGGGCTGGAGGTGTGCGTGCAGCGCTCTGACAATGACCGATCAGTGATACCCTCAGGCAGATGGACAGAGACACACCGACGCACCTCCGCATTTTCTTGAACCTCTCCCCCGCAGGTGTGAACATCACGCGCATCCCACCCGAAAGCGTATCTCCAGCGGAGATATTGTGGGGTCTGTCAGCGACCGCGGCTCCTTCCTTCTCCATGATGTCAATCGCGGCTTGTATGCGGCCAATGACAATGGTCGTTGTCCGACCTTGGCGGAGGGTGAAGACCGGTCCGTATTCTTGAGTCCATTCTTCGAATTTGCGGTATGCACTGCACAATATCAGAGTAGAAAAAGAGAGAAAGAAGCTGTAATACGCACAAGGCACTGGGAATAGAATTGCCAAAGATGAAGTTTCCCGGTGGCCCCGGTGGGAGAGGGAGCTTGTTGGACTGCGTCAGGCGTTTGTGGATGACGGCGACCAGGGTTATGCAGAGTAGCGTCGCGGCAATGTTCTGCGGTTGAAGTGCAAATTCGGCGATTCCCACAAGAGACATGGCGGCTAATGTTTAGGCCTCTAGGCAACGATACTTCAGACGCTCCAACCTCCGAGCCAGAGCAGAGTATCAGAGAACCGGGGAAGCAGGAAAGGTGGTACTTCCTCACTGTCATTGAAGGGTATATGTATGAGAATGAGGGAAAGCTGTGTCCGAAAAATCAAGATTCGCATATGTATTCAGACTTGGACGAATCGGGCGGTCTGCAAAACGATGGCGTTCAATGTCACCGTCGAAAATAGCTTAGGGGTTAATTGGGACTTACCAGGAGCTCACTGGCTCTTGACATTTCCTTATCCGCGACTGACATGTCCATATTGGTGACGCCGAGTTGCGCCCAGCCTGTATATAAGTGGCGCCAGGGGACCCAGGAAGCGCAGGGCCTTGTACGCGAAACGGGGATGCTCCAATACCTAGTTACAAGTGCCGGCGGTGGCTTTTTGGGATAGAGCTTCTTGGACATCAAACCTAGTGGAGGTATATGCCAAGGAGCGCACCGTCCCCACTTGAAACAGAACTTTGAGGTACAGGTGCAAGGATGATGACGAGTGTAGGGTTGGATCGTGTTGGCTCTGCGACTGTGAGGGCCTAGGATGCTGAGGCGTCGTTACCACTTGACGGTACAAGAGTGAGCTAATAAAAACAAAGGGGCGAGTGGCTACGTGTAAGTACGTGTCCTTATCTAATCTAATCGCAGAGCGGGCCCATTCCCTACACAAGCCTGGGTCTGTGATGAATTCGAACTTACACCCGTTGCATTTCTGAAGTAGAACCTTATTGACCGCTCAAACTACGGCTTTTAAAAATGATGCTGTTGGGATTCCAGCCTTGTGTAGTAGCGACAAGAACATTCTTGGGTATTCTAGTTATCTGATCTCCCTAGCACAGCCATGAATCCGAAGTAGTATATATATAGCTAGGTAGTACATTATGCATTCCCTACGTGCTTGTATGATCTCTAGCAAGCACGATTCATTACTTTACTCGTGGCCCCACACCTCATTACAACAGATGCGGACTACCCTGCTCTTCATTAAAGCCATCATCTACACCAAGATGACGACCCGAAGCACACATATTAGAACCCGAACTCAGTCAACGCCATGATCACTGGACTCCTGCGAATGCGAAGGTCGCTAGCCAACCACCACCTCCTTTCCCAACTCCTAACTTCCAGCCTTAGTTTCAAATGTAGAATTGATGGACTGCATAGAAGGTTTTCGCCACAAAAACCAAATAAAGATGTGAATTTGAAGCGTAACCGAGACCATTGCCACCATCGGTGGGACACCTCCATTTGGCAATCATTGTCGATTTGGGAAGTATTAAATCCTCACCGGCATGAGGATGAGTCACTTTCAACAATCTGCTGTCGGAAAAGGAATAAGAGGCCTTGATACACCAGGTAGGGTACAGGTGATAGCATAAATGGTATACCGTGCTGCGTATCAGCTCCGGAGGTGGAGGACTCGGGCACTTCGCCTTCAAAATGAAGTGATCGGGCTCACATATAGAACCCATGTTATGAGATACCCTGGTCAACGATACAATACCCTGGGCCACGATCCAAGAGAATTCCCGTCAGTTGGAAAGGGTGTCGGAAGCGAAGGATGTAGAACCTTCAACCACTGACGGATGGATCTACCGTCGTTACCTCGCACCACGCGTCTCTGGCGCTGTTGGTACGGTTGACGGCTGGGCCCGGGTCTAAGTTCCAGATGGGCGAAGCATGACGAGCCTTCTCCGGGGTCCTTGCCAGGACAGGTGTGAGCCAGTGACGGTGCTTGTCAAGGTAGCGAATATCCGTCCTTATAACATGAAAATATAGGGTTATACCTGATGGGCACTCCGTAGGAACGCTCACTCCCCGCGCAGGCATCACAGAAGAAGCAGCGATGAACTCGGAGGTTGGACCCCCCGGTGCCAAACGTCGACCTTTTTGATGGGCTAGATGGTAGTACTTGACATTGGCGTATGCGGGCAAGAAACTCCGAAGAGAATTATGCATGAGAACGACGTATTAGCCTCTGAAAGGGAGTTACCAGACTGCCGGGATAGAGGAGGGGACCGGGGCTCACCGATTCGCGTCCGGATCTTCTTAATATTCTACTGAAGCATCTCACACCCTGTACCAGAACTCCAAGCAACTACCTTCATTGGAAGGACCCGGTGTAGAACCCAATGCCTGTTGCAATGCGGTCGACGATTCCCGCCAACAGCGCTCGCCGTACTTGACATCGCTGATACGACCAAAATCGTAGAGGCATATTACGCCCGATCATCTCTCAATGACACGGATGAACATCCCCCTGATCAAGATCTCAACAGCGAGCTTAGGACGGCGATCCAGATCATCAAAGGCGGGTGCGCACAACTCTCGGCGACCATGGCTAGACTTGACCATACTGTCGTTAACGCGTTATCTGGTTTTCGTACTTCGATCGGATGACGTACTGATCTGGATATTCCTTCAGAAACTCATAGGGTGAGTCTTGAATGTACCGAGCACGCAGAACGAATTAACGATCCGACGCAGTTCTTTGAGCCAAATTGTGTCGGCATCGCTATCACCTTCAAAATTCCGGATGTACTCGAGGCCATTCGGCGTGCGAAAGTAGAACGGCGGTGACATGAACAAGTCTCTCGCCGTCTTGTGGAATCGTGGAAAGTGGGCTGGAAATTAGACACGTCGCGATTCTAGCATTCTGAACGCGGCCCCTATCCGTCGCCGGAGTGAGATAAGCGGAAAGCAGAGGGTGAGGGAACGTGGTCTTCTCCATGAGCTAGCTTGCTGCTTCTCAATCTCGGTCTGCAGAGCTTGAAATCATCACGCCTATCGTGGCAAACGAAAACCTCTGGAGAGTGGTCCAGACGGTACCGTAGGATAGCCAGACGTGACGGAGAGGAATCTTGCTGCCGTTCTCGCAGCAGGATGCCTCCTCCGAGGGTGTGTGTCGCTGGTTGTTCGTTGTGAGACGGCGGGTGAGCAGACGCTCAACATCTCCATGGACGAAAATAGACGCGCCTCGCGCTCAGCCGCCTCGTCGAATCCATATGGTAATTTCAACCCTTGAAGTGCTCAAAAATGCGGGCTCTCTCGTCCCTCGAACAGTCAGTTGAGGATGTTGAAGATGAGTGACCTGGCGGCGGGGATTGGGGGCGGGAGGCCCTACTCAGCGGAGGAACGGCGAGTAACCGTGTTTGAAACACTTGACAAATGAGAGGTGGGAGTAGAGAAGGTGGAAGGGAGCGGGAGGACGGCACGGAGGGGGAGGGAGAGGTCGAAGGTGCGTTGTCGGATGGGAGGTAGCGCGTAGCGCTTCAATGTGAGTGGAGCGAATCAGGGAGTAGATGATCATATGTCGAAGAACGGCGAAGATGGGCAACTGGAGAGGCTGGCAAGAAATAAGGTGAGGGTACTCGGAGGAATAGATGGAAGGGCGGCAAGGTGAGATCGAAGCGCGTGAGGGGTAGATGAAATGAGGAGGACAGCTTGAATGAGTTGGAGGCGGGTGGACGGGAGTGTTGGCTGAGATGACGTACGCGTGGCCATAAGAGATGTCGACGAGCGACCGTGGGATTGGAGGTGGAAGGCGGGAAAACGACATCGAGATGGGGAGAGAGGAGCGGCCAATCAGGATGGCCAGATGGCCGGTACACTCGGGCCGGGAAATCACAGTGCCTGGCTCTCCCTTCCTGTCCTAGTTCGCATCCCCTCTCTGCGCTGTGGGAGCACTGGATAGCATACCTCGTCGTCTCTCCAAGCCTCGAGCTCTCTCTCAGAACTGAAGCTCTTCCTGCCTCATAGGCGATACGTACATCCTCTCGTCGTTGTCCCCCTTTCCCTCCGACCTCTCGCTCCCTATAGAGGAATTGTTTTGTCTCGAGCAGCATAAAAGGACTCCCAGTCGCTCGCAAAAGTTTGGAGACAGGATTCGTCTCACCACCTCAGACTGTGGTAAGCCCTGCTGTCTATCTCATAGTTAGAGAGATGAGAATGAAGGCCATCGGGGCTTCGCTGCGCCTATAGTTCCTCTTCGCTCGTGCAGGATCCTAGAGCAAGCGTTAAAATCCACCCGAGATCTATACGGCCGAAATGAGATACACCTTGTCGTCGTACAAAGTCTTGCGACTTGCACATTTCTCGCCTACACATGCTGCTGAGCAAACACAACACTACAGCTAAGTTGCACGTGGGGTCCACAAGACAATGGGATGCACTGGCGCGTTATTCCGGGAGCACGGGGAACGAGGTGATGGCGAGGACATCGTTAAGTTGGTGGGAGGAGCAGCAAGTAAATTGTGTTTGACTCAGAGTTGGAAGGGAGCGGAGGGAGGTACGTCTCATCTCGTACATGGAGACATTGCATAGCTCTCAATTGACGCGTGACGCGTCATCCAGGTCTCCTACGGGAATGCTAAGGGAAATACATGCACAGCGAACACCAGCGGCGCACGCCCTCGATTGCATTTCTCCATGAGAGCGACAGCGAGGCCTATCACACTTCCCTGCGCGTCACGTTGGACCACCAGAGCGACGTAGGGTTTATCTCCTTGTCCTCTCCATCGCGTTGGACAATCCTACGATATCGCCGAGGCGACTTCACCAGCTGGATAACGCTGACTAGCAAGGATCCTTCTCTCCGTTCGTATCACCCTTGAAACCTGCGTACTCTATTTCCCTCCTTCCAGGCTCATTGCCGTATGCATCTCAACATTTTTTTAAAAATCCGAGGTGCAATATTTCAAAGAGTGGAAAGGCACGGCCACTCGAGCGGATACAGTCTCGAAAAATGGATCCACGACTGGAGTCAGTGTCCAAGCCAGACAGGTTTTCTTCGAACTATTTTATTATGTAAATGATACGAACTCAACATTACTTTTAGGACTTGAATGGACGTGGCTCTTCTGCAATGTTGCAACTGTCAAAGAAACTTTGGATTTTGAGAGCTTCGGGGCTAAGCGCACCCTCCGCGTTGTAGCTATCGGCCGATTCATGCCCTGCGTACGAAGGGACTCACTTGACAGGTGCAATATGTCCTGCAAATACTTCCTAGTACACGCCATCGTACGTAGACTTTTCTCGATGACCACAGTGGAGCTGCTCCCAACCAAACACGCCCCTCTATTCCTCGTATTCCTCGATTCCGGGCTTTAGTAGGCTTTGGACAATCCGTAGACTCGAAAATCACTAGCGCCGACCCACATGTCACTCCGAGAGAGTCCTACTGAGATACTTCCGTCTGCAACAGGTTGTACGACGTTCGATGACTGACTTCCTGTCCCGACATCAGGAGCTCTCGAAGAAGCGAATCTCAACGAAAGCTGAAAATTTGGTGGAGAACGGACCGGGTCGATGGTATGAATGCGAACGAACTTAGGGGCACGTAAGTCTTTTTGCTTCTTCCTGTACCCTCGCCGCTATTTTCGTCTGTCTTTTTGAAGTTAGACTCTCAATACGAAGCTCCGGGTGCGACTCGACCGTTCTAAATCAGGCCCATGGGTAAGTTGAATGAACTTACGCCTTCCTTCTGTCGACTCTTCATAAGAACATCCGTATAGATGCTGCAAATCAACCTTCTTGCGGAATTGGCTTCTGTGTCTCGAAATGTGTTCACCATTTTCCATTGCGTCGTTGGCTCCTCAGTGCATCGTCATAGTCCTATGCTCCACGAGCGACGATGAAAAGCGTCAAGTTGGACCGCTACAACTACGAGTATAAAAGACCTGGACGCGAACTTGATGCTACCATTGTCTCAAGCCCACAAACCTCGACACAATGCAGTTCAAAAAATCTATCCAAAAGCTCCTCGCCCTCGCACTTGCTGCAATCCTCGTCACCAAGGCACACCCAATCGACTCGACTATCGAAGAGAGGCAAATCGACATCCCGGCACTCCCCGCGCCCCCGGCACCCCCGGCGATCCCGGCACTCCCAGCACTGCCTATCCCGGAGCTCCCTATTCCCTTATTGCCCCGCGCTGACCCAGAGTGGCCCGCATGGCCTCCCTTCGCTCCCTGGCCCGCGTTGGCAGCGTTCCCGCCTTTCCCAGCATTGCCGGAGCTCCCTGCGCTCCCTGCGCTCCCGGCACTCCCGGCACGCCCGTAGATCCTCCCACTCATCCGCCACGCCCTCTCGACTCTCCTTAGTCGTGTCTTCCCCCCTTCCTGTCCTATCCTTCCTCATATGCATTCCTGTCCCTCCTTTACGAACCTGACACCTCCTCATTCCGAGAAACCCCCAAAACATATCAGATGTCTCATAAAATCCCATAAATCCTACGTATAGACTCTAGAGCAAGTTCATCGTGTATATTACAAGTATTTGGTATGGTTATTCTGCACTTCCACTATAAAGAGTGTTTTTACTCATGCAAATGCCGAAAGAATTGTGATCCTATTCCTTTCGGCGACTGCCTGGAGATAGGCGCCCGTAACGTGTCAGTCACGATAAGATAAGAGGCATTGTCCGAACGGAAAGTTCTTACATACCAAATAGAGTATGCAATAATCTGTGATCTCACCCCACAGCTACTCTATGAAGACGTCGAGCAGTGAGATCGGCCATTTAATTTTCTCCATCTCTTACTCGCAGCCCCTTCTCTGACTTCCGAATTCACTCCCTTTTGCCCCGTCACCGCGAACGCCAATCGCGCCGATCGCTCTCAATCAGCTTTTCTTGCCGTTATTTCTACATTCGGGCTGATCATAGATTTGCCTCGACGACGACGGTGGAGCTGCACCCGACCAAATACCTACCTCTTTTCTTTGTATTCCGAGATTCATGGACTAAGGAAACTTTGATTGACTTTGGAAATAGACTCGAAAATGACTAGCGCGGACCCACGCCTCATTTCGATAGAGGTCTCGTCAGAGATTCGACTCTGCGGCAGATTGGATGTTTCTTGAGAGACGACCCACTTCATATTCCGAGATCAGGAACTCTAGACCCAGGCAGATCAAAAAGCAATCAGATAATCCAGTGGACAACGGACCACATCGACGCTGTTAATGCGAATGAAGGCACGCGCACGTAAGTCTTTTGCGGCTTCCAGTACCGTCATCGCTATTTTCGTCTTCTCTGTTGAAGTTAGGCGTTCAGTGAGATGCTTCGGGTGTGAGTCTGCTGGTTGAAATCAGGCCCATAGGCAGGTAAAATGAAATTATGGAGCGCTACGTCTTCTTTCTGTCGACTCTTCATCTGAACATCCGCCCAGAAGACGAAAATCGTCCTTCTAACAAGTTACGTTTTTCGAGCAATGGAACCTTGCGTCGCGGAGTGTGTTTACCACTTGCCATTGCGTCGTTGGCTCCTCAGTCCAGCGTCATGGTCCTATGCTCCACGAGTGACGAGGAGCAACTTCAAGTTGAACTGCTACAGCACGGGGTATAAAAGACCTCGACGCAAGCTTAATGATACCATTGTCTCAAGCCACATACACCTCGACACAATGCAGTTCAAACAATCTCTCCAAAGCCTCCTCGCTCTCACTCTTGCTGCGATCCTCCTCACTGAGGCGCACCCAGTCGATTCGACCATCGAGGAGAGGCAAATCCAACCCCAGCAACTTCCGCCCCTCCCGCCCCTCCCAGTTCTCCCAGAGTTCCCCGCGTGGCCCGCATGGCCCGCATTCCCGGCGTTCGCGGCATTCCCAGCATTCGAGGCATTCACATAGATCCTCTCTCCCATCCTCGGCGCCCTCTCAACTCTCCTTCTCCTCCCCACCGGCGTCCTCGAAGCAGCTCCTAGTCATGTCTGCACCCTTCCTGTCCTTTCATATAAATTCCCGCCTCCCTCCTTTACGAACCTCACATGCTCTCATTTTATTTCCTTATTCCGAGAAACCCCCAAAACATATCAAATTCCTCTTATAAAATCCTACTAAACCCTAGAGTATAGAGTTCCGTCTTCATATATTTTACGGCAACCTGGTAGTAGCTACGATCACCTTGTACTTTTACTGTAAAGAATGTGTTTACTCGCTCAAACGCTGCCAGGAGATAGACGCCCGTAACGGGATTCTCGGTGACGATAAGATAAGATCAACTGTGTGAAAGGAAAGTCCTTACCAAACAGGCAACGACAATCCCTTGATACCACGACCATGACGTTGAGCAGTGACTAGTGCTAGTGACGCGTCATCTGGTCTTCTGCTCTGCGTTTGTCACTCCTGCACTTCAAGTTCACATCTAGTCATTCTCCTGGAAAACCAGTGGTGGCGCCAGGCAGCAACAAAACTGAAGTTCAGGTGGCGCATGACTCGAAACGAGTTGGCGAGGATTCAGAAGACGGTGGGGTCATGGAATGAGAGGCGGACGAGAGCTCAAGCGCTCAGGGTAGACATAAGTTTTCGCTCTCGAATGCCTCTTCATTGGCGTCGCCAACCTCGCCCTCCCTTGGCTTCCTTCCAATCTCCACGGCGCCACAGCATGCCCAATTGACCTACACGACACGGGCGGAGCATACCTTCTACGATGGGCGACTTCGTGACATTCCCAAGCGACTGTTGGAAGGCAGACTGCGGGATGAATTGATGACCCTCGAGGGCGACATCTCCGACCAGATCTGGCACTGCTGTGAGGAATGTAGGCAGAGAGTTGTTTATCGAATCTGGACGCCGGAACCCTGAGACGGCAAACCGATATTATGATGTGACGATGGTGGGTCCCATCCATCTATCCGTTCGAGCATCCCTACTTACTGCGCCTAGTCCCGCAAAGCACCTGGATACTGATATTGCATATTCCTGCTCTCTGGAGTACGGCGCGGCCCTCTCTTTATTCGCTCATGCGAAGAAGACACGCAATTACAGAACGGAAATGGGGCAGCTTCGTCGTTTCTTCGAGTCTACCTCATCGACCACAACATCGACCATGCATATCTCTCTTCAAACCATCCTTCCAATGCGGTATAGTGAGTTTTATCTCGCCGGCGGATGTGTCAGTTTATGGGATTGACACCGCAGATAGGTCTTTCCTTCTCAGTGGATCCACTATCCGTGTTCTCTTTCCGCTTACCTTCCCGCTCTCGCGCGCCGAGTAATGCTTCTCTTGTCCTCCTCCGTCCGTCTGCCACGCCAATACGGCTCTACAGCCCCAATTACCCAACCAATCGTGTCTTCTCTAAGCGTGTAAGTGCTCTCGTCATCTTTCCTAATCTCAAATCCTAATCTCAGACACAAGGTCGTTATTCACATTCCTATGGCTAAAACTGGTACACGGAAAAAACGCAAACTATGCAAATGCAAGGTCGATCGCGGCAGAGTATATATGTAGATATTCAAGGAAGACGGAATTCGACGACGGCTGTTTCGCCTAAGTCCCACAGCTTCTCAAACCTCAAGCCCGCCTTCTCTCCCAACCGGATGCAGTCGGGTATCTTCCTTTCCTCGCTGTTCAACATGGCCATCATATGCAGATCCAAATGGTACCAACACCTCCGACGTCGCATATAGATGCTTCATCAGGGAGTTCCTTCCACGGAAATTCTAGATTCTCAAAAGTCAGTAACGTTGAACACTCGAACGGCTGACGACGGACCGTATACAACGTTGTGGGCCTGAGACGCTTTCCCCCAACCCATCATCCCCACATCAAAGTGGGCTCTGACCTTCTGCCCATGTGGACCATTCTGAAATCGATACGTGAGTAACTCGAACTATTCTCGTGCAAAATGCTTACTGAAGTCGAATAGGGACCCGTCGTAACCCGACCACTTGTTGAACGCCGTCTGAGTGAACAAGTACGAATTACCTCACGTTTCATCCCCGCGGACGTCCGGCAACAAAGAAATGGATTTCCGGCCTTCTTCGGTGCTGGAATACCAGTTCGTTGATTTGCCAGCGTAGAGGCAAGGAGGAGAGGAGCTAGAGAGCTGAGGCCGAGGAGTGTACCGGAGTGCAGGGAGCCGTAAGTTTGAAGGCGGAGGGACCGCAAGACACTGATGAGACGGACGAGAGGGCGAACGAACGTCAAGGAGGAACGCGAAGGTGTTGGGCGCACGAGTGATTGGAGGCGGCTGGCCAGACGAGGCAGCGGCAGCCAATCAGGAGAGGCGGTGCCCTCGGGCCGGGAGATCGCCCCCCTCGTGTATAGCTCTCCTATCCTCTCCGTGTCCCCTCTCTGCGTCCACAGCACAACGTGGTCCCTCGACGTCTCAGAACTGAAGCTCGTCCTGCCTGATGCACCGGACCTCTCATCGTCCTCCGACCTCTCTCCGTATAGAGGCCTTCCTTTGTCACGCCTCATTCTTGCAAGACCTCTAACCGGTCCGAAGCAGCATGTGGATGGCATACCGCCCCGCAAACTCGTGACACCGCAACGTCTGGAGACGTTCGTTGAAAAGCTTGGAGAACGAGGACTGCTGTCCCGCACGAGGAGTGTGAGCAGAAGGGGATGAACGTTGGAGACCTCAGAGGGCACCCATACTAGCGATACGGTGGTAGGTCTCCTCCATCTATCGTCACGAGTATCCCTGGTTATTGTTCACGAAGAAGGTCCATTCAGCTCTCCTGTCGCAACGAGGGCTCTGGCGTTCACAAGATTGCGGAGGACGAAGCACGCCGCCAGCACCGGCCTGGTGCCTGGGCTCACAGCGACACCTGCGAAGAACATCGTCACTCTCAAAGCGTACAGCCGCCCTTCCGCCCTCCTTTCCACCATCTCCAAGCACACGCGCCCAGGCCCTTGTTTCTTCGCCCGCCTCCTCATTCTCAACCACTCAAATGGCATTCTCTCGTGTTCTTTCCCCAAGGTTCCTGTCCAGCCTCCCTTGCTCCATCCTTCCTGTTGGCTGCCGGCACCCTCCTACCAGCCCACCGATGTCTGCACAGTGATCATATTCGCCACCGCTGCGGCCAAACCACGCTAGAAGGACTTCGTTCCCTTTTCCTGATTGATGTCCACCCGCCGCCGTACACTCCAGCTCTGACGTTCTTCGTGGAAGTTTGGAGGAAATAATGCGCAGGAAAATGAGTGTCAGGTTTTAAAGAGGCGGGCAAAGAGGACACGGAAATCCTTGGGAATGCGCCTCGCCCCCTCTAGAAAAATTATGCCCCTTACGCTGAACTTGCTGCATCCACCCAACTCTTCCCAAAAACCCGCCAACGGTGCACCACCGCCCTTCCACCGCACTCCTCGCCCTGGACAGAGAAGACAAAACAGGAGGCGGAAGAGAGTGAGCACGACTAAGAGATACAGAGCCGCAGGCCGGAGCGTGTCGGCATACTGAGAAGGTCGTACTCTCGCGTTGAGTGCAAGGACGATGACCAAGCTCGGAGAGTGGGGTTTTGGAGTTTATAACCTCCGCATTCGTGGAAGTAATTCTGCGTATCTGAGCTCGTCCTCACCTCCCTCGCCGGCATCGTTGTTCCCTAAGCATCTCTCCACCCTCAAGCTCCTCGGCGAAGCTGGCCGACCACTTTACCCTGCCTATTGGCGCGTCACCTCTCCACAGCACGACCTTCGTGTTCAAATTCCGTCCAAACATGACGATCTCACTAGGGCTTTCCGTAGGGTTGAGGTCAACAAATCGCGCCTGATCACCTCGCTGTCGGACGCGACATGGTCGTTCCTCCCTCGGCGTTCTCTGGTTGTGTGACACAGGAAGAGCTTCAGCCTTTCAAGACGCTCATGAATGTGATACACCGGTATGTGGCTCGGAAGGATGAGGGGCAGGGCGGTGGAGGGCGAAGGAACGGCGCACTCGTGACTATGCGTCTCAATCGCCCTGGTCGACAATCGACCAATAACACTGGTGGTCGGATGCCTTTAAATGTAGGCCTCGCTAGCGCCCAGTGATCTGAGGATTGACTCTAGGAGCAACGAAGGACTTGTGTCAAGCGTAATCGATGCGGGGTTCCTTCAAACCCATAAAGAAATGTCTTGCGTCACCCATGGATGTGAGCCTGTCACTCTATCCTTTGCGCTCGACTGAGGCCATTTTTAAGGCCTTTTCTCTCGAGTCCTTTCGCCGATGGTACGTTTACTTTACGTTTCTGTCTTCGCGAGTATTCATCTTGACCGAGAATAGACCAACAAACGAAAGGATGCCTGCTGGTATGTACACTAATGCGCTTAACGCACACACTCAGATTTGTCGTCACCATCGAACCGGATTCGGCGGACTACGCAGAGTGACTCAGCCGAATCTTTTCTTACGGACGGTGAACAGCGCTCGGTGGACCATCGATATGATAGAAGTCAGTGGTGGATAGCATGAGAAGCCAGGTAGACCAGGAGTCTAGAATTCATTCTATTATTACTCTAACAACCTCATTAATAATGCAGCGAACTTCACCTCGAAATCCGCAATACAAGCATTCTTCGCGCGATTCTCTCACCAAGCTTTGCGTACTCTGTCGAGTGTCTGTCTACCCGAGTCCAGCAATTCCTTTGTTCAGCTCTCGGGGTGGAGCATGGCGTCGATCTTCTGGCATAGGAGAAAGTTTTACCCTTTGCCCAGACCTACCTTCCCTTCTCCGCCAGAAGCAGTTCCCTGTTTAAAATTGGGATGTGAGGCTGGGCACCCTCACAACCTAGTGACTTTGACGATTCCTGCTGGTTGCTCTCGTAGCCTTATGGCATGCCTTTGAACTCGCCCTTGAGGTCGTAATGTCTTGACGAATACGCCCTCTGTTGCACGATTTCTTGAACGGCCAACAAACTGTAGGTGATTACATTATCGTATATATGTCTTCCCGCTTGACAACTCTTGGCAGGAATTGTTGGTTAGCGCCAGTAAAATAGAACTGACGTCTAGTTCGACACGGGGCGCTTCGATCAGCCTCTTATGTTTCTATACTTCTCCAACATATATTGTAAGTGTCTTTCCACGACCGAGACAGACAGGAAGATGTAACGCGGTATGCATGAGTGCGCGAGCCTCCCGCTGTCCCACCTCCTGCACAAACACCGTGCGCTCTTACTCCTCCCGGCGCTACTCCTCTCATTAAGCGCCCATTTGCCGCTGACAGCGGCGTTATTCACCTCCGCAACACGTCAATTCTGAAAGTCAGTCCGATTGCAGTCCGATATGATGTGCACGGTTTACATACTACCAGGCACTAGGCAACGAATGGAAGACTTATCCCCGCTCATGTAATGTTTTCGTCTTTCTGGATGAGCGCCGAGATTGACCACATATTATATAACGTAAACCATGACGGCCCCAGCCTGCTTGCAGCGCAACATTCCCCCCTCCCAATCACTAAGACGCTGACGGCCAGCACGCAGTGATGTTATTTCATAAACTCCTAGCCCTCTTGGTTTTACCGCTCGTCTATGGGCAGTTGGCGAACCGGACGGTGCCCATCTCTGACGAAACTGCTATAAGGTAGTATGTATTTTGACTCTTCTCTTCAGCACCGACTGACGTCGGATGCATTAGGAAGTCAGGAAGCGGCTGGAGTTCTGATGCTGTTCCTGGTGGTCCTGGTGGACAATGTGGCCAGTGGACGCGCACCATCGGCGACTCGGCAACATTCACGTTCATAGGTGGCGTTGGGCAAATTTTTGCAAGACATGACATTCTTTCCCACCTTCGTTTTTAGGGACGGCTGTCTATGTGGTCGGTGATATAACTTTCAATCCAGCCAGCATACATGCAACCTTGGATGGCTCTGAGCTGAGCCTCGCTCCTCCTGGTCCTGCTTTTTGCGATGAATTCGTACTCACAACGGATGGACTCGATAATGTGCCCCACACGCTTGTCCTGACCTTCCAAGGTCCTATCGCTGAAGCAGGAGGATCACCGAATTCGCTGGTCATTCAAAGGATAATGTGGGTCGACACCCACTTTCAAAGTCATGGCATGAACTACTAACATGAAATTCCGACAGTTACACCGTTGACGAAATGCCCACGACTACATCCTCAAGCTCACCGTCATCTTCAGGCTCGTCGTCATCTTCAACATCGAGCACAATACCCACTGAGTCTACCACCACAAGTAGCACAACCACAGGTCCCACTCCATCCACCGTCCCCTCCACAAGTAGTACGACCACAAGTCCCATTGCGCCCACCTTCCCCTCTACCAGTATCACAACTATGAGTCCCACTACGTCCACCTTCCCCTCTACGAGCAGTACGACCACGAGTTCCACTACGTCCATCTTCCCCTCTACAAGTAGTACGACTGCGACTCCCACTACGTCCACCTTCCCCTCTACCAGTAGCACAACCACGAGTCCCACTGCTTCCACCTTCTCCTCTACAAGCAGTACGAGTGTGAGTCCTACGGCGTCCACCTTCCCCTCTACGATCAGTACAACCACGAGTCCCACTACGTCCACCTTCCCCATTACGAGCAGTATGATCGCGAGTCCCACTGTGCCCACCTTCCCTTCTACGAGTAGTGCGACCACAAGTCCCACCGCGTCCTTCCCCTCTACCCGCAGCACAACCGCGAGTACCGCTACCTCCGTCTTCCCCCTTACAAGCAGTATGCCGACCGCGACTCTCACTACGTCCACCTTCCCCTCTACAGACAGTACGACCGCCAATAGCACTACAAGTGCGACGGTAGGCAGTAGTTCTCCGGGGAATACTCAAGCAATTGGTGGTGGTGATGCAAGCTCATCGTCATCTCCAACATCGAGCGCAATACTCACAGCTGCCACCTTCCACTCTACAAGCAGTACGACCGCAAGTCCCACTTCAATCGCGCTTGTAGCCATTAGCTCTACAGCGAATGCTGGAGCAATTGGAGGTGCTGTTGCAGGTGCTGTTGTCGGCATTGTGCTTCTCGTCGTCGCCTTTTTAAAAGCACATAAATTGCACTACGTTATATCGTCTCTGGTGCGTTCTCCGTGCGTTGAATCCTATATTTCCTGATGTTTTACCCAGGTTTTCACTGCTTTTGGGTGGTACTTCTTCGGCAAACGTCAATTGTACTTCCATGCCGACAAAGATGTTGGGCCAATTCAGGTTTGATTGAACTTGCGAGCCTCTTGTCCACGCTGATGCTTCTCTCCTAGATATCCCTATTCCTATCAAACCAGGAAAATCTTCACGACTCTGAAAAGGACGACAAAGAGGTAATACTTGTCTGGCAGGTAAGTTTGCTGGCGTATTCTCAATGGCCTCGCGAAATTCATCAGTGATTTTAATAGGTCTTTGACCTAGGACATTCGCGTAAGCCTTTCGTCTATATCAGCATGCAATGTCCATTCAAGTGCCCCACAGGGAGAGACTTCACCGCTTCATGTCCTTGCACACTGTCCGTACACTCCTTTTTGCGCGGGACAACCGAGACTGACGTCGCCCCTTCAGCCGTCAGACAGGTGAAACCCAACTTGGATTTGGTACAGTTGAAGATATAGAGGAAAACGGGATAACGTCTATCAGGTCTCCAGAATCTTCGCGAGCTCCGGTAAAGCTGTTTCCCTTTTGATATTTTTTCACGACTTGACTTATACGTTCAGGCTGCTTGGAATGGTGAACATTTTGAAGATGTGGGCGCAATTGAAGAAGGCGCCCTGTTCGTCCAGAACAAGGCCGAAGAGTCTACATCGTTGGTGCTTGGTACAACTTTGATTGATGTCGCAGTTGCACTCTGTTCATCGAGTTTACAGGCACCTATGAGGAGACGGGTCCGATCCCCTTCAGGCCATTTCTTCAGATCAAGGATGTTGGGTAAGTCGTGTCTATTCAACGTAGCATCGCAAAGTTTCATCCAACTCCCTTTGAACAGTACTTCATATCCAGCCAACACCAATCTCTATCTGCATATCTTCATAACTAACGGGTACAGAGGTAAGCACCGTTTGATGTTGTGACTGGAAGCGTCTCAAGTATAAGCAGGTGGCCAATACGCTCCCGACCTTATATCGAAGTTTCAAGCTGATAGGCTCACCCCTAATAAAGGCATAAAAGTGGGCGACCTTTATCCGGTCAGTTCTTTAACTCTTCTAATTTCGGAGGCGACGCCGAATGAATTTCTCTAGGTCTCGCAATGGCAGATTCGCAAAGTGAACAGGAAAATAAAACTTGAATATAAAGGGAACATCGAAAAAGAGGACAGCAACGTCTGACAGGATCTCGCTGGCTTGGTTATGATTAGGCGCCACGCTCCGAGCCACCCGCTACTAGTACGCACTCCATTCGCCCATTCCATTCCTTCCTTGTCACTACTATCTATGGAGCCAAAAACCAGAATGAATAAAAAATCGTGCGATGATTCCAAGATGATTCAGCCTTCCTTTGTGAGCACAATTTGGCCTCCTAGAGTCGAGTAAAGAAGGAATTTCCCCTTTTCTAGAGTCATAAGGTCTACCGGCTCGGTGAATAGCGCCGAAGATGTCTTGGTAATCTTCATTGGCTGGCGTTCTATTAAGATGGTTAATCGGATTCGCGAAAGAATTAGACAAAAGGTTACGAAACTGACCTTGAGAGTCCGCCTGTAAGAGGATATAAGCTTGAAGCATTTTGGGAGGTCCGCAAACGAAAAGGTCTTGCTTATTGGGTCTGCGAAAATGACGTTAGGTCTCAGCTAGACATTTTAGATGGACTCGACAAGACTCAATATGCCCAAGGTCAACGACGGGACAGAATTCGTCAGGTTTTGTGGGGTCGATCGAGCCTTGACAACGTCCCGTCAGTTCAAAATTTGAAGATGGGTAAATTTTATGGAATACATAAAGCAAAGTGTTCGTCGGACTTGGTGTTATTGCACAAACCGAAAGTGTTGGTGTTGAACAGCGGTGGCAGCGGTTCTTCGGTGAGGGTGTGGCTGTCCGTATCGGCTTCCGTTTCACCATCTTCCCCCGTCAAGCCGCCTGCGCTTGATAGCGATTGTAAGATGGCCATATTTCCTGCCTAGATGGGAGAGCGGAGTTGAGAAGGAAAGCCTCGTCATTTGTGAATGGCTGACCTTCACTGGGATCATCAATTCCTCGGGTTTAATCCTGCCGTCGCTTCCCTCTTTGACCATACAGAAGCCAGAACTACGCTCGCTGCATTGAAGAGGAAACTGAGCTGAGCATGGAAGTGAACTCACCGGTTAAACCAGGTCACATTTCGAGAAACGCGGCTTGCCTTCTCGAAGTGAAGTATCTAAACAGAAGGTGAGTTCTACACTGGGAGTAGAAGCTGAGCGCTTATGGACAATACTGGCCTTCCAGATAATGGCCTGCCATGGTTTCCCGTCTTGAGAGCCGGCAGGTGTAAGAGTGAGGACCAACTGGAAGATTGAGTAGTCGAAACGACTAGATCAGCTCCAGATTGAGAGAGGGTGGTGAATTCGTACAGAAACTGATTTGTTTAGCTTTCTGTCCTTCCTGTCGATGCGTGTACGTATCATGAAGGTCGTTTTCTCTCGCCAAACTTGCTGCTCATGTCCGATCTGAGCCGAAGGAGCAGGAGAGGGAACGGGCGAGGGAACGGGCGAGGAGAGAGGTGAGTGGACCGGTTCATCCTTGCCGTCCAGACTATGCCTATCAGTCGAAATGGACCAGCCACGGGTTACTGGACGTGGGCAGACCGTCTGAAACGCCTTACCTTTCAACGGGAGTTTGGCCCTCATTTTCAGGAGTGAGTGTCATCCTCAGCGCCTGTTTCAACTGCTCCAGGTCCAATAGCTTCCCCAAGTCGTCGCAGTTTGCCGCAATGATGATGTTCACATTTTGGACGGAACTATCACTGTGGTGAGTCTGTACCATCTTGAAGGCGCTGTGCTGAATTTGAGCATGACTGGCGCCGGAGAATAGCTCCATCGACGACTTCGAAAGCGGGAGAGTGACCAAATGACAGAGAGGAGGATGGGTTGACGGGAAAGAGCTGTGACCTTCGCCGATTACCCACAGCGTCTAAGTAGTTGGATGAAAGCAGGCTGTGCGCAGGCGCCTGACCATTGGAGCACTGAGAAAGCCTCTGTCAGTTGCAGAACATGCTTCGTGTCAAGAAGGTCTGAATATCTAACGGCCGGTGCCGAAGACGCTACCATGCTCCTTGTCCACCCTATCTTAAGCCTCCTCTCTTACCTCACTCTGCGAGAATGCCGGTAAAGCCCTCTCCCTGGTGCACATACCCATATAAAGTTTATCTTGGAATCAGGGTAAGTATATCTTGCCAGCGATGCGAGACCCGTTCGGAAGTTTCATCACCCGGAAAACGATGCATCCTCCGACGGTGACTTGACTACAGCACTGGTTGATATGACGCCTGAAATTCTGAATCGCCCTCTATTCCCACGTATGTTGAAAGCAGACAGAGTTCGAAGTACTAATCGAACGAAACTTTGGGAATAAGCATGCCATATACATGGTCGCACGGGAATCACACGTTATCCGCACTAAGTATCACACCCCGCCTCGTGTAATTAGGGGCTGGCAGATAACCGTTTCTCGTTGTTGAAGAACCGTCGCACCTTCAAGTCTCTAATTTTGATAATATACTCAACACATTTATTTGAGGATGCACACGAAGTGTGAGAGCCATGGTATAAATGCGGAGGCCAGGAGAGTTCTCGGAGTTTGCCGCGCAGATACTGGCAGGTACTTCGATCGGTAAACCGAGTTGACCTACTCATCGACAACCTCCCTCTCTTTGCGTCCCCTCTCCACGCCCACTGCGTGCTGGATAGCACCCCCCGCTGTCCTTCCACGTCACTCTCTGAACTGATGCTCGTCCAGCCTGATATTAATAAGCAGTCGCAGCCGACTTCTCCCTCCGTATAGCGGCCTCCATTCGTCACCCTCAGCACTACAAGACTCCCAGCCACGTCCAGTAGCATATAGACGGCGTACTGCCCCGCAAACTCGTGACGCCATGTCTGGAGACGTTAGTTAAAAAGCTTAAAAAAGCTTGGAGATTGCCGTCCCGCACGAGGAGAGTGAGCAGAAAGGCATGAGCGTTGGAGACCTGAGAGGGCACCCATCCTAACGATACGGTGGTAGGTCTCCTTCATACTTGTACCGCTTTGAGCATCCCCACTTATTGTTTATGAAGAACGTCCATTCAGCTCCCCTGTCGCAACGAGGGTTCTGGCGTTCGCAAGATCATGGAGGACGAAGCACATCGCGACCCCTGATCTGGGTCCTAGGCTCACAGCGACACCTGCAGTCCTCTCGAATCATCTCATTCAACACTACCCATCCTACCCTCCCTCGTACTCATCGTTCCACCTCTTCTCCTTCAACAGCTCATCGACTGTGCACCTACATAACTCGTCGACTCTATTCAGAAGGCTGGAAAGTCGGGGTCCCGTCACAAAGATCGCGATCTCGTAGAATGACCGAGCCTTAAATTTGCAAATCGCAGCATCAACCAGTTCGCCTTGGTGCAACGAAGAAATGCGGTGGGAGATTCAGATGCCGCCCAACCCAAGCCGGGTCGCGCCTGTCCTCTAGCTCTCTTCAGCGGCGCCGACTCGACCAACGACTCCTCCTTCTGCTCTCCGAGTCCTGCTCGGGTGCTCTCCCCCTCCCCTTTACGCAGGCCCCTTCCTGGTTAGGTCGCTCTCAGTCGCCTCACATCCTTCGCCTCTGATTATCCGCACGACAACACCCACCTTGGACCTCACCGACCTCGCCCGTCCATACAACATACAATATACGATACATGGACACAGACATGACGAGCTTTGTCGTCTCTCCAATTTATCGATGTGAGCTATATAAATTCTCCCCTCGAGTTGTACTTCTTAGGCGGTATGGTGGGTTTTAGTGTCGTCCGTGAACGAGTCGGGTACATGAGACTAACGCTGTAAGTAGGACTACATATCTTGTCCGAAGAAGACATCCGGCGAGTATGAAGCCTTGAAGAAACATGAACTTGGACCCGTCCGGACAACGTGCAAGCTGTCGTCGACGACTCCCTGTCGCCTCTTACCGCCACAAATGTCTCGGTATGCACAATTCCAACGACTAGGCCCAGCTTCGATGATGTCGGTGCTGTCGCCCGTCCGTCGACTTTAGCATTGAAGCTTGCTGTAGGGTTCCGATGGTTCGAAGCAGTCTGAAGGAGGAGGCATCTATTCATTCGAAAGAGCGGTTTTGGTTCTGAATGAATGGCCAGGAATGCATAATAAATGAACGGGCACCAGCCTGGAGGATTCATCGCTGGTCGTAGTAGGGCTGAGACCTGTTCAGAGGTTTCGAAAGCATGGCGTGATCAGGAACGAACTATGGTCGAGGCTTTTGACAGCCTTGCGTAACTCGCGAGGCGCTGCTGAACTGCCTCCCCAGTTTTCCGAATTCAGGCACTCGCCGCGACTTGTATCGTTTGGCCCTCATAAATCCAAACATTGCCTGGGTCTCCAACCTGTATTCGCCTTAATTGGTGGAATCCCGAAAGCCAAATCGCTTGAGCGTCTGAATGGTGCGGTAGGTGCTGGTGAACCTCGACGCGCCTATTGCCGTGTGTCCGCTGTCCTCAGGCACAGAAAGCTGAAACACATCACCCGCAATCATCGAGCTATCTTCCCTCTTTCCACTCCACCATGGATATGTTGCATTCATTGACGCACGCTGCAGTCGAGTACGAAGCCCTCCGGTGGCTGGAATCCGAATATCCGCTCTCAGATATACCTGATGGGTCTACTCCAGGTGCCCAGACACTTGTCGATGTCTTGGAAGTCTATCCTGAGAAGGCTGAGTGGAAGAATGCAATAGACGCTTCAGCTCTACCGGATCTCTTTCCTGTAGGTGATATCGCTACCTACGGCGTAGCTAGATGGATCTCACGCTCGAGATCCTTACCAGCTTGACAAATCAGAAAACCCTATAGAAGTCAAGACACCGAAGCTGAGAGTGTTGTATGCCCATTACTTCTCTGTGAAATATCCTGGATCTCATTGTTTCAAATACCCTCCAGTTTCCTCGCAGATGCCAGCTTTCTCTTGGAAAGGTCCGGAGACAACTTCCGCTTTGACCCGGATAGTCCAACAGTTAGGTGGATGCAGCAACGCTTTCGAGTCTCTCCACTGTTCTTCAATTCAGCGGTTCTCGCATTTTTACCTGGGCAAGAACATGTCTGTTTTCTGCATCGTGACCAGGCTGGAAAGGCAACTAGATTAGGTACGTTTATCTGTGATCCTCTCCACGATGCTGGGGCCTAACTAAGTTAGAGGGCTTTTACCAAGTCAAGAATCATTACGAATTTCGAAAACACGCTGTTTGGTTCTCTCATATGCTTGGACAAGATGGCTCATCAACCTATATCACCTGCAATTTCCCTGAAGAGGCAAAGAGTGCAATTGTAACTTGCTCGCAAAAATGCGCCGCCGCGGCAGCTCTGTTTTTACGACCTCTTTCCATTGATTTATTTTGGTCTCAGGGTGTCCTCAGGACTCTGGCTGGGGTACTTGGGGGAGTTGTGACCGGATTGATACAAGTGGTGGGTATTCACGGACTGACCGTCTCCTTTCACTGATGATGCAGCAGGAGGAGAACACCCAGTTGAAGCCTTCCATCACCCCAGATGCTGCTGCAGCTGCAATTTCGGACTTACACCATTCCTCTCGAGAGTTGCATCTCCTTCGTGGACGTGTCGGTGACTTGCAAGTGATTATCCAGTTCCTGGCTACCATGGCACAAAAAATATCTCAACACGCATTGCCATGTACGGCTGAGGATGTACCGGTCAAAGGGGAGATGGACTCGATAATTGAATCTCTAGATTATCAGAAGTCCCAAACGGAGCATCTCGGACGCCAAGAAGCTGTATACCATGGGCGTATCACAACTCAAATCGCCTTGTTTTACAATTTGTCCAATCAGCTGGACAGCCGGACCAACCTCGACATCGCTCGGTTGACATCCAAAATATCGATCTCTACTCAACGCGACAGCTCGTCAATGATCACGTAGGTGCTCCAACATCTCGCGCTTTCTATCTTCTTAAATTTACGCCCGCAGGATTGCCATCCTTACCATGTTTTTCCTGCCTGGAACATTCATATCGGTACGTGTTCCCGCCCTTTCCCGGCACATCTGCCAGAATTGAATAATTTGCAATCTCCAGGCATTCTTCAGCATGGCTTTCGTCGACTCGACCCCCGATGCACGCGGGCGTCCAATTGTCATTGTCGGTCCACAGGTTTGGATATACGCCGTCGTCACGATCATCCTCACCGTTCTGGTGTTCTGCATTTGGGGATTGTGGCACAACAGGCGCATTGGCCAACAGGCGAAGGAGCTCGACATCGAGAACCGTGCGGGCGGCATTCAAGAACCGAACGACACGAACGCGGTGGCAGAAAGGCTCAGGGAAGTGACAAGGAAGTTGGGAGACCGGGTTAGAGATCATGTGGGACGTGTACAAGTTGGACTTCGTAATAGGTGGGGAGCTCAAAATGTCGACGCTGTTGCCACCGTCCCTCTTGTAGCAATGGGACCTAGCGCTCAAGCTCGAGTCTAAGTACCACCGTTACCACTGACAGTCCGTGGTCTCTTCATTAGGTCACAGGTTGAAGTCTCCATTCGATGTTACATATTCCTTAGCTACACCCGTACATCTATGCTTCGTCTTTGCTTCTAAGTGTCCAATAGAATCATCTTCTCCGTCCAGCGCCGAACAGTAAGCGCCCCGGCTTCAGGGCACAGCCACAAGAGGAGCCTCACCTTCACGGGAGAGGGTATACTTGAGGGCGGCGTTGCTGTTGATCGGTGGAAATTACTATAGCTTTCGAGTTTCAGCCCTCGATTGTCGAGAGTGGTCTGCGAGTTGCCAGCGAGCGGCCGGGTTCTCTTCGCTCATACGCTGCAACGGTAAGAAACCTATCTGAAATGACAATATGTAGCTCGCCCAAAAGTGCGTGCACAACCCTTTGTTCTGCCACTGGTCCCTATAGCAGGGGTGGTCAGGGGTGGTCAATACGACCCGTCCCTTCGAGTGAAGTAAGCTCAATAAGAACCCGCTCAAGACCGTCAACTGTTGAGTACTGAGCGCTGAGCAGTTGACACCTTCAGAGGTTTTCATGACGCATTGTCTGGCCGGAATGCCGACTCGAATCGTGTATTTTTCTAATCGAGACAACATTCGATTCTTGAAACACTGTAGGTGCCGTGTAATCTTAAGCATGTTTCGATGGATACGGCGACGAGCCTGGAAGGAGGAAAATAACGACCCCGGGTTGCGAGGGTGAGAGTGGAAATCTTGCTATTAAGAGTGGTCCAGATGGTGGAATTATCGTAGGACTGCCTAGCGATAGAGAGTAGAGAGATGCCTCCTCCTGGGGCGTGCGTTGCCGGATGTTCGTAGTGTACGTCGTTCCTCTTCGTGTGTATGTGCGCAAGAGATCTTATGGACCTGTCAGCAGCCACCCAACATCTCCGCGGTCTAAATGAGACGCACCTCGATGTCGTGAAATGTCTGGCGGTCTGTACATTGGACGCCCGCACATTGTAGAGCCTTTGACAAGCTCCTCCTGAATAGCAATGGGAGGGAGAGTTCCGGTATAATAACCAATTGAGGTTGTACAAGCTCTGCCATTTTGTGCTAAGTCGAAGTGATTCGGCATGTCTCGAGTTGCAAATCCTACAAAATAGGTAACTCGTGGGTGTGGACAGTCCTGGAGAACACAACTGACATTTTATGCATCGCCGCAACAGGGACAACAGAGTTCAATACCTTGAGTTTTCCCTCTTCTCTCGCTCGCGCTGCAAGTCCTCCGCCACAATCCAAAGATCTCGCCCGCCACGAGCTCCGCGTTCCCAGTCGTCAATCCTCAACGAAGCAGGGGTGAAGACAACGACCACCACGCGAGGGTCCTCAGATTCGAAGTCATCCTGTATCCACGACCCAATTATCAAGAGTCGCAGAGTGAAGGACTTGCGAAGGAGAGTGTCGATGGAGTTCCTGATATCCGCTCCCCCACCTATCAAGGCCAAGTGAGAAAGGCAAGGCAGCAGATGGAGCTTACTCCCAACTCTATCCCAAAACTCCCCGGCTGCGTCGAAAAGCTCCAGGTGCGTCAGATATGGGAACAGGGCGGGATCGAATTCGCCACCAATGTCTTTAGTGAGAGCCAAGCAGACGGTAATCGAGAGACGCTTAAGTTTGAGCGTGGTTAATGTGCGTGCTAGGCATCCGAGACGCCGTCCTTTGATGATCCAGAGTGCGAGGTCTTGAACGTTGTTGTGCAGCTGAAGGAATTCAATGGCAGTATTAGAGGATACGCGTTCGAGCAAAAGATGGGTAGTGTAGGAGGAGACTTGTCTGAGACGAGGGGAAGGATCTTGGCCGGTTTCGAACCGTTCGAGAAGTGGATACGGTGCTTGAATTCTCCTCCGGGCTTCAGTTGCGCTGAACCTCAACATCACTCTGTAAACCATGGGCTCAATCCTTGTGCAGAGTTGAATAGAATTATTGATCGATGAGGCGAACATTTCTCTTACCATTGGTAAACCCTCTTTGCCACAAACAGAAGCTGATATGCACTTCCCAGGTCTTGATAGGCAGCGATCTCAAAAATCTCTCTCTCGAGCTCAGGAGGCAGTCTTGGAGAAATTGAGACGGTGCTGGTCTTCGACATGTTGGTCGTCAGGCGAGATCGCGGATGGCTCCCAAGTTTGAGAACGTTGGTTGAGTTGCGAAATATCCGTCGCACTGCAAAGGTTGAAATAGTATCGTGACTCTGCCTCTGGGAGACTTTCTGATTCTGAGCAGTGAGCGTTGAGAAAGAAAGAAATGCTTACATAAGAAGGGGGACTCGGAAGTCGACGCGGATGTCTCGTCACAGCCGCACAGTCCCTCCAAGTGTCTCTACCGAAACGGAAACTCGTCCTGCCTAATAAGCGGTACGCATCTCTTCCCTTATGACTCGCTCTCCCTAGGCCTGAACTTGCGTGGAAGAGCTCGAGTTTCTCTACTCACGATCCGGCGAAGAATAATCACCCTTGGTCTTCCCTTGTCCGAATGCCAATAGGAATTCAACTTGCGGATTTCAACTCGGCCGACACTCATTCCTTTACTCGCAATGAGGGATCTGGACTCCGAGCGTAGTTTTCCGCCAAAGATCACGGATGACGAAGACGCCGCCACCGCCGAGTCGACCTCCTTCGTTAAACATTTGAAATGCTTCATGGCGCCATCACCATCACCTCTCACATCGGCCCATTTCTTGTCGCTTTTGTGAGGAGAGAGAGATTCGGGCCGGGAGGTATATGACAATCGGACGAGTTTTTTGAGGAAGTGGTACTGGTTTACCCATTACCCAGCTTCTTGTGATGCTGATTCGACCTGCCGCAGGCATGATAAATTCCAAGCAAATTTGAGGATATACGGATACTTCACCCCGACTGTTCTTGCATCCAAAAAATGCCGATGCTCATTGGTTCTCGCCGCTTTTTATACCATCTCCTGCCCACCAACCTCCAGTGTCAACGATGGATGAGTGTTTGGCCCCCATCCAAGGATCTTGCAACCCCTCATACCTCTCAGCGGAAGAAAGTCACCATCCAGACTCTCAACGCCCTTCGCGAGTCCAAAACGCCAATCACGATGCTCACAGCATACGACTACCCCTCAGCTCTCGCGTGCTCGTCGTCGCCCCTCATTGACATCACCCTTGTCGGCGATTCGCTTGCCCAGGTCTGCCTGGGGTACACCTCGACAACGCAGCTCACGCTCGAGGAGATGATTCACCACGCGCGGGCCGTCGCGCGGGGCACAAGCCACCCATTCCTCGTCGCGGAGATGCCATTCGGGTCGTTCCACACCTCGGTCAGCGATGCGGTCGCCAACGCTATCCGGCTCGTGAAAGACAGTGGCGTCGAGGGCGTCAAGCTCGAGGGTGGGAGGGAGATCGTGGATGTCGTGCGCCGGCTAACGGCAATCGGGATCCCGGTCATGCCGCACATTGGGCTGAAGCCCCAGACACACGTCGCGACGTCTGGGTACAAAGTGCAAGGGAGAAGCGTGGATGGGGCTAGGAAGATCGTGCTTGACGCTCTGGCCCTCGAGGAAGCAGGAGCATTTTCTGTGCTGATCGAAGCCGTGCCGCTGGAACTGGGTAAATATGTCACGGATCGCCTCAAGATTCCGACTATTGGCATCGGAGCGGGGCCCCATACGAGCGGACAGGTGCGCTTTCCTCGTTCCTTTTTCTTAAGATGCCGTTGACGTGAGGAAGGTTCTCGTGTATGACGATGTCATGGGGACCTGGTCGGGACACAAAGCAAAATTCGCCCGGCGCTTCGCCAACCTGAAGGAGGCACGAGATGACGCAGTACAGAGATACTGTGACGCGATCCGGGATGGTTCCTTTCCCAACCCAGAAACAGAAAGCTACACGATGGACAAGCTTGAATGGGCGAAATTTATAGACAGTGAGACGTCACTGTTTAGAAAGTGAATAAGAAGCTGGGTCGTTACCCTTGTTTTCTGTCCATTGCACATGCGACAGGCGTGCATCTGTGCTCGGCCCAGGGGCTCTTGGTTTGAGTTCCGATCCAGTTGTCCTTGTTTCTTCCGCACCAGCTCCTCTAGGCCGACGTGTTTGTGGACTCGACGTCGCAGCTCGTCAAACGACCGCCCGAAAAACCTATGCTCGGTTTCTTCGAGTCCGTATGCCGGAGTCCTGGCCAAGGGGGAAAAGAAGCACATGCTTCTCTTGTCTAGGACATTGAGAAGCCCCTTCGACAGTTTGCTTCATTCTTGGTACAGTCCGGATCCTTTTGCGATGTTGCAGAGGGTTCGGTGTTCGGGTGTCTTTCCTTAATTGGTATATTTTTTGTGCGCTCGAGGCGCGAGGTCCGTTTAAGGTCGGGTCTTGGATGTTTTGCGATTGATTCGTCAAGAGCACGACCACAGTAAACTGGTTTTCAATCGAATCAGATCCCCATAAACGTCGCCCTCCAAATTATCAGAAAACTTTGACAAACTCTCACACGAGGAGTCCTCCTCTTCGCCCTACGTACGAGCGCCAAAGTATCCAGTGGTACGGGGAGGGTCCGGAGACCGATGGCAGCCGGCTGCCAACGGGCATCGGAGGAGCATAAGTCATCTCGGCGGCCGTATAGAGATCCGAAAGGGGTATCAATTCGCCACTTCGTCTGCAAGGAAACGGGAAGAGATATTAATCCAAGAGTGACTCACTGTAGCTCTTCAAATCATGGGCCTGTATCTACAGCATGCGCCGTGTGTCGCAAGTTCCCAACTCACTGAACGAAATTCACCGTCATTCAGTTCGGTTCGCCAGGCGCCTGATCGAGACACATGTGGAGCTCGAACTCAGCTCGACTCCCCAGATTTACGGATAGTCCTTTGGTTGATCGCGCTGCAGACAAATTTCTCCCAGTTTCTGACCCACCGCTTTTCGGCGAGCGACGTAGCCGTATGCCGCAGCTTTCCAACTTCGTTGTCGGCGCCATTCTCCCTTGGTATCGCCTAAACATAACCCCAGTTGTCGAAGGTCTTTATATCTCCTTCTCCACGAGCCCCTCACAGTAATTGGATTGCCCACCCTTTCTTCACTTGTTCACATCCTTGCTCGCTCTATAGAAATGTCTTCGGATGCTTCAGATGAGGGCAATGTCTGGCTCATTACAGGTAACGAGTCTGTTGTTGCTCTCGTATTTTCAAGTGCTGAATATCGACGATTCAAGGAACGTCTTCTGGCTTCGGAAAACGGCTTGTAAGCGCCGTCGTCGCGAGAGGGGATCGAGTCATTGCCGCCGCGCGGTCTCAGGAAAAGCTGGACGACATGATTGCCGCCTTGACGCCCGAAGCTAGAACACGCGTACGGACAGTGGTTTTCGACGTGACGGACGGCGAAGAAAAGATTAAACCCAAGATAGCCACGGCAGCAGCGTACTGGGGACGCATCGATATCCTTGTCAACAACGCCGGTTGGTACCTAAAATATCGATCCATTCAAGGGTCGATGCCATATTGACGAGATGCATTTAGGGAACGTTCTTCCTGGCCTTATGGAAGAGGGAGGGTGTGTTTGTTTTTCCAGTCTTACTCATCCATCAATAATGCTTGGATTAGGAGCAAATTGTTGCGCCGCCAGTTTGAGACCAATGTTTTCGGTGTCCTGGACGTGACCACTGCCACCTTGCCTTACCTCAGGACGAGCACGTCCGGTTGCGTTGTGGTTTTTGGCAGCAGGTCAGCCTGGAGAGCGGAGCTACCTGTAGGTGTTCTGATTCTACAACGGTTTGGCTTCATGATTGGCCGCCATTTCGTTTTCAGGGTCTCGGTGAGTCTCATGCAACTCGATGGATCGATCCTGGAATCTTATAGCTCAATGAACTCGCAGGGCACTATGCCACTTCCAAGGCGGCTATTCACGGTGAATAATAATACCAGCTCCTTCGTCTTGCATAGTCTGAGTCGAGATTCACCCAGCCATGACTGAATGCTTCAGGGGAGAACTCGCTTCATTCAACATCAAAGTCCTCTCGGTGCAGCCGGGAGCCTTCCATACCGAAGGTATCTACAGTCAGCCCTACCTCACAGGCAACCCGATCCCAGAATACGACGAGCTCCGTGCCAAAAGCATCGCACGCTTCTCCACCTTCGCACAAGTGGCGCGGGGCGACGTGAACAAAGCGGTCAATGCCATCGTCGACGTCGTACGCGGAGAGGGTGTTGCGAAGGGGCGTCCCTGGCCGAACTACTTGATTCTGGGCGACGACGCTGAGGCAGATGTAAGGAATAAGTGCAGCCAGGTGTTGACGGAGCTGGATACATGGATAGACGTTACGAGAGGTGTTAATGTCGATGGTATGTAATTGGGACTGATAATAGTTGCATGAACTTTAAAGCATCGAACTTCGTGCACGGTACTTGGGCTCTTGATCGTGGCGAGGAGCCGATAAGTACTTGAACTTTCAGGATACGAGTTCCTTGGTGGGCATGACTCACGAAGGGCGAAATTTTATCCCGTCTCCGATCGCGACGTGCGGTCCGTTTTTCAACGCGAGAAAATTGCTCGGTCGATCCAGTTCACGTTCCTTAATGGATAATCGATGACGACCTGAATTGGGCACGGACGCCGGTCTTACGCGATGCACTTGGGCTTGGCTTGCTCCTTATAAAGCTAACGGCGCTTCGTCCTGGCGGCGTTTCAAAAAGCTCTCTCAACCAAGTCCAAGCCAAACGGTGCTGAAGGTAAGTCCATATCGAATGTGTCACCGTGGTTCTTATAGCTGGAATGTGGACAGATGTTGAGCGCAAATAGTTCAGTCCCGGTTGAGGGATCGGCCGTAAAATGCCTCCCAGACGAGTTCTACAACGACTTCCTTTCTGATGTCGCAAAAAATCGCAAACCGAGTCCAAGTGGGTCCGAACAATTTATCCTGACGTCGATACTTTTTTTCTGAAACTGCTCCTTTGTTGATAGTTCGCAGCCTCTTTCCGCTCGAGAAGACGCCCGGTGTCATATCCCTCCTAGTGGGGAAGCCCAACGCCTCGATGTTCCCGTTCACCTCGCTGAGCTTCACCACCGTCTCTCCCAAGTCTCCCGATCAGGAGACGACGCTCACCATCGACGGCGCCGAGCTGCAAGTAGGCTTGCAGTACACGGAGACAGACGGCCTCAAGTCCCTCACAAATTGGCTTGATAGCTTGCAAAAGGCCTATCACGGTCGCAGCAAAGGCGAAGGATGGCGGATCACACCAGGGTGCGGGAGTCAGGACTTGATTTACAAGGTTCGCCTTTGCCTCCTATTCAACAAGCTGATATTCAACATATTTGGTTATCCCTCGACATCTCATCTACAAGGCGGTGCAGTGCATGGTCATCCCGGGTGACGCGGTCCTCATAGAGTCCCCCGTTTACGCGTGCGTCTCTCGTGCAATTTGAAAATATACCTAAAAGCATCCTGATTTGCTCGCAACTATTAGCGGCGTCATCCCTATATTCACCTCTCTCCATTGCGAACAAATACGCAAGTTTCTCATTCGCTACCTCGGACACCGTCGATCAATTTTCTGCAATTACCAGCGGTTGAAACAGACGCTCACGGAATTTGCTCTTCTTCCCTTCGTAAAATTTTGGAGCAATGGCCCGAAGGGAAGCCGAAGCCAAAGGTTTTATACACCGTTCCGGTGAGAAACCTCTGCAATATTCTTGGAAGCTATTGATGAGAAATCTACATATGAAATATAGTACGGTTGCAATCCCACCGGTATGACCGCGACGACGGACAGACGCAAGGAAGTGCTGGAGCTCGCCAGACAGCATAACTTCATGATCCTCGAAGGTGGGATATGACTATCATTTCGCTCTCGTGCCACCACCCCATTATTTATCTCTGGCGTTGTGTAATCCTTCAGATGATCCTTATTTCTACGTCTACTATGGAGAAGCGCCTCGCTACCCGTCCTACTTCCAGCTCGAACTGGACGAACCAGAGGTTGGGCGCGTTCTGCGGTTCGACAGCTTCTCGAAGATCCTCTCGGCTGGCATACGTATCGGTTTCGCCAGTGGGCCCACGGTGCTCCTGAACGCCATCGACCAGCTGGTTTGTCCGTCATCAATCACTTATGCCCTTCCTGACTGAACAATGCCCGCCTCGACGTGAAAAGACGTCAACCTCGAACCTCCAAGTGCCCACCCTTACCCAATTGATCATCTTCCGGCTCCTGGACTCGTGGGGCTACGATGGATTCGCCGCACATGTCCAGCGCGTTGCGGAGTTTTACAAAGCAAAGCGCGACGTCTTCGAGCGCGCAATGCGCAAGCACCTCACGGGCCTTGTGGAGTGGACCTCGCCGGAGGCAGGGATGTTCTTCTGGTATGTTTCGTTTTCTGGTCGGCTTTTCCGTCTTGCATTAACATCAAAAATCCTCCAACCTAGGTTTAAGCTTCTCCTGACCGACGAACGAGCCGACGCGTCGTCTGTCTCTGGCCACCATGACGACTCGGAGGCGGTCATACGCACCCGCGCGTTCGCGAATGGCGTCCTCGCGATGCCAGGGACGGCATTCATCCCGAACGGAGGCAAGACACCGTATGTGCGAGCCTCGTTCAGTCTGATCGGCGAGGATGAAGTAGATATTGCTATGCAAAGGCTCCGCGAGACGATCTTGCAGGAGAGGGCGGCACGCAAGGCCATGGCGGCTTAAAGATAGACGACTATGTAGTATAGACGCCTTTGAAACCATCTTTACACAGGAGCGGCCAATTAAACTTAATTTCTTCGACTGTGACGCCATCCTGTCGCCAACGCGCACCTGTTAGGCGCACTTCTGACGTTCTTCGCATGAACGTGTCAGCGAGGTGTACATAGGGAGACTCGTGGGATGTGGGTGAGGGGACCAACAATGAGGAAAAGGACGAAGCGTATGGAGTTAGAGGGAGTAAGCGAGTCCTTAGGCATGAACATCCGATGAGGTGAGGTGATTAACAACAATATCTCGAACTCGAGGGTCAACTTCAACCAAGATATCGATCAGATTATCCTACAGAATTAGACCAATCCCTTGTCAGCGTCGAACACGCCTTGAAAGCAAGAAGCAGGTGGCTTACCCATAATTTATTCTGATCCTCATGACCTTGCTTGCTGATCACATAATCGCTGGGCTCGGAGACGGCAGCCAAAGAGATATACGCTCCCCGAAGGCCATCTTCAGACCCCTTCGCACCCACGGCAGCCCAGACGAGCTGTCGGGCCCCTTCTTCCGTCGTACGCGCGAGCGCCTTGTCCATAAGCCAGCTGAAGACTGCCTGGACTCCGTTCATAGTTCTCCGAAGATTTGACTCGCAGAATCCTGGATTGACCGTGTCGATGATAATCGACTGGCTGCATAGTCGGTCGGCGAGGGCGCGGGTGAAGAGTATATTTAGGACTGGGGAAAGGGATGTCAATCATGCGGAAGTTGTAAACGAAAACGGGGATCAACGAACGTTTCGTGTCGAAATAGCGTGTGCGGATTATACTTAACGAATTTAGGCCATAGTCAGAACACGAGCGCGAGGGAGGGGAGGGTGGCAAAAAATTTACCTCGGTGTGCAGTAAGCCTCGCTTCCAAAAGTCTGCAATGGGTTCTCGGAGTCGAGGAGATTTCGCTGCGAGCCCAGGGGTGACCAATAATGCACCTCGCTCGACACGATGACGAGCCGTGGGAGGCTATTGTGTTGTTTCGAAGTCTCTAGCATCCTGGGGAGTAGGAGAAGGGCGAGAAGCGAGGGTGAGAGATCGTTCGTCTGAAATCTATTGATGGCACATTCGAGCGTTAGTTGTAAAGACATATTAAGGAGCGATACCGTCACGTACGCAGCCTCCCACCCATCGGCGGTCATTTCCACTTTTCCTCCTTGAGCCGGGAGGATAGCGGCGTTTTCCACGAGGAGATCGAGCCTCCCACCCTCCTGCTTGTAGCGGGTAACGAACGCTTTGACAGACGCGAAGTCTGCGAGGTCGATGAGCCACAGTTCAGCCACCTTCGACCCAGTCTCTTCTACGAGCTCTGAAGGAAACGAAAGAGGGTATTGCGCCATTGATTATGAATACACAGGGAAGAGAAATTGACGCGTACTTCGGAGTGCCGCCTCGCCTCTCGTCTGGCTTCTACATGCAAGGATAAGCTTCGCGGGGTTCATCCGTGCGAAATGCTTGGCAGCCTCGAAGCCGAGGCCAGCGTTTGCGCCCACGACGACGACATGTTTTCCGCTCAAGTCATCGTAGACGACAGGAGGTACGCGTTTGAGCTGCCCGCGAATAAACTGGATAGGAGAGAGCTTCATGGAGAATGCACGCTTTCGAAGATGGGGGGTGGGAAGGATGGGATCGAAGTCTTTTATATCGCCTGATATGAGTCAACCAACTCACGTTGCCGGGGTTTTAGCCTTGATAATAGAGAAGATAGTGATATGTAGGGCCCAAGCCGGTCTGCCAGACTGCCACGCACCCCGCGTTCTCGGACGATGCGGTGCTTGAGGAAGTTTTCAAAGCACCAGAGTAGACGTCAGTGCCTGCCGACAATGAAGGATAAGGTCTCGATTGGATTTGGATCTCCGTTCAGCTGCGAGACCAACACGAGCCGTCCAACGTTTTCCTCCGAACGCTACCAAGGTACAGCAAGAAACTGCAGGACGGAACGCGAAGAGTCGAAAACCATTGAAATGAATCCGGGGGTCGTGGTCGACACAGGGCGTCTTGGAGAAATTGAAAGGTGAGTCGTCCATTATGCGGAGTGCACGGTCATGGTCGTGCCATGTCGATGCCGACGCGACACCTCATCCGAAGTGATTTCGGCATCTGTTCCTCACAAAGCAAAGCAAAGCTGTTCAAACGAGAGATTACTGTGGGTCCCGGAACACGGGGTATTACGTAAATCCTTTTCATTATGTTGCCTCAAAGTCGCATGGAAGGCCAGGAACTCAGAGAGAAAGGAGTGACGAGGTCATCCGTATTTCCGTGGCGCGCGTGTGTGCTGGAGCGGGCGATGATGCATGCGTTATCTTGATACTCCCAATAAATAGAGGATCTCCAGGTGCAGAATGTCCGAAAGCTGAGGAGATCTAGAGCGTTGAAGCGGCGCCGTCTAGAATGACGACGTCGAACGACTGCTAAAGGACTCTCGCGTTCGCATGATGCAATTCTCGCATTGGGAGGGCCGGACGAGAGAGAGTGTTCGGCGCAGGTCTTGGCGCAGGTAGGCGAAGCGAAGTATCCTCGTAGGATCTGCGTCGATGAGATCGAAGACGCAGAGATGTCGAGTCGACAATGTCCCCCGTTGGATGTATGAGCGAATCAATGCTGCGAAATCGGCAGTTTGATCCCTACCCCGATATTAGCAGAGGTAGAAGGCGTCAAAGGCGTCTCTGCTATCCAGAACAAAGGTTTGGGCTACGGTAAGGGCTGGGGACTTGGTGAAGATGGAGCCGCGAGCTCGTCAACGTTGAGGGAGGAGGGATTTAAGGGGACCGGAAGCCTGTCATGGACGGGCCGAGATGGAAAGTCGGAAGTTGGAGCTGCAAGGGGCTTGTTCCTACCCCCCAGATTGTCTCAGCAGGTAATGTACGAGGCGTAGAGGAGTAAAAGCCAGCTCGAAAGCGACCTCCAGAGCCTCCCATTCTTGCACCAATGCGCCCCTTCGAACCTCCGACCGTTCCTCTGAGACCAGCGGCACCAGCCAACGGGACATCTCCGTCAAAGGTCTCTTGCCGCTAGACAGCATCCTGATCAGCGCAGGAACTGCGTACTTCCGAAATGAAACTTACAGATAACGAAGGCGGCGGCGAGGGCATCGACGCAATGACTCGGAGTTGTATGCCACGGATGGGGGTTGGAGGTAGCACAGCGGCAGTTGATGACGGAGCACGAGAGATAGGCGCGACGGGGCGTTGACGAGGCCTCGCTGGCGAAGCAAAATGCACAAGGATGGGCGCTACTATGGGTCGCGCTCCTTCTGGCATGGCCTAGGACGCATTTATTCCAGCGCTGGGTCCTGCCAAACATTGTTGTCGCCACGTGAGATTAACACTGCCTGTCTGGCACTCCGCGCCTGATGCGGCAGGCTCTTGTATGATTGTGCATGAAGATACACGAGTATCCGATGTTGAGATGGAGGCAGAGAGGATCGAAAGGCGGGGGGCGTAAGTGCCCCTCTTTTACGCTAGCGAAAAAGAGCTAGAGAGTCAGTTTCGATTAGATGGATGAGAAAAATGGCAGCAACGGAAGTAGGGAGTGCAAAAGGGGTACCAGGCGCGGTCCCAGGTGTGAGTCCAGCGCCTGTTTTCTCACTAGGAGAACAGCGAAGGGATCCGTCGACTCACCAATGATGCGAGTCCTCAGCATATACGAGCCCAGAAGCCTGCTTTTCGCGTCCGCTATCGTTCCTCTGGCAGAACATAGCCCTGATATGCAGGTTAGCAATATGCGGGGTAGCTTATGGCCGCAGTCCTTACCGATTTGTAAAATCGAGGCTCGAGCCATCCCAAACAACGCTATCAGGCCAAAATAGCTCGCACCGGCGAGAATCTGTCTCATAGACAACATTTCCAAGGCCGGATATGTCATATATGAGGCTTATTCTCGTTGGACGAAAGGGATTTGGACCCAAAACATCCTGCCAATCTACCGAAAGTCAAGGTGAGTCCCGTAAGAAAGTTGAAAGGGTAATGGGGACGGCTCACCTGTGTTCAGCGAGCAATTGGTGCCATTGTTTCGGCAAACAATGGCCACCCTGTAGCATGCGCGACGCGTTGTTGAAGAGCAAAGATGGGCTTGGTGAATTGGGGGACGTTAGGGCAGGTTGGCAGACTTAACACCAGCTGACCTACCCTAAAGAAGGCGGCCCGCAACTCCACCCTGGCTCTATCAGACCCTTCCTGGTCCTGGTCGATGAATCCGGCCTCCCTCTCCAGCACCCCCTCCCTCTTCCTTATCCCTTTCCTCCTATCAATTTGACCACCTAGCCGTTCCGGCGCTTTGGCCTGCTGTCCACCTCATCGCATCCCAACAGGACTGGCGTTGTCTACTTACTACTCCGAGGCCCGCAAGTCTTCCCCTCTCCTTTGGCTCTCCTAGCTTTCCGGCCACAAGCATATTTCACAGCTGCCACCTGCGTCCCTACAGGACAAGAAAACGAACACTACGCATCTCGAACTTGAAGGTTGTATGACCCCGGTCCTCGAAAAGGACGGAAGATGGAAGGTGTCGCGGATTTAAACGTACTTCTAACGATGGTGAAACGGCGAGGATTTGCACAATGTATAGGTGCGTCTCATTTCGTGCATCGAGATTCGAGCAATCCAGGGGGTGTTGACACCTCCGATAGACTGCCTACTATGTGAATACAATGAACACCAGGGCCCGCACCATGATAGACCCATACCCCCAACGAGGACAGACACGGCGCGAGGACTCCTCCGCCGAACAAATTCATCTCTCCTACCCCTTGCTGGTCGTTTTACTCCTTCTCGCTGACGTTCTCCGCTCGTATTCTGGTCGAATACCAGCATTGTCCACCGAATGAAGATGGATTCTCGATGACCGAATCAGTGTATAACGGATAGTAGAGATTTGGATGCCAGTTATTCACCAGGGCGCGATCTTCCCTCAATGTTCGAAGAATGGATGTGCATAGAGCGCCGAAGTGTCTACCTACATAACCTGCTTCTCGGTGCCACCGGAACCTTGGGCTGGGAGGCGACCTCGAGGTCTGTCTCAACGCATGCGGGCGGTCGCTGAGAATATGCTGAGGGTTTCGACGGAAGTCGATGTTCGAAGAAAGGAAGGGAGGAACCTCTCGAGAATCTTGCCGACAAGGCAGGTCTCAATGTTCCACTCGAACGAACATGGTGGACGGGACCAACCGACGACTTCGACCTTCTCGACGTCGCTTACCCAACACACCACCCATCCTACTCTTCCTCGGCCTCGTCTCTCTATCCTTCTACTCCTTCAACGGTTCGCTGGCCATGCATTGATCCTATTTGATTTGGAAGTGTACCCCCATCAGTCGATGAGGGAGGCAGCGTAGCAAGGATCCGGAAGTGCGGCGGGGAATTTGGATCTCGCTCACTTGCCGCTCACAAAAGACGCGTCCTCCAGCTATCCCAGCCGACTAGGATTGCCCCTTTCCGCCACCCACCCATCCTTCCGGCATTGGAGTAAACCTTCCTCGTACGGCACTGCATAACACATTGTTGGCGCAGTGGTGGTCAGAAGGTAAGAGAGGATTAATATTGCGGGGCTCCTACAGAGCTCTTATATACTGTACAATTATGTATCTACAATATTCTAGTACTATCTACTAATTTCCTATTTGTCCGAGGCTATGCTAAGTGAGTCAGAATATTACTAATCAAGTATTCTGGTAAGTCCGAGTAAATGCTGCAACACACATTGCTCACGGATCGGAAATACATTGTTTCGCAGCTCGAAAACGTGCTACGGGGATTAGGCAAGGAGACATCCTTCTTCATGATCTCGTCATCCTCGTTGCTAACTTCCTTTTGCAATCTAGAGTTCATCATACAGTCAGCGACGAGCGTGGAGATTCTTGCTGGAAGTCTTCACGAGGAACTTGCGATTGACACTTTAGACAGCCTCGCACTGCTTGCAAGGGACCGCTGGACCACTTTTCACTATTCTGAGTTGGTGTACTCGCCTTGGCAGACCTCGCAGTCTTTCAAGCCATATTCCGCCTTCGTAATACTTGTCTACTCCCGAGTCCTCGAAGAAAGATACCCTCGGTGAGTTGGCTTCCGGAAATTTCGCCCCGTTTTGCTACATCAGTCCTATAATACATTCCCGTCCTGGTCTTGCTTTAATCGACCACTCCACTGTGAATTACGGCACACCAATTCTTGTCTGCTGGGTGCCTGTTCCGTAAGAAACACAGCCTCGGGCTGTGTATTTAAGTCTCACCAAGGCCCCATCACCATGTCGGTGCGAAATCCAGCTCGCTTTCCACTTCATCATGGACACGATGCTTCCGCCACTGACGCACCCAGAAATTGAATACAGAGCGATAAAAGAGCTGGAAAACGAGCATCCGTTTGGTGAGGTACCGTATGGGTTCTATTCACGGCCGGGCAGGAAGAAGGGAAGGAAGTTGGCAGGTGCCGTGACCCTTGTCGACATCTTCGAGGTCTATCCTGATAAGACCAAGTGGAAAAGGAAATTGGATGTTTCAGACTTACGGGTTCTTTTTCCTGTGAGTCCCCGGTTCTGTATCGCATATCCGGAGCTAAGCACAAGTTCTCTGAAAGCTTGACAAGTCAGAAGAACATCGTAAAGCCAATATTGCGAAACTAAGGGTCCTGTAAGTTGCACTGCAATACCCTAAATGTAATACATGTACATGGGGTCATGTTGATTTTCATTATCTCATCATGGAGAGTTTTCAAGGATGCCAGGTTTCTTCTGCAGGTATCTGTAGACAAAATCTACTACACACCCACAGGACCCCAACAGCCCCTTTATTCTTTAGGACAGTGGCAGTGCCACTTTCGACAGGCAATCAAGAAAGCGCCTCATTTCTCCATCACGACCGAGCTGGAAGGGCCGTTAGGTTAGGTGAGTTTTTCTATCCACCGTCTAGTGCTGCTGGTTCTAATATTGAAATCGCGTAGATGGCTTCTATAGCATGATGGACGGCGACGGTGATACGCGACAACACGTCGTCTGGTTTTCTCATAGCCTTGAAGGAGGCGGTAGGCGATGATTGATGAGTACCTTGAGTTTGAGTAGCCCTAACATTCACTCTGCCCTGAATTGCAATTGAATTACATACAAGACATCTTCAAATTAGCAATTTTCGCCAAACTAGACCACAGGGGGTAGTTTACCCTTTTTCATCGCCGTCGGATATTATGTCCGTCATCAAGCGCGCGCTTACTCGGGCGCTTACAATAAGCGATCGGTCGACAAGATGCCCAGAATGGGGAAGTACCCAGAAAAAGAGCTAAAACTGTACTACTGAGTATAGAATTCCAGAATACAGAATAGTAGCCCTTTGAGCAAACGAAGTTTTACACGACCAAAAAGTGCTTCTGATTCGTCTTTCGGCGACATTTCTATACTTGTTAATAGCTTCCGCATGGAACCGAGATAGGAGACTTTTGGGCTTGGAAATGGAATTCGAACTTTTGGAGACGTCTTGCGCCTACTATTTCTGATTCTCTCGAAGTTGTAATATCAATAGCAGCGTGAAAAACAAAGCTCGCACGCTCGATGTGGAGGGAAGGATAGAAGACTAGAGTGCATACGATATAAACTTGAAGGTAAAAACTACGCCTAAAATCCCCTCGATAAAAGCAAGAGCGAGTGGATCATGTCCAGGGTCAATTTTTGCGGATACGTGGGAGAGCCGTGAAAGGCATAGTTGCAATTGTTTGCGGGCCAGACCTTTCCACTATATGGTCAATTGCAATCATTTCTTCCCCTCCATCATCGTCATTCTCCCAAGCGGAGAGACTCTCTCGACTGCGACTCCTGTTGGCGACATCATCCGCGAGGCATGTTGCCCCGCTGTTCTCCTTGTCAAAATGTACCGATCCTTGCTTTAGTCGATGGCAATGCCAGAAACCCCAGGCACAAAATACCAGAACAGTAAGGACAACGGTGGAAATGGCATATATCCATACTTGAGGGCTTACAATAACCTTGGGCCGGCCACGAGCATCGGGTTTTGCGTCAAAAAAAATCATACTAAAAAATGCCTGGGAATTTTGGCCCTAGTGTAAGGCCGCAGAAGTGACCCATTTTTCCAACGCGGACTTACCGATAAAAAGGTTCCTGGAAGGAAGAACATGGTAACGATCGCCACTCTGTTTACAGTAATAGTGATGAGGCTCCCAAGTAATAAGAACCGAGAACGAAAGGTTTCACATACGTGATCATGGACGAGCTATCGCGCTGTGTGGCGACGGATATCTCCGATGTGAGCTTCGCAATTTGGAGGTTCGTCCGGGTGTCTATCTGGTTTGCTAAATTGAAGAATAGAGCTATTTGGGTAGCAAAGCGTTTCCGGTGCGCATTCTGCCAGCGCATGACGTGCTCGGTGCGTCTGAGAAGATGTTCCAGTGACTCGGAGATCGAACTTGAGCTTGATCCGTCTTTCTGGTCGCCTTCACCTGGGGGCAAGAGAGCAGACAACTGCTGCTGGATGGTAAATAGAAATCGTAAATTGTCTTGCAAGTCGCCTATATATGCCCCGAGAATATGCAGCACTCGAGACCCATCATGCAAGTCAGTGATAGCGGTAGCGGCCTTCCCGGGGGTCAGATAGGATTTCAAACTTCGGTCTTCTTCCCACATTGTCTTATTAGTTTTGTGGAGACTCTGGAGAGGACCTGCGGGAATGAGATGCTCACGAAACGGAGAATGCTAGTAGCAGACTCCCGTAACGAGGCCTGCATGGTCCATAATCGGGCCTCAACGAAGAGCAGATCAATACTTATGGGGCGCAGAAGAAGAGGGTAACGGCATTCCTCCGAGCATGCGCGAATCGTGTTCTTGGCTTCTTTAGGGACATTGCAGACGAAATAAGTTGATACTTGCTCCCTAGTAAGACTATGAGAGAACCACACGGCGTGGTGAAGGGGCTCTCCTGTCGGATTTCTTGACTGATAGAAACCATCTGTTGGAGGTCGCCGTCAACACTGCCATTGCACTTCAGATAATATGGCACAGACAAACCTAATGAAGACGATTTTCCATCCTTGCCTCGACGAATAAATGAGACATGTTCATGAGTAGGCGTCCAGAGCGGATGAACCAATGCTTTGAAGAAAAAAGAAGAGACCCCGAAGCCCTGCTGCATCCATTGTACAGTGGGATTGGTCGCCGAATAACGGTAACTGTCACCAGCACATTCGACAAGGAACCCAGAATCCGAAAAGAAGCTGCAGGACAAGATAACCCATTATCAACAAGTACGATGAAGAATGTCTGGGACGCACAATACCCGTAGCTTCGGACCCGGTGGATTGTTCTCGTAGCGCTTGTCCGTCACTTCGAGCTTGCGGAATATGAACGGAGTGCGCGGGTTAGAATGCAACGAGATACGACTCACTGGAAACATTGTAGGCAATTCCGAAGCCTCCAAGTGGTCCTTCCACTGAGCCCCATTAGGGGAAACCTCAAGGTCATCCACAAACGTTGCATTCCCAGAATTCCCAGACCCATTGAGCGGTCGATTGTCGTTTAGGCCTTCGAGCTTAAGGTCTTGCACGCCACGGTATTCGATTTCAGGGTGGGTTAAGGGTAGAAGAGCGCTCGTGGTGTTCGAGAGGGTCGACATTTGTAGGCTTACGCCATCGAGCATGACACGTCGACTGTATTTAAACTGCAAACCTGGGGAGGCACCTCGAGGCATAGTCCACGACTCAACGAATGACTCAACGTTAGACTGCCGTAAAGACGTCTAGGGAGGCCGCCCATGTCATTTGTGAAGAGATGCATTAGTACTCGAAATAGCAAGTGTCCATTCTGAATGCAAGCCCGTCCAGCATGGCCGGTCAGGAAATGAAAGAGAGACCCCAAAGAGCAAATGCCATTGGGTCACTCCGTCATCGACCAGAAAAGGCATTGAACGCATGACACACTTCACGTCGACCTAGCACAAATCGGGAAGGCAAGACGCTGGACTGGCGGTATGATGGGAGACATGAGCAGTTGAACTAATTCTGGGGTTGTCGTTATTCCATTTCCAGAGCTTTGGGAAGGTCCCGTGCTGGGGAAGACCGTAAACAACCGACGGACATGACATTATCAGATAATCCGGATTGGGTCGCAGACAACGATTGAGAAAAGGTGATCGTGTTGGATCCCAGTCCCTAACGTCTTGCATTCAGGAAAAGCTGGACAGCATAGTAGAAATGGTCCATGCATAGCGGAGGAGGGTCGCGAATGGACGGCATGGGTTAATAGTCGTGAGGCGTGTTACATAAGTAAGAAAGCGCTTTTCTTACAATGTAAATCGCTACAAACACTTTTCACCCCACGAAAGCAGTGCAAGAGCTTTTAGGGCCCTCATTTCTTCCCGGGTAGGCCAGAGACTGCGATCCATTTCTTCGGGATGCCCTTCGACATCAGGTAATCGACAACAGCCTTGGAGTGCCTTCCCTGGACGAGGACTTCCATGGAGGACCCTGCGTGCTTGCCTGGAGCTGGCGAGACTACAAAAAAGGGCGGTGTCAGTCCAACCAGCCCGATGAATGGGTACGACAGGTCACACACCCCAGGAGGCGCTGGCACAAATCTTCTTCATATCCTCGGCCATTTCATCCGTGTTGATGATGATGAAGGGCTCGAAACCTGTTATCAGAGTGACTGGCTTCTTGTAGCGTCGAAACACCGTTACCACTCGAATGGCGCTCAAGCTTCCCTGCCTGAAATAATTCCTCAGCATCCGAGGAGCAGGAAAAGAAAGAAAGGCACCAACGTCAACACAGGCTCTTGTCCATCGACTGTAATCTCGTGCCACAGCTCCATCTTCTTGAGAACCGCTTTCGTCAACTCATCGCGGCGCATCAACCGAGCTGGAGGTTCGGGCTCTGAGGCGCCTTTGTTCTTCCCCTTGCCTCGAGGTGCTCTCGGCGCAAGCCAGGCGCACAACAGGTGATCGAGGTTGATATATGCACGGTCATCCTGGTTTATTAAACTCTTCTTGGTGATGTACGTCTTGAGCACCTCTTGTATTTTTGGGATCGAGTACAGATCGTTCGTCCTGGGCGATGGTCAGCAGGCTGCGCGGCCAATCGGACTAGATACTCACTTGGCGCCGATACCCTCAAAGAGCATGACGCTCGTCTGACGAGGTTTATAGAGTTCTCGGACCTCCACCCTCTTGATGCCACCCTGGTTTTCCCTCTCTTCCTTGGCAGCTTTCTTTGCAGTTCTTGTCTCGACGTCCTTGACGGTTTCGAAAGTCGAATGTGACAGGACGCTAGAGTGAAGAGCGTTGATGGCAGTTATGAGCAGATCAGGCTGCTGCTTGTGCGGTAGCTTCAGAGTGAGCAAACAGCTTTTCTCGGCGGCCTTCAAGAAGGTAGTCAGCGATTTGTGGCTGGATGTCTTGATCGTGATTTCAGTATCACAGTGCGGCGCGTTGCCGTTCTCGTCGCCGTAAGAGCCTGCAGGAGAGAGGACGAGGGCTGGAAAAGCGGGACGAGAAGGAAGAATGTAGTTTGAGTGGAAGATTGTTGCAGAAATTGGGAAGGCGGAAGATGGGGGTGGGTTTGATAGAACTTGAAGAAGAGCTTTGTTGAGAAGTTCAGTCACTTCCAGAGGGGAGTACGACATGGAGTCGGGTGTCGAAGTGGACTCCTGGGAGGTGTGTGTAGGAAGCGAGGCTTGCAGAAGGTGAGGCTGGAGGCACGTCTTTACATAAGTTCTTCTTTGTCCAAATTTACTCACATTTGCCTTCGTACAAAGGTAGATGATACCCTTCGCTCGATATTTGACGATCCGAGTCCCTGAGGGAGCTGATGTCTTGAGGATTAGGTTGCTTGAACATCGTTGGCTCGAACTGAAATATCAGTCATCGATTCTTAGGGTTTACCCAAACTTCAAAGAATTCTGGGGAGCCGTAAGAAGAAATGAAGGGATATATAGATATATTGGCCCCATCTGCGCCGGAAACATCTAGCGTGAGTCAAAGAGGTGAAAAAGAGGGGGAACGCGCCTTCCAAAGCTCGCGGCAAAACGAAAGAAGAAGTATTTGTTCGGTAAACAATGATCGGCAGAACGGCACCGCCTTGGATCAATCCAGGTCCACAGCCACTGATAATCCGCTATTCGACTCTCTCCGGCCACCACCATCCTCATCACCCAGCATTCGTACCAACCATGGTCAGCACAACTTACGCGTCTACGAGTGCGATACTTATGCCCATCACCTACAGTCCTCTGGTGTTGGCGTCAATGATCAATGCCTGACCGCGTTCCAGGACCTTAAGCTCAAGAAGAAGTTCAAGTACATTATCTTCAACCTCAACAAGGACCTGACCGAGATTGTCGTCGAAAAGACGTCCGACAATCAATCCTATGACGATTTCCTCGGGGATCTCCCCGAGACCGAGTGCCGATGGGTCATCTACGACTTCGAGTTCGAGAAGGAGGGCGGAGGGAAGCGAAACAAGATCATCTTCCTGTCCTGGTGAGTTGTTATTTTATAGTTATGGTTGGGGGTGCGCGCAATAGGGACACGTCTATGGCGAAAACGCGCGGCCGTCATGGTCCTGACCCCTTTGTCTGCCGCCCAAGGTGTGGTCGAATCGAGCGCTGATCGCGTTGATCAGGTCTCCCGATGACGCGAAGATCAAACAGAAGATGGTGTTCGCCTCATCCCGAGACGCCCTCAAACGCTCACTGACAGGCGTTGCTGTTGAGATACAAGGAACCGACTTCTCAGAGGTCGCCTATGAGAGCGGTGCGTAGTTATTACTTTGCCGCAGTATGTCCTGTGCTCTTGCGAGCAAGGACAACGCGGGCGACACACGTTGATCTATGCTGATCTTGGTTTCTTTGTTGACCGAAACAGTTTTGGACAAGGCCAATCGTGGTCATTAATCAAACGATGGCCCAATCGTACCCCTTTGTGACCCCTGTTCTCGTATCGACGTCGCCCAGAATTATCCGTATTGCCTCTAGCTTTTACGATCTTCCTTGCATTGTTATCCAACGACGTCGGCCATCTACGTATATTAATCAAGAAGAGTCGAAATAAATCCACCGTTTAGAACGCAATCGACTCAACATGCTTCTGAAATTCGTCTTTATACGCATTTTCCTTGCACAAATCTGGCCAGCCGTCTACCACCCGACAGTCTCCCGGACTGTATCAGACGCAGCATGTCGAAGTCTACATGACAATTTGCGCGAAAGCAGTACATTCAGAATCTCAATGATAAAATGAACAAAATTGTTTTCTAACAAGGATCGCGAAAAGCTGACAATATATATCCTCGCTCTCCTCAGGCTCGCCCTTCCTCTCGAGTTTCCGGTCGTGGTGTGCGATGCCGGACCAATGTCCATGCTACTTTTCGACCCCGTCTTCCAATACTCTGTTCGACCTCCATCGCCCATAGAGGCCGGCATGGTTCTGCCGCGGTTAGCTTTCTGACTCTCTCGACCTGGTCCTTATCGTCTCGTGGTAGAGAAAGTCGGGCTATGTCAATGGTAGTCTTCGAATGGCTCCACAGATGTCCAACCATGCTGGCACCAACTACCGTTTGGCAGTCGCATTGAACTTTGTGAACCCGCTGATGGGCTTTGATTGTGTTCCGCATGAGAGACGATTTAACAGAGTTGCAATACAAGACGATACATATACATAAACTGGAGCACTGTGTTTGCTTCTCAGCCTTATTTCTTTCCAGAGAGATCAACGACCTCAATCCACTTCTTCGGGATGCCCTTCGCCATCAAGTAATCGACAACGGATTTGGATTGCTTTCCCTGGACGAGGACTTCCATAGAGGTCCCTCCAGGCTTCCCTGCAGCAGGAGAGACTAGGCATTCGTCAGCACAAAAGGGGAAAAGGGGAAAGACAGCAAATCACTCACCCGAAGTGGCACCGGCGCACGTCTTCCTGAGATCCTCTGCCATCTCATCCGCGTCGATGACGAGGAAGGGCTCGAACCCGGTGATGAGCGTAGCCGCTTTCCTGCCCTGCCGAAGCTTCGTGGCGACTTGAATCGGGCTCAGGCTGCCCTTCCTGCATACAGATAACCATCAATCAGCACAGCAAAAACTCGAGACATATATGAGAGAGAATGAAGACATCGAGGAAAATACGAACTTGGTCACAGGCTCCTTGCCTTCTGCCCTGACCCCATACCACGGCTGCATCTTGTCCACGACGCTCTTCGTCAGCTCATCGCGGCGCATGAACTGCGATGGAGGCTCGGGCTCTGCAGCGTCTTTGGCCTTTGCCTTGCCTTTGCTCCCCTTCGCGGCGACACAGGCGAACAGCAGGTCGTCGAGGTTGATGTATGCCTGGTCGTTCTGGTTCACTAGGCTCTTCGCGGCAATGTAACCATTAAGCATGGTCCGGATTTGCGGGATTGTGTAGAGATCGGCTTTGCTATTTAAGATTCAGTGAGCCAAAGGCAACTTCTAAGTAATGTCGAAACTCACTTGGCTCCGATGCCTTCAAAGAGGTCGACGCTGGCTTGATGAGGTTTATATAACTCCTTGATCTCCACCTCTCTGCTACCACCAGTGGTTTCCTTCCCTTCCCGCGCAGCTTTCTTTGCAGCCGTCAGCTCGACGTCCTTAACTGTCACGAACGAAACATGAGAAATGATGTTCGGATGTGATGCATTTATAGCTGTAATGAGCACATCTGGCTGTTGCTTCTGTGGCGGTTTGAGGGTAAGCAAGCCTGTTTTCTCTGCAGCCTTCAAGAACGCAGTCAGAGATTTGTGACTGGAGGTCTTGATCGTGATTTCGGTGTCGACTTGTGGTGGGTCGCCAGGTCTATCGCTGGAACTTCCGGTAGGAGGAAGGACAAGGGTCGGAAAAGCAGGACGTGAAGGAAGAAGGTAGTTCGAGTAAAATATTGTCGCAGGGATAGGGAAGCCGGAGGCGGGTGGAGGTTTGGAGATGGACTGTAGGAGAGCTTTATTGAGCAATTCCGTGACTTCCTGTGGCGTATATGACACAGTCTGAGGTGTCTCCGCCATTTCTTCAGGTGGGATCGGCGGTGGTGGTGTAGCTTGATTACCAGTTCCTTCTTCCTCACTCTCCTCGCCTTGCTCCACAGGAGCGCTCTCCTCGAGAAGCGTGTCCTCCGGTATATCGATCTTGGACCCCATTTCCCAGAGATGATCCTTCCAGGTATGAATGACATGAATCGCTTTCCCTTTCTCCGTCCCGGCGGCACGCAACCGATCACTGGGCAACGCCATCCGTCCAATAGCTACAGGAGGAGAAAGAGCTGGCTTGCCATCTTTGTTGACATATTGTCGTATCGCGACGAGCTGATGCTCGGCCAACGAAGGAGGACATTGGATAACTGGCTTAAGGAAGAACCTCAAAATCCGATCGTAAAAAAAACATCAAGAGCTCACCACCCGGTATCATCAAGTCTGCTCCTCCTATCAGAATTGGAACTACGGCAGAGGGTGTTGAAAGAAATGGCAAAAGATCTTGCTTTTTCCATAGGGTGTAAACAGTTGGAAGGAGATCCTCTGACCCCTTGCCGATGGTAAACCACATTGGCGTGCCGTCTACATGTGTATACAAAGTCTTCACACAGTCAATTGATGTACGACAAAGTGCGAGAGACTCACCCCGGGCTCGTTGACGTGGGTACTGAACTTCACAGAGGAGATTCCATCCGGAATGAGCGCGTCGCCTTCTTCTGAAGAAAGTTGGTAGGCCGAGACTGCGCGCTGTTTCAATTTGCGGCGATCTGAGCTTCGTAGAGGAGCAGATGTTTTCAGGTTGCTTGGGGGTTTCTTGAACATATTCTAACAGGGATTATAGACAAGGTGTCTTGTACAGTTGTCGGAAGAAAACAACTTTGCCGGTTTGCTTGGTCAGCGGGCTTCACGTGACTTGTGTATGCCGAACTTGAAACATTCAACAACTCTACTCTCTTCACCATCCCCGTTCGACACAAGAGCTAGTTTACGACATCTCGAGGCTATAATAGTTCCTTGGGAGCCAATCCAATGTCTTGATAAGGCGAAGTTCGGTCGGACTGAACATGACTTACATCAGCTTGAATCTCGAACTATTAACGGTTGCTTATCTCAACCATCGCGCGCACATTAGACCCTCCTATTGCAAGGTAAAGGGTCGAAAGTTGCCCGACTTCTTCAAGCACTGCTCTCACACTGATGTGACTTTCATATTTAGAGCTGTCTTGTGGAGACCTCGAGTCTCCCAATTCACAGCCAAGACTTCTTCAGGGCATCACGAATCACAAATAGCTGGATAGAATTTCGACGAGTCAGTCTCGTGAGCAAGCTTGTCTGGGATAAGCTCTGCCTTTTACTGAGAAATTGTTGTGTGTGGTGCGAAGGCACCGGGAATAGAGACACCAACGAGCAAGAATCCGATTTGATGCACCAAGGCTCAGTCATTGGTGGAGTATTCATGACCGTTTGCACCCCGGAGTCCCCAGACGAAGTGCGTTACTGTCTTACTGATATACTCTTCGACTCCCTGAATCAACGGATGGCTTCATAACAATCCAGGAGAAGGCACGAACGAGGACGGCTCGGTTCGACACAACGCTACTCCCAGTTGTGTTACACCTACATGTCTATACCGCTTTTCATGTCGATTTCCCGACGGCTAAGATGATCTCTTTTTTCAGGCATGTGAATTTCTCCCCAAGGACCCTACCCAAGAATCACTTGAGCGACGAGGTAATGTGCTGTCCTGGGAGATAACTGGAGTTCAACTGCTACTTCAAAGTTCCCTGACTAGAATTAGCTCCCTGATTGTCTCTCGCCGTCTCAGACTTCGAAGAATTCGAACTCTGTTACGAAATGGCCAAGCTACTAGAGGTTCTGGCTGCGAGAAGAAGCGACCAATGCAAAGTTCGTCAATCTATGGAAACTCGCAAATCCGCCGGCCGCGTCTTTGTTGTGTTGGCGTGTTCTCGATGTTCTAGGTAGATCCACGGCGAACCCGTTCAGTCAATTCCTGTCAGATATGGTCAATGCTTTCTAGGCCGCCTGTAGACCGCATAATTATAGGTTGAGAGTGCTCTTCACGGTATAGTTTTAGCTTATTACAATCATAGGGGATACTTAGAGCGACTGTGACCGCAGCTCTCCTCTCTTCCCTTCAGCCTACACCCCAACTCTCAACCCACAAATCCCGTAGCCCACAAATCCCGTAGTCAACATTGCCTAATGTGCTTCTTGCTTCATATCATAAAAGCATACTCTTGCCAGCACCTTATCTTGGAAAAGAGACAAAAGGTGCTGTGACCTCGTATAAAACACTGACAACGAGCTGACAAAGATACCAATTTTTAGGTGGATTGTAATAGGAGGAATTGTGCATTGAGTGCGTCCCATGAACGCAGGATCCACCCTTGCCGAGGCGTCTGCATTGCCAGGTCTGCCTTCCCCGATTCCTCAGTGTTTACATGCTGAAGTTTTTTAGAATGGGGCCGAGCCAAGAATTCGTCAATGAAGGCTTATTTGTTGCATGCGATCGCTGCCGTCTTCGAATCTGAGCATATGTACCCTCATGCTTCCTTTATTTCTAAGCATTTTGTGGCGTTTGGAGGTTGATTTCGTCTCGTGGACAGTACCTTTTTTCAGAATCCCGAAGAAGAGACAGCGTGTCGATGTGGTACAATTCAACATAGGTTCGATCATTTTCCCAGTGCCGGAGTGTTATCCATTACGACCGTGAAGGTTTCACTCTAGATCCCGAATCCTCGTGGCCAACTTGGCCGCCTCACTAGGTTGGTGGAGGCTTTCGATGTACGTGAGAGACTCAACTTTCTCTTTTTACTACACATTCCAATCATGAAGATGCGACAACGGAATCTGACCTTCGCAGATCAGAGTGGATAGGTGCCGCGGTTGGACTAGCGTCTTCGTTCAGCTGATATCGGTTACCAAATACGCCCCTCTGCCCTTTTAGACCGAGCACGGATGAAGCGTAGGTGGCTTCATATTTTTGGCGTCAAACACCGGGCTTCGATACGATGGATGACTAGTTTCGCCGCTCAATTTTGACTGGGTGAAGGTGTCAACACCTTCGGCAAGTTACCGAGCTCGAGCATGTGGCGCCTAGCGCCCGTACTACCTCCGCATATATCACCTACTCACCTTCTTCAACGATCCCAAGAACGTCGGGGCTTGAATTTTTTGGAACGCACATGCGCCGGGGCTCAGGAATAGGTGAAGATAACCACCCTTGACTTACAAAATACAGAAGATAGATGGCCGAAGAACAGAATTAGTTTCTACGCATTCGAAGCGATACTCCAGTAAGCAAGCTCAGTCGCAGGGATATGATACCTTTGCAAATTTGGCTTAGATGGAAGTGTAGCCGGAAGAAAAATTGCTCCTTGAGTGTCCCTGTGGCAGAAGACCACAACTGGATTAATTTGCTAATATTATCGAATTAGGCTGAGTGACATGCAGTGGATCTGATGTGGGTTCGTCTTTGCCAAATCCAGAGATGTATTCCTGTTTACTGAAGTGTGTTCGTTGATCTTCGACAGGAAATTGATCCTCCAGTTTATCCGAGCCCTCGAGGGTACTTAAGGAGGCTGCTAAATATTCGATTTCACCCCCTTCATCCCAACGACCAAATCGATCTCGACCTGTGTTTTTGAATGTGCTACCTATTGCATATCTTCAAGGGATATAGCTGCGGGCATGAAGTACTCGAAAGGCGACAGAAGGTTCGGTGACTGCGATGGTTCCCTGTTGGCAGTCTTGCTAAGAAATTCTTTCCAAACGCTCACATCTCAGGTTGACTGTAGCGGCAGCAGATGTGCCTTGAGCACCGCCCACGAGCGTGCCACCCACCCGTGTCGAGGTTCGTGCGCTTCAAGGTATGATCTATAACTGTCTGAACATTCTGGAATTCCTAAACTTTCACGTTGAATCGACTGTTTCAAATTTCAGATTAGGACCCAGTCAGCCATTGGTTCGCGAGCAACTCTCCGTTGTGTGCGACAGGTGCCGTCTCGGGATTTGAAAGTTTCATGAAATGAGACGTGATAACAATTTGCTCGCACTCTGAATTAGTTGCGATAACACGACTCGTCTGATACGCTTTAGCTTGGATAATGGTTCAACCAGTTGTGTGTCCATATGTACCCTAATATGACCCGAGAGCGCCAAGCGACCCAATCCTGCCGAAAAGCGATAGCGATGATCATCTTTAAACACCCCCAAGACAAGGTTGGCCACGGTGGATCAGGAGATAAGTAGTTTTCCTGTCGTCGTCCTTTGTTACGAAGGCGGATGTGTTCCCAACGCCGAGGCCCGAGCCTCACTTCTCCCTGGTTTGGAATGACCAGAAAGATCATCCTTCGCCCGCCGGCGAGGAAAGCTCTTCAATGGTGTAATCTCAAGAAGACGAGTGCCGGTATCAACTATCTCCGTGTACTTCATTTTTAAATATTTTCAGTGTGTTGTTTATCCTCCAATCGAGAGCCTTCAGGCTCGAGAGGAGGGCCGCCGCGACATTGGCAGAACGTAAACTTGAATACCTACTACGCCAACTTTTGATGCTCTCACAGATAACTGGTCACGATAAGGGGAGAATGTCCTGTCTGATATTCCACGTTCAAATGTTTGGAAAGGTGAAATAGTACTTAGTTCTCGAGTCATCTCTTGGTGGGTAAGTAGTAGGTGCTTTCCAGGATCCTCATTTTAAACTGGTCCCCTCGGCCATTGCCGAGCAGACCCGACTTGGCTCCGTCATGCAGCTGTGTAGCGCTCCTTCACTCCACCACGAACAACCTCAGGCCGGATATATTTCAAGCGGTCTACATCTGTAATGTATTCTAAAATAGTGCATCAAGCGGCGAAGATTACGAAGAACTTTCACCCAACTGGGCGGCACAATCGCCTATACGTTGAAGATCTGCATATTATAACATGGATTACTCACAGCTCCCAGATCTTTTCACGGTGAGTATGCGCCCTTATTCGAGGCGGTAAAAATAGGGGCGGTGGAGATATGGGGCACCCATGATTGGCTTGTAAGCTATGTGAGCCATATGTTTTGTCTCGCGTTTTCTTGCTCACATCATGGCAGGAAAATAACTCGGAGCTGAAGGCATTCATGGTTGTACAAACTAAATTATCGAATGGACTATCTCTTAGTCCTTCGTCTCGGTGTGAAACTCTTCGAAGATTAAGGTTTTTGGCCCCTGCCGCACGCAAGTAGAGACCCAGGTTAACGCCATGTCATGTACCTGGGGTCGGAGACATATAATAGTCCAATATCCATCATTGCCAACAATCCTCGACACCCCTCTGTATATTGAGGTAAGTCTGTTCTTCGGTTCTCCGCTGAGCCGATATTTTTTAATTCTTTGTCGCCACGATTTCTACATAGGCCCTCATCACGTCGAAAGACGCCCCATGACTGCGGAAAAAACACGTTCTGTCATCCAACAGTGGGTGGACGCACTCAACACCGCCGACCATACCACTCTTTTCGCTCTCGCTGCGCCAGATGCGACCCACTGGATCTCAGGTCTGGAAGAAAAGATTCCCTACGCAGGTAGCCTGCCATATGCCGAGCGATTAAAGCAAATGGCCCCTATCTTCGGCCAGATGAAGAGCATGAAAGTGAAAGTTCTTGGGCTTACCGTTGAAGGCGATACGGGCGTGTTGGAGGTTGAGAGTAGAGGCGAGGGTCCTAATGAAGGGCAGGTTTATGAGAACAACGTGATGATGAAGTTCGTGGTGAAGGAGGAAAAGATCCAGTCTATCAGAGAATACGTGGACTTTCTCGCGCTCTTCAAATACCTTGGTAAGGAGCTGTGAGCGATGGCGAAGTTAGCAATATATAGTAATACAACGATGTCGTTGGGTGCAGATTTCTATGGGATGTCGTGCGTGAGTGCAGTTTAGGATCAGTTGGAAGCTCAGGATGAGGATCAATTTGCCAGCAAATTGGTTTGATTTTCTTAAGTGTAGCTCATAAACATCCGTTGAAACTTTCATTGGACTGGAGGCTGAAGTTAACGGGGTAGTGCTCCGACCGGCTCGTAGCGGACCAAAATATGCTGAGTCAGCAATTGTCACTGCATTCGACAATCTGCCAGGGTCGAGCCCGCAAGGCATTATTTCTCCCATTCGCTCGATTCATGCGGTCAAGGATGAATCGATGACATGTGGTAACATCCCTTCTCACCCGCGGCTATGCACGACCTCTGTTCCCATCCCGAAATCGAGTTTCGAGCTGCAGAACTCGTCAGGAATGGTCCCATTGTCGACGTCGAAATTGAGGACCGGCAAGGTTCTAACACGCTTGTGGATGTGTTGGAAATTCATCAAGACAAAGTCGAGTGGAGATTGAACCTAGACCATGGGGGCCTTTTAGATCTTGTCCCAGTACGTTGTGTCCCGAATGATGCATCAGGTCGAGGACGCTCATTGTCCAATTCACAGTACGAAAACAACCCTCTCAATGAGCCACAGCCCTTGAGGATATTGTATGCCTGCGCTCCATCTTTCTGCCCCCCCACTTTTTGACATTGTCCTAGCTTTTTCGAAGATTTCAGCTTCCTCTCTCAACATGCCCCTGATCAGTACCCATACACCGAAGTAAACTCAACCGGGCATTGGATGCGACAACTTTTCGGCGTTTCTCCGCTGTTCCTTACAGTAGCGACGCGTGTATATGGAGAAATCAGGGGGAATGACTGCTTCGTCAGGCGGGATGCTCAGAGTCGCCCAGTTGCCCTAGGTATGTGCTGCTCCCATGTTTCGAAACCCGCATAGTTACTCACGATGCAGATGGTTTTTACCATTTCTCTATGGGAAAGGGCAGATCGACTTCCATCTGGTTCTCTCACAGCCTCTTAAAGAACGGAAGCTCAACCTACATTGTCCACAAGTTCCCAGAGGATGCGAGGAGTGTTCTTCTAAAGTGTTCTCAGCAAAGGGAACCTGAGCTACTGCGCCGCCCCTTGGCAATTGATGCATTCCTCGCTGAATGCATTTTACTTCACTGGGAGAGAGCCTGGGATGGGCACGCCGCGCAGCTTAAACAGTATGTGAGTGTACCTCACCGCCTCGCAACATTAACGCCCAGCTCATCTTCAACAGGAATCAGAATCTAAATCCTCCATGACCCCATCCGAAACCGCCCATGCGATCGAAAGTCTTCACTACCTATCCCGGTCCCTGTACGGCCTCCAAGGACACCTAGCTGATTTTCTGGACACCATCCAACACTTTTACGGCATCCAGCAAAGCTTCTTGCGCTGCGCTGGCACCGACGCGGACGAGCTGGCCAATTCTGCGAACGAATCACTTGATTTTCTGCAATCGAAGGCGAATTTTGTCACTCGCTGGACCGGTATTCATCGTGAACGTGTCGGCGTCCAAATAGACCTTTTCTTCAATTTGGCAAACCAACTTGACAGCCGGACTAATCTCGAAATCGCGAAGCTGACGTCCAAAATATCAGTCTCTACCCAACGCGACAGCTCGGCGATGATCACGTACGACCATCCTTTCTCCGTAGGCTCCCTTCATTGGGCTGATATCTCACGCAGGATAGCCGTTGTGACTATGTTATTTCTCCCAGGCACTTTTATATCCGTATGCTCCTTTCCTCTTGCTTCGTGCAAACGTCAATGACTTGGGTGGACAGGCATTCTTCAGCATGGTATTCTTCGACACGCAGCCTGACGCACGTGGACACCCTACCCTCATCGTCGGACCTCAACTGTGGATTTATGTCGTCGCCACCATAATGCTGACAATCCTTGTCCTCTGCACCTGGGGTTCATGGCAATATCGCCGCGTCCGGCGACATGCGAAGAGCCTCGACGTTGAGACCCTTGCTGGCATTTCCGTTAACGGAAACGACGACAAAATCCAGCTCATAGCAATGAAGGAGAAACCCGAATGAATCCGTGAAAGAACTGTCCTTTATTTTGACCTGGTTGGTTTCACTATTTTTCATTGAAAGCTCGATCAAACTCGACTCAGGACTGTTTCAGGCTATTCCCATGTACTTTAGATGCCATAGTCCATGCCGCTGAGCGTCGATTTACCAGCGACGAGGTCATCATGAGTTGTATCTCAACCAATACCCAGCTGTTTTGCACCTGCCAACCGTGCGTAAGCAGGATGGGCTTTCGACTTTTTCGAACGACCGTCCACCCTCCTGGCTCGAGGAAAGATTCCCATTACAAAGCTATTACATACACCCCTCTTTCTCGTCTTACCTGAGACTGAAGGCTTGCAGCAAGGCTCATCAGATAATAAATTTCAATTGCAACCAAGCCGCCTCCTCCTCGCCCAATTAGTGTCCAAGAACCCCTCCGAGCATCAACACTGACCGACTCAATGACTAACCACATCCTGCTGCGCACCCTCTTCGAATACAAAGGCGCTGGTTGTATTGGTAAGTCCTTTGGCCTTTCGAGGGCTGACCTAAAAATGATGACTCACGTACTGCGTATGACAAGATCTCGCCAGAACTTGACAAGAACGCGAAATCGAGGTTCATTAAGGTGCGCTCCTCTGATATAAATAGGAGCTCTGGTCTCACCAATAGCCCATATCTTGCAGTCAGTCGCATCCACCCCTCTGTCATCTACCATCTCGTTCAACTCCATTGAGTTTATTTCAACATGTCGAGCAACCTTGTAGCGTTCATTCTTGGAGCTGGTAACCACATAGGCGCCGCTCTAGCTGCCCACCTTCACAAGAACGGGTATCGTGTTGCGCTTGGTAGCCGCAACCCGAAGTCGGATGCCTCTGAGGATGAAGGCTACTTCCACGTCAAGGTCGACATTGAGAGCCGAGAGAGTATTGAATCGGCCTTCGAGGCAGTTGTTAGCAAGCTGGGGCCTGTTAACGCTGTGATTTACAATGGTCAGTTGACTCCAGATCCTCGTTTGAAATCCTTCTCATCGTTCCTCTACTTTGCCAGCTGCCTCAGTTGCTTTCCCAAAGGATGAAGCCGATTTTCTCTCCCTTTCATCCGAGGAGGTCTACAAGGCTGCGTCACTCGGAGCTGGGACATTCACTGCCGCCCAGAAAGCGTTGAAGAGCTTCCGTAACGATGTCCATCGTGGCCATCCCAAGGCGTTCATCGTTACCGGGAACCTTCTCCCTTTCGACCAGTTTAGTCCCTCCAAGTTCTTCACTCTCGGTGCACAGAAGGCCTTTCAAACTCGGTTCATCGCAACGGCGTCTAGGTCTTATGAAGCTGAGAATATCAAGTGAGTCGTTTCAGCTTTCGGGGAGTTTAGAGGTGTTGACGGGGTCTTAGATTCTATTTTGCCACTCTAGTTGGCAAAGACGGAGGCCTTCCTGGACCCGACTTCGCCGCGAGCGCTGAAACACACGCCAAGGTGTACTTGGAGCTCATCAACAACAAGCAGAGCAACTGGGATCATCGGTGAGTAACTTGGGGGATGCCTCGACGATGACATCCGCTAATTGCTTTCCCAGATTCACCCTCGATGGAAAGACCTTTTCGCAGTCTGGCTAAGCAAAGTCATTGATAGAACAAGAACACGTATTTACACGCTCTTGAATCCTAAAATTTCAACACTGCACATTCGCCATCTGCCCCGGAGAATTAACCTTCCCCGTGCTTTCCATCGGTAAACGTATGAGCCCACGTGTACTGCACCTTCACCTCATTTGACCCTCATCTGCTACGAATATTTGAGCCGTTGGTTGCCGCATTTCTCTATATGGGCGCGCGGCAATAACTTCACCCAGGCAATGGACATTTGCAAAGATGAATGGTGCTTTTAATCGCCATTCCCCTTCGAAATTTGAGGTGGACAAGTCGTGGACACTTGCCCTTCCTCAGCACCATCCGTACTTCTCGTTTGCGATCCATACTGGACAATCGCCGGGGCCATACCAAGCCACTGCAGCAAGATTTTTTGCTCTAGGTTGGGTCTTGACATCCACCCCATGCGACTTCAAGTCATCAAGAAGTCTTTCGTCGAGATTCCATGCAAGAATTTTCCCGCAACCTTGCTCTTTCGCTACAGCTGCCGCAGCGTACACCATAGCAGACAACTTCTCTGCACCCACACACCTGATGCGTAAGAACTGAAGCTCATGCTTGGTGTAGTCTATGAACCAGATCGCAAAATTGTCGTCGTCGAGTTGGACACCCCAGCGAGTGGGTAGGGGTACGGGGGAGAGGATCTGACCGTAGAACTTGGATCGGGCGACGAGCCACGTGAACTCCTCGCCGGTTGGAAGCACCGCAAAGGCTGGCGGCTCGTTTGTGCGAGCGCGATTTGTGAATTCCTCCATCAGCAGGAAAGCGTCACGTTCGGCAACCTTGACGAAATCTTCTTCGGTAAGGTAGTCAACCTGTCCATGGTCGGGAGGGTGCGAGAGAACGGAAACGACGTCCCAGTAGACTTCAGTCGATGTTTGAATGTGCCATCCTGGAGCTCCACATTTTGAATAAAAATTCCCAACGCCGGAATAAAGAAATGACAGAATTCCCGTCGGATAGCTGTTGGACAGGGAAAGGCCATCTTGCTCGTTGTGAGAATGATATTTCGACGATGGGCTAGAGATCTGCCCATGGAGGAGGGCCATCATCTTGGTGGCGTATCCTCTTTTTCGAAGCTCCATGGGCGTATACACGTGGGTTATCGAGAAGGCGGTGTAACAACTTGGTGCGAGGGACTTTCCAGCGCTCTGGACTATAACTTTCCTGGCGATAGTTGAAACAGTAGATAAGATCCCATCAGTGGTCAGATTATCACTGGGAACGAGTGCCCTAGAAGTCAGGGAAATCATTAGCGTGAAACTCGTCGCAGATAAAGTGCAGCCACGTACCAGTAGATTTGTTTATTCTGGGCGTAGCCCAATCTCCCCAGGACATCTGCTCTTTCGATGTGCTGTGGCAGTGTGATGGGGCCATCTGGATCATAACGGTGCAACAGCGATGCACGACTACAGAAAATTAGTATGAGGAATGTTGTTCTTAAGATTTCGTACGTTTGTTGCGGGGTGGCACGAACGAGAGTGGTTTCCATATCGCCTATTCGCGCTCGAGGAGGATGAGGATGATGACAAGAACTTCGGTGAAGGCTTCAATACCCTTCAGAGGCCTGTTGCACTGGTGGTTTGATGGAAAGGCTCGAAACGCAAGTCTGATAAGGGACTGATTTGGGACTGATCCACTAATCACGGAGATGGTGTGTGGCAGTGTGTCCCCAGCTGATCCGAATCGACAAATTAAATTTGGACGTTGGAAGCTAAATGGGTTTTCGGCGACGTCCAACATCCACACAACGAGAGGAAGAGCACCGAGGCGACGGTGCAATCACACACAACAAGCAGGCTCAGGGCGAATGATGTGTCAGAAGAACAATCGCGTTTCTATGCAAGCTTATCAACTCAACTCTCCGTCACCTCCCCTCCACCTCCATCCTCTTCATTCGTTGACTCAACGATGTCACTTGACGGAATTTCTTTGGCCTTGGAGATTGCGAGCCGCATAGAGGCCCAGACAGACAAAGTGAGTGGATATGATCAATAGTGCTGATTGGTCACTGTGGTATTTGTTTTGACGCCGGCTCGTTCAGTCTAAGAAGAATAAAGGAAAGCTGCGACACCTCTCACTTCAAGCCCTAGCCGTCGCAGACGATATACGAGAACATTATGCGCTTCTTGAAAAGCAAAATGTCGTGCTCCCAAAAAGCATGGTTGATACCATTTCTCAGCTTGAATTGTATGTTCATTTGCTGCTTTCTTGACGATAGCTTACCAAGACCATCAACCTTAGAATTCTCGGAAAGATTCTCAGAGTGGTAGAAAAAGAACAATCACGAACGCGGTTCAAGTCCTGGTTAAGGGCGTCGAGCCAAGCAGACAAATGTATGTTGCTCAGCGAGGAGCTAGCTGCATGCGCTACACGTTTTGGGGTAAGTTTACTTTGCCTACCTATGGTTCTCATTATTACCAAGATATCTTCAGATGGTAGCAAATCTACATATTTTGGGACAAACGAGAGTGATTAGTGTGAGGCAGGATCAAATTGCTGCTCGCGATGGAGAATTACTTCGGACTCTTGTGACCAAGAGCACTTCGTTGCCAGCCGTGAAGCAGTACCAAGTGGTGGAGAATGTAGTTGGAGGGGCATCTATGGTTTTCTGTTCAGGACTGGATAGTTCCCAGAGAGAAGGCCATTCCCATGTGGACGACTTGTAAGCCTCTTCCTTTTGTTCTTGAGCTGCATTGGTGGCCCACATGTTACAGCTTAATCGAAGAAAGACAGGGCTTCGAAGGTTTTCTTGGTTGCCTTGAGCAAACCCTCACCACCCGGTGTGAAGTTCTATCTCCTCTCCAGGAGACATTCACGTTCTTTCTACAGCACCTAGAATCACGCCATCAAGGACTTGCAATATGCTATGCGGCGACAGAGACCTTCGTTGTAGAATATGCAGATGAACTCAAAGTTTGCGCGTGTGTGGCTGTTCTCAAGGAGGACTATGATTTGCGACCAAACTACGATGATCGGGTGGGGAACTTTGCTCGATGCCGCAAAGACTTCCTATTCGAGTTCACCTTGTTGACGGTCACTGACACCCATACGTCGCCTTCGGATTGGATAAAAGTTCAAGGACTTGCCAACCATTTCCAGAGGGAGCGCATTGCATATGCTCTATGGGACCTGGGACGTCTCCCTCCAGCGTCGCATATACCTGATAGCGACTCATTTCGGTGGATCAGACAGCGCATCTCCACCATACCAACTGTGTAAGTGTCATAGATCTATTAGAGTGTATTCATTAGCCAATTCAGATGGCCTTAGATCTGGGGAACGGGTAGTGGTTGACGTAGAATCGGGAAACGATAATTACCCCTTCAGGCGTTTCCACCAACTGAATGCTCGCATAGCGCATCCGTCAAATGCCAGGTGTCGCCTCGACTTGATCCAGCATCTAGACAACGTAAGTGCAGTACATATCCTGCACATTTCTGTAAATGAGATGATTTCTCCAGGAAATTCGGCTCGTGTGTGAAGAAACCAACGAAGAATGGTTCATTTCGGTAATCCACCACCAGACACTCCCATGAACGACGCTCACAGAAGTACAGATTATATCCCAAGAGAGATTAATTAGAAGTCTGGATGGAAGGAAGAGATACATAGACGCGCACCGAAAATATGCCTTTCGTGGCATTGAGCTCGAGATAGAAGCCTTTGAATCTGTAAGTCACCCAATAGGACCGCTGATAGCCATTCTACCTTACTGATGAAGAGAACTCAAGATGGGTATCCACTGCCCCTTGAGTACGAGACCAAAAGGTCAAGTCATGAAGGGAAATATGGAGAAGACATTTAAGGAGATACAAGCTGCCGCAGCAAGAGCGATCGATGCGCTCTTCCTTCCTCTTTTGGAAAGATGTTCGCCAAATTCAGCTAGAACCCCGTTGATCCTGACAATGCAACACTTGGACCACTGCCGAACAATAGGGAGGGCTTGGTGGAAGATTCATACTTCCATCGTTCTTCTCTCATCAGAAGGCCGCGAACAGGTACAGATCTCATTTGTTTACCTAGTGTGGAGTATCCGACACTTATTTGTAATCTCGTCAATACTTTTAGTCGAGCGCCTATACTCGAATACCACTTGCGAAGGCCAGAAGTGACCTTGCTCATACGTCTGCGCCGCAACCAGCTCTAATTTGGAACTATGTCCCTCCCCATATGACAGCCCAAGCACGTCGGAAACGGGAGCAAATTCTGAATGGACTTATTTAGGCCTCACCTTGTGGGCAGGTGTTAGGACAATCCGAAATCTATTCTGCGTATATATACCCCATAACTTCACTGGTGTAGTTTTGTAAATAATCTCACCTCAACAACTCTCCCATCCTCTCATTTTTCCTTCCTTAATATTTCCAACCCGTGTTGTACTGCTGGAGGTATGGCTAGTGACTGTGTTGTTCTTGAGCGGACCGTTCCTTCATACCGCTCTTTTCTCTCCTCGCCACAATTATTACCTCCAGCAGTCTTCCATTTAAGTAACGTGCAATGCTCGCCCAATCAACACGCGTGCAAGGATATACAAGAAGTGTACGGTTCCAGGGACTGCTGCGCTCACTTTTGTACGTGGTTCTTCACATTCTTTTCTTTTCGAGGTGATAGATATGGCATTGATCCGTCTTTACATTGTGGCCAATTGGGACGACGGCCCTAATCGATATTAGCAAGCCCCTGAAGGCTGTTAATGCGGCTGGGGCGTTTTTCTTCAGTGGGTCTTCCTAGTTCCTTTACCCGTCGAGAGACAGGAGACAAAATCGTCCGATGAACACGTTCTCTTCCATTTTTTGTTGTTCCGCGGATGGGAACAACTGTAAGCAGCCTGATCCTCCTTCACGCTAGCGTACGGTCTCCTAACTACGCACGCTTCGCGTCCCCACTTTATTTTGAGAATCTAATTTGCTGTGTTTACAGCGAAGAGGACGCGAAGCGCATCAAGTACGTACTTTCCCAAAGGCATCACATCGCGTCCCATGGCTGGAATCATAAGGACTTGAATGCACTCAGCCCTGCCCAAGGTGAACTTTCCCTCGGGTGATCCCGTATAGTGAAGAACTGACTATCGAGAAGATCAGTGAAATAAATACAGTACGAACGGAGATGCACCTGCTCGAGCGTAAGCTGGTCGGCTGATTCGTTTGTGATCAATGCTTAAGCGCTCACTAGCACTAGCCACTTGCCATCTTCAGTAGCTTTCCAACGCATTGCAGGAGTGATGCCCGCTTTCATTCGACCGCGTGCGTAGTTTTTAACAACGGGTGGCTAACATTTCATTTATTAGACTCTTCACAGCCTTCGGAAACTACAACAACGCCGTCTCGGAGATTGCAGAGGCCCGCAAGTAAGCTATTGTGCTGAGAGACTTTGAGTACGGTAGAGATATTCAGTCAAGGCATAAAGTACTTATTGGCCATGATCCAGTAGCTCCGGAGATGCCACAGGCGCTAACGTGGTGAAGCAGAAAAGCGCCTTTTAGAACCTCGCAACTAAGAAACGCTCTAAGACCGTACTGGCCGTGGACCATGAAACCTACGGTGCGTTATCTTGATATAAATCAACGAATGACTCCACGATTCTGATCGAGGTCGTCGTGGAACAGCTGCATTTGTGTGAGTGATTTAATTTCTAGCCTTGCACAGGTCTATTTTCGACCTACGAGAGGTCCTTTCAGGAAACAAGTCCTTTCCGAAGCTATCAAGGACTTGCGCAAGGCTGGATACAAGCTTGTAACAATATATGAGTATCTTGTGAAGCCTGCGTACCAGCATACCGCGCCTCCTTCGACGCGCGATGAGTTGGGGCCTTTGGGGATTGAAGGGGCGTGGGAGAATATCAAATGAGGTCATGGGAAAAATATTTTGAATTGACATTTGGACCGGACTAGGCTGCAATAAAAGGAGGCCCTCTCACCACCTTTCTTCTTTCTTCCCCGCCACCATGTCCCGTGCGTTCTGCATCCCTGGCATCCTCTTCCTTCTCTGTGCCTTTGTTCTCAACTTCCTCGTTTCCATCTCCCTACCATATCTTACGGCGCTCGACATCGCTCGCACGCACTTCGGTGATGGCGCCATTCAGCAGACGAACGTCCAGGGAATCGCGGAGATTCGAGTGAGTGCACAGGCCTCCTGTCAACAAGCACATTTGATTGAATTTTTCCATTATTTTGCAGTTCGGCATCTGGTGAGGCGCCTCGTGCTGCTCCTAGTCTCAGCGCGGCGTGCATATTGACGGATGGAATGGATTTTTCAGGGCACCATGCTACTATAACACAAACGATGACAGGACGTGCTTAAGGACCGGTGCGCCCTTTTCCCGTTAATTCTAAGCAGTCCAGATCGTCCTCATCTTCTCTAATACTCGTAGGCCATGGGTACAGCGTTGAAATCGCCAACACAAGACAAACGGAGGCTATCACCGTCAAATCTTCGTGGACCCGCGGACTTGCAGTCCACCCTGTTGGTGAGTCGTGCACGCCTACCAAATGCCGCCTACAACGCTCACGGATACCAACTTTCATCGTAACGTATAGCCGCTGCTGCCACCTTCGTTGCGCTCCTGCTTTCCTTCTCCACCCACGTCACCGTGACGCTCCTCGCATCTTTAGTCTCGTTCCTCGCGGCGTTAATAACTCTGATCGCATTCGCCATCGACATCGCGCTCTACGCTCTCGTGAGGCATGAGATGAAGAAGCTAGAAATCGGCGCTAATACCAACACCGCCCCAGGTTCGTCATAATTGCCTTTCGCGTATCCGAACCTCTTCTCACGTGAACCCTATTCTTCTGCTCCTCCCGACACGTTTCCGGTCCTTTCCGTGTGCGTTGACGTCGATCCTTCCCCTGATGCCCCCTTTCAATTGTCGACGTCATTCTCCACCTCCACGTTGCTTCACTTCACCCCCTTTCGGACCGGCCAGGTTTCTGGATGACCCTCGTCGCACTGGTCCTTCTCCTCCTCGCTGGATGCACTGTCTGCTTCGGACGCCGAAGGGACCGCCTTTCTGGTGCAACGACTACATCCACCCATACGAAGCCCTCGTTCTTGGATCGCTTCCGCCGCACTAAGGCCTAAATGCTAGATTATCATCCCATGCCCCTATGAAGAAAAATTGGCCCACCCATTCGGATTCAAGACGATTTTTGCTCCACCCTCGGGCTTGACGAACCCTTTTGCTTAATATCCTTCGACAACATACCCAATCTGATGCTTGCACGATCCTCAATTCGTCATACTTACTTTGTTAGTGTACTTCCATGTCTGATCCCTTGGTCTTTTCCCAATAACTAGTATTCGAAGGGTTCGATTGCCTCAGAGTTTGCTCGTCCTCAGACTGAAGGCTGAAAAGGCTGGCCACGCCAGTCCGCTCGTTTCATATTATGCACTTGTTTTATCCTTGGGTTCATCATTCTCTTGCTGGCCATCAACCAGCCACTGCCTCAGAGCTATTCAGTCCTGGCTCCCTTGAGGAAAGAACCCACAGTCAATCAGAAGAATGGAATATGTTGCGACGCTGATGGAATACACCTAGAGCGATGAATAAATGACAAATGCATAGAACCCAAGTAGTGAAGGCCGGTTCGAGACTGCATCTGCCTTATACCTGGACAACTTAAGTAAATCTATTTAGATATTCCGTCTCCTGTTCCGAATATCCGAGGAGATCATTCGGAAAGGTAGTCGTCGTTCCCCAGTCGTTTTGTGCTCTACAAAAAACGGGCTCTGAAGCTCGTCACTCATGTTCTTAATAGAAGCGTTACATGGCACGGCTCGTGTGGGCAAACCAGTGCGACCAACACGATGACAAACAGAAGCCGAACGAGACCAGAGTGGCAGAACAAAAGCGCTTTGTTCTGGTGAGCACGAAATCACCTTTGAAAGGATGAAACTCGAAGTATGCAATCTCTTGATGTCCCGACGCCCTCGGGTCGCAGCTGCGATAGTAACCTACAAGGATTACTGCATTAGGAAATCGAACAACTGTTTTTAGAAGTAGCCGGCACCCGACGCTAACGACGCAGTGACCTCACAAAGCCGCGAGGAGAATTCTAGACGCACAAAACAACGATTCGCCGAGATCAGGGGGCGTGATTGTCGGGGTGACTTGATTAAGAGGATCGCTGTTTGACAGCTCGAGCCACGCCAGCATGGTAACAAGAAGCCAATGATAGACCGGCCGCACTGGGTGCGACACAAATCCAAGCAGAACCAGAGCAAGATTGGGGGCATCGCACGTAGTGCTTGTCCAGAGTCACTGGCTGACAGCGAGCCATATTGAGAAATTGACCGCACGTTTTCACGAAGGGAAATTAAAATCCTTCTAGAACAATGCCCACAGCCATGGTGACTTCTTCCATACTCCACGGTACGCGTTACTGACAGTGGCCAATAGCGTGGGCTATTGTAAAAGTGTTTGAAGTATTTAGTAATATACACATCGGCTGCTGTCATCCGAACTCCACTTTGCTTCATTGCTCGAGTCCCGAATCGACCCGGCGAGAGAGCATCGCAGAATCTCTCGTCGTACCAGTAAGCTGGTTCTATGAACTCTAAATATTATCTTTGCAGGTCAGGTCGAACATCCTGCGCCCACGCATGATTCATTAGAAGTGTACCATGGAAAAAATATAGAATCACGAGCACCATGACGACGCTTCTTAAACCGAACGCACTCACATAAAGGTCTCAACTGACTATGAGACTGCGGCGCGCATGAGAATGACGCACTTGACTGCGTACGGAACTTGCCGGCCACGAGCGCTTATTCGAGCCGAAGGCGGTGCCGCCACAGAGCCTGCAAGTCCCATTCAGATTTGTCTCCAGCAGCTGTCACCTGCTAATGCGGCTTTAGAGATCCAATAGGCTCGGACAGACGTGACGATGCATTATTCACTTCTCCGGCAGACCAGCCGATGATATGAGTAAGGCATGTAATAAATCCTTCATGGCTGGTGGGTCCTGCAATTTGCCCGTGGATGGCATGTATAATCTCTCCACACGGCCGGATATCACAATTCGGTGGTAACACCCCCCTTGTGAGACAGAAAGTGGGAAAAACAGGCTGGGTTAAAGGTCGAATAATTGTGTTGACTCGTTTCCGTCTTCCAGCTGGGGAGAGCGTGTGACAGAATGAGGCAGACGAGGCGCTGCACAGAAATGCTGTGATCCTTCTACTTACATCGGACCAATTACTGGGCGGTGACTATAAAGGGCGCCATGGAACTGGTGTAAATCGCGTTCTTGTCCTCCCTCCACAGTGTCTCGTTGGGTGTTGTCCATTATGTACGCCGACGATATTCCTCTTCCTCCTACGCATCCACTTTCTCGGTCTGAAATCAACACCCATCAAGGAAGTCAACTGGGTAACAGCACAAGACTCCCCTTTGGTTCTTCCGCGCAGCGTGCTGCGCCACCGACCCCACTTCGCATATCAGTGTCTCAACGTAGGGTTCCTCCGTCCCTTTACATCCTTCCACCAATACACCCTCCGCCACCGATATACTCGAGCTTTGCAACTCTGCCGCAATACTCAGAGACATACATCGAACCCCCGCCGCTCGTTATCCCTGTCGCCCAGCCGGGGGAGGTGCCGTCAACTTTCCGTGGCCGTCTACAAGATGCCCTTCGTAAGTGGATTCCCTCGAATTCCTGAGTAGACGAATGACGTACTTCCTAGGTGGCAGAATCCAGGAGATCATTGCTAGGTGGAGGAACGCTGCCTTCCCAGAACAACCCACCGATGGGCTGCGCCACGGGCGCTTTGAGATGCTCAAGGCGACAGCGATGGGGAGGTGGTTTACTATGTCCGCCGCTCTGCTCATAGCTGTCTGCCTTGTGGTCTTGGTCCTGCGACGATTTCAAGCGAAAAAAGACTCTTAAAGCTGCTATATGTATGCCGTGAGTGCGGTTTACCACGTAAGATTATCGGCGAGAAGACTGACGTCTTTCGATTAGAAATATCACCAGTATTAATGAAACAGCATGTCCTTAGTCTGGACTCTGACTCCCGAGATGAGCGTCAATTTGGAAGGTTTCAATGAAGGGCCGTCGGCACTGGGAAGAAACCTGCACGCTTCGCGGGAGAGCCCACTCGAGAAACCTAAGGGGCGAGCTATGAAGGTTGGTTCGCCACAGCCAGGGAGGGGGATCCAGCGTAGGACAAGGGGTGATGGAGTAGTGGGGGTGGGACAAGAACATGCCACCCTGTCATCCCATGGATGTAGTCTATAAGCAAACTTTAAAGCCGTTTAGCGACCTCATGACACACACCACGGAAGGCCGGTCAGATGCCTTGCATCACCTGTCTCCCACGTCAAGGTCTTTGACGAAGGCCTACAATCGCCTACAAATAGATGAGGAGTGACAACCATCAGGGGTGGATTTTTCCATCACTGGTCGGCGAAATCGCAAACCGTTGAGTTTTCGACGAGGATTCTGAAGGCTCGGAGATCGACTTAATCATCCCCTTCCGTCGTCTGGAGCCATTTCGATGAAGTTGGTAGCCACGTGAACGATATAACCTAAAAGGCCGCCTTCAAGTTCAAGCTCAAGTTTGATGACAATCAGGGATCTTAAATACGTATCAGCCAGCCAACCAATTTGTCGTGGTAGATATCATCTTTTTATATTTTGGACATGCTGAAGAAGCCGCCTACTGTGAAATATTTTCTAACAGATTCATGCGAGAAACAAACCTTTCGAGTCACCCAGAAAACTCTGTCCCATATATCGCTCTCCTCGGCCCACGTGTCGACCTCACTTTTATAGCGCAATATTCCGCTACACCCTTCCTCTTCCACCACAACGATGGCACTTTTGCTCCTAAAGGCTCGTACCTTCCTCGCCGATATCTTCCACCTCAATGGTGCCGCAAGAGGCGAGGAACCCACGGTCGGTAGGGTGCACGACATAGAAGCCACAAACGAGGTCGTACCGAATCCACATACCGCCACTATGTCCACCACCTGGAATCTCCTCGCACATATATACCCTTCGCACCTTCATATATACCTCACGGAAACGCCTCATTTTGCTGCCGACCCGAGCTCCTGGTACACATACGCGTCAGGAAGGTTCATCTCTAGAATTCAGGACATTCAGCGCATGGGTGCAGGCATCCTGAAAATCCGCATCGAGCTGGGTAAGCATTCGCGTCGCTTCGCCAGACAGTCTGCAACGGTCAACAAACTCTCTCGTAGCGCAAACAATTTATCGACACACCGAGGGGTTGTTCCTCCCCTTGGAGGGGTGGGACGAGGAGCAGGAGACGGGGCGGATGCAACGGCGGACGAGAGACGAGATGATAGAGGGTGTAATGCGACGGTGGTTGCTGCCCGCCATTAAAGCCACCGCCGTGGTGGGCCTAGCCATTCTCGCCTTCAAGACCATATTTCGGGTCGGTGGGGGGCAGTGATGAGGCCAGTGCGATGAACACGATAATCTGAGGCAGTGCGCGAGCCGTGGTAAATCAGTGTGGAGCAGGGCATCGAGTGAACGACCTGGCTTCGTGTCCTGCGCGTTTCTTCCAGAGAATCTTGACTACAAGTAGTAAGAAGTGTCGAAGTGAAAAAGGATTTGTACAGTTATAGATCAAATGGGCTATCTTCTTGAATGAAGGCATTTACACGAGGTGTGTCAGCTCCGTTGCTGTTGGTGGTCCAGAAAGAGGGTGGTCAGAAGAGCGCCTGTCATCGCTGCGGCTTGTTGCATTAAGTAGTCCTCAGACCTATGAGAAGACAGTTGACATCTGTTCGCAACAAGATCAATCCGACCTGTCTCCACCACCATCAGACGGTCCAAACTTCAGGTAAGAATCGGTTTCCTGGAAGACTTCGAGCTGCGGCCTCCACGGGCTTCGAAGAGGAAGCAGCGATTGCGCTGCAGTTTCTCCCTCCCTGCAGATAACCTCGGGATGGACTAAACAGTACTTTGCCTCTGAACTGGTCGGTAGGTTCTCGTAGCATAGTCCTGTCGAAGCCATTGATCCTGTACCTCATATCAGACAGGAGGAATGCTCGCCACCAGGAGGATATTGAAAACGACGAAGACGGGTGATTCAGCGCGAGGTAAAAACACAGCACATTCCAGTGCCCACTACCATCTACCGCTGACAACGGAGCGTGCCATCCGAAGCAGTGGCGCGTTGGGATCACCCGAAGTGCTGAAATTAGTTGGCGCCCAAGAATCCAGTTGGTCAACGAATGACGTAAGCACGGCGTCAAACAGTAGATTCGACCAACGTTCCAGACTTTCGACTGACACGTCCATCCGCAACGGAATTCCGATGAGCTAGGGTGCCCGCTGAACACATTCCAAAAAGCAGGCAACGGATACGGTGTGGCGCATTATATTCGGCATCTGTGACCGAGATGCAAGAGAAGGCGCATCAGGCGGAAACCCGCCTCAGCAACGGTCCAGCAATTCAGCATTCGACAACACAGATCCTATGAACCAAGCGCGACTCGTCTCCAAGCATGGAGCTCGCCAGCTCAATGTCAAAGTCAAGACTGCGATGCTGACCGCAAGGGGGAGAAAGTATCGACACGAGAGCAAGAACCATAACCCCCAGAAGCGACCACGCAAGCTAGCAGATGTGCGTCTGGTTTGCATCTAGACAAATGAGGTAACGGCTTTACCTATTTAAGAAAAGCCTGGGTTGGCAACCCGATGATCGTCACCGTTCCCAGCACTGGAGATGATAGACCCATCCCAGCGGCGCAACAGACAGGTATAATGGCTCCAGAAGAAGGTAAAGGGAACTTGTCAACTTGAAGGTTGGCCCGCGGCCTGGGCGACACGAAGAAGTTGGCATCCAGGAGCGAAGTTTTGCAGAATCGCTCCAAGTGGTGACAGGCGTCTCTTCTTAGAGAAGAGATGAATGGTTGGTGTCAAGAAATCAGAGAGTTCCGCAGACTATTTCAATAAAGGATAAGTAGGACCGTATCAGGACAGCGGGGGTGGTGTCCGAAGAGCGAGTCAGCGCACCGTCGTAAGCTGCAGCAATCCTGATGCGAAGACCGTATCCGAGAAGCCTAGATCTGCAACAAGCACATTGCTTGAAAGCCGGAGGCGAGAGTTTTGATCAACAATGAGAGGGAGGAAAATCACATACTCGCCATTTGCAACATTGCTGTGCCAACTTCCCAGTCTGACCTGCCTCTACAGTCTCGGCTCTCGGTGTCAGTGCGACTCGGCGCTTGAAGAACCTGGTACGCATGGAACTCCCCGGTCTCAGACAACCTCGATCGGCTCGAAGGTGCTGATTAGCGACGAAATTCGCCGGACGGGACTTTGCGGCCTTTGAGAATTGGGAGCTCGAAACGCTGAGTTGGTTGCTTCTGAACGCCTCGCTAAATCATAGAGGGATTAATAGGAAACAAGTCGGTAGTGAGGCCTGGACAGCAGGTAGTTCAAGCAACTTGTTTAGCCTGCAGTCACGCATATAGCAGACGACTGGAAATCTGACAGAGAAAGAATAATAAATCTATTCATGAGTTGACGAAAACTCCTTCATTCCGACGTACTTACACGACTTCAACCGAGGAATTCAAGGGTGTTGCCAGACTCCTCCCCACCGACTCCCGAGATGAAGTCGATGAAACGAACTGGGGTGCAAGGAAATTCACCGAAAAGATATCAGAGTCTCGACCATGGTGTGCTTCGTCAGTAGAAGGTAGAGAGCCTAAAATATGATGCAGACAATGGTGGTTGCAAGTGAAGTAGAACTTCATCGGGCGATCGTGAGCTGGCAAAACCCGATATTCAGACGCCGCTCATATCGCCCACATTGCGCAGGCACCCCTCAGAGGAGGCTTTATCGGTAATCCAAGGTTCTTCTTACAGTGCCCGAAGGAAGCTTTGCTTCCGCTTTCTTGACACAAGGCCAGCAATAGTGAGTTTTCGCTTCGTTTCGAAATAATGCAAGTTGGATGAGGAGGGCGGAATGCCTCCGGTGGGGCATGGATGGAAAGCTTGCCTTCCTTCCACTCCTTGCTTATTTTTGGGTCGCTATGAGTTGACTGATGGAAGAGAATCGTGAACGCCGATGTGCAGCAGTACAAGGCTAAGCCCCTATGCATATGGATCAGGAGGGCCTGGGCATTTTTTTTTTTGCTTCCATTCGATGGACAGAAACTGACCCCACTCCTCCGCAGAAATCGCCGAACTCCCCTGTCATATAAAGGAGGTCCCTTTCACCCTCCTATGTTGATAATTCAGAGTCGAGGTCACCGTTGCAGGGTAGCGAACGGAGAGGTCAGCTTTGATGCGTCCTGTGTACGCCTCTCCGTACGGCAGGTGGCCAACAGGTGGCTCAGTTGGCGTCGTGATGCAGCCGGCGCAAGAGCGGGCCGTGCTGGATCCTCGGTCCCGTCTTTCTCCTGCTATATTTGCGGCTCTCGCGGTGCTTGCACCCCAGATCTCGAGAGATTGGCCTGTCGAGGACTCAATATTGGCTCAATAGATCCCTGGGTGCTGTCGTTGTGCGGCTGATCCTGTCGCTTGGTAAAATCTCCGCCACCTAATTGGACTCGTCGACTCCAAGTTGGTGGCGGTAGTGGCGGTGCGCACCGTTGCTTGTTTAGTAAGAAATATTTACGTCGACAAGTCGAAGACCGCCCCTCGGCCGACCGCTAGGCTCAGCCTAACCTAGCTATCCGACTTCCAAGTTCCAACTACCACTGATTCTTCCGTGGACGTATTAGGACAAATCGAGGCGAGTGCTCCAATAAGTTGCGAAAAATGTCGAGGTTCTAGAACTGACGTTGAACTTGAAGTGCAGTGAGCCTGTGTGATTTAAGCTTCGGAAAAGCCACAAGATTACCCACGTCCTGGATTACTGCATGTCTGAGTTGCGGTTGGGCGACCAGGAGTAAGCCTACTATGCTTCAGCCTTGCAGGAGATATGCCAGAATAGAGTTGCCTCGTTGCTCTACAGTTTCGCGTGAAACAGCCTATTCCAGGCCGCAAGCTGATTTCCCCGGCGAATGCGTTCTCATGGCTGCGATCTCGTCCGGTTTATGGTTAACGCGCCGGGGATGAGCGGTTCTGAGGGGTGGAATCAATACCTTGAGGCTGGAGTTAGCCAATTTAGCATATCTGTGCCAGCAAAATGAAAGAACGGATCGCACGGATATTGCTCGACAACCATCCATGCTGAAGTCCAGATCATCATCCTATCCGGACATACGAACAGTCGATGGACATTTGCTTTTCGCTGATTGCGCGATGACCGTGAAATGTTTTGCGGAGCCTGTAAGTGACTTTCAAGCAAGGCCGCAGCTCTCACGCACGAACCGACAACGCTCCGGACCTACGTCTCCCAGGCTCTTTATCCTTGACTCGATCTCTTGGACCTAGCCTACATGGAACGAGGGGCCTACCACAAAACCTGCACGTAAACGTACCATGGTAATCCAGCACGATTTGTATTTCGTATCATTACGCATTTAATGGTGATCTTTAGGCGCAGCCCAGCGTATCATTGTCCAGGAAAGGGTACGTTAAGCGGGAAAGGGGGTACTTAGCTCTGTGAGCCTGCCGTGCTGCACTTGCAATTCGCTGAAGGAAGGCTAATGGTGTCATCCCACGAGCGCGCGCTCGCCAGGAGGAAAAGGGCTGGGCTCGGATGGTTGCCACGTGTAGAAATGACGCATCCAGTTCGGGTAGATTGACGGACCTTTCCCAAAAAAATATTCGTTGTTGCCCGGGGCGTCAGCTGGCATTGTGTCACCGTGTGCGAGACATGAAATTTGTAATTGTATGAAGGTTATATTTTCGCATCACGTCCACCCTGTTCTTCCCAGCGTTTCACATCCTTTTCCTATAAAAGCCAGTCGCCAGAGTCGCAATTAAACCAACTTTTCGACTCCTTCACCTCCCCGTCTCCAGGACACAAAAGACCGCTTTATCTTAAAACCCCTGCCTCGTATCTTTGTTCTCTTCGCCGTTATGTGCAAGCACGAAATGTTCGTCTACCTCCTATTCTTTCTTTCTTCAGTGGCTCACCTCTGCGTTTCAGAATTGGCGATTTTTACAGGGGGTGCGGTGTACGTCGCCTGTAACACGAAGTAAAGGTTGTCCAGAGCTAAAAGTGTCCTTTTCACAGCATTTCCATGGCCGCTATTACACGGGAGAAACCATGGATTGCGGCTCCGAGGCCTGCAAGTCTAGCCGTGCCCACAAACACAAGACTGCGGGTAATTGTGGCTGCCCAGAGGTGCGTCCATCACTGCCATTTCTGTCTTCTCAGACTCAAAGCGGGTCGACAGATCGTCGTCGAGGAACGACGTATCCAAAATATGTTCCAAATTCCTTTCCCCGAGTGTCAACGCATCTCCCGGTAAACGTCGCGTCGCGTCGGGTTCTCAGTGGTGCTGGCACTATTTCGGGCTTTCCAATTGTTTTGATTTTGCTATCGCAATATTACCATAATCCCATCGTACATAATCGTCTCGTGCTTTTTTATCTGTATTGCGGTATATGCTCTCACCGTGTAGTTTCATAGACCTGCTATCCCATCCTCCTATTGCCTTCCCGCTGCGTGCGTCTCGCCACGCGATCCGTTTCCCGATGAAGTACCCTCGCGGTGCCGACGATCATGACATTCGAACCCGATTGTTTCCCGTTCTGAGCGCCAATGCGGAACCATCTGAGTCAAATCTGAGCGCTCGGCGTTCCACTCAATAAGACCCACGGAAATGCCGATAAATATGTCTGAATGCGAAAACCGAGTTATTACCCGCACAGGTTTGGCGATTGCTACTCGGGAGAACCGCTGAGGCGTGGGCGAATTTCGCGCGGGTATCTTGACAGTTTGCTCCTCAAACATCGACTTCCGAGTGTTGTCTTCGGACGTGTGAGAGACCTGGAAATAAGTATGTATGATACATAAATACGAGTCAGTTTCTAACGCGACAACTATGTACTCACACATCCTGTGATGCCGACGGTACGCGATTTCGTTGACTTGCAGGGCCTGCTTTGGTCCAAAACGCGCTTAGCGATGGTGGCGGTATGATGTAAACTCCCCTGAGCCACGTGGAATAGGTCGCTCTTGTTGTTGTTTGTTTTCAGCCACAAATCCGCTTCGACCACAACCGTCATCTCCGTATATTGCTTCGACGTTCAGACGTTCTGCTGCGGCGTTGCATCTGGACGATTGTATTTCCAACGAACCGACGGTTTTCGGAGCGTATTGAATAACGCCTTTCACTGGTTATTCGGAGTCGGAGAAGCTTGAAACGACAATATGCCTTCATGTAAGGCATACCCCATGTCAATCGGATACGCTCATATCGTGTCTCTTAGTTGCGGAATTGAAAGCCAAAGCGGCCAACGCCACTTCATCTGGCATGGAGAGAATGCAGAACATGAGAGATCGGAACACCAGGCATGTCTCCTGTCCTGGTTTCCTATCACCCCGTCTCCCTGATCTCGTTATCTCCTAGTGTTCCTATGGCCAAGACGAATTGGGATCCGTACAGCGGAAATCCACCGCCGCGACCTCCTCCCCCGCGTAGTCTGGTGAACCGGAATACGAAGCCGCAGGCTCCTTTACCACCCCCTCCGAGCAGGACGGCGTCTGCAGCAACATCTTCGTTGAGTCGAGCAAGTTCGACGGCTTCCACGCCTCCTTTGCCTGCTCGTGGTACACCTAGCCCTGGAGCCCCACCTCTCCTGCCTTCGCGATCTAAAGGCCCTGCACCTCCAGCCCCTCCACCTCGGTCGACCGGCCCACCCCTTCCAGCTGGAGCCCCACCACCTCCCATTAATCGATCGACCCGTCCGGATGCCCTACCCCGTCCCGCAGCTCCAGCTAGACCTCTAGCCCCTGCAAAGACCCAACCGAAGATCGATTGGGCAAATCTCTCCCCCGAGGACAAGCAGGTGTTTTTCAGCTGGCTGGACGAGTTCTTTGCGAACTTCAAACCTCCGAGGACGGTTGAAGCCGGTCGGGAAAAGGAAGAGAATCATGAGCTCCCTTCGCAGGGGCCACCACCAATTCGTGCGGCGGTAAGTATGTTCCATTCGAAACGGACTGAAAAATCGTAGACGCTTTCGCGTTCGTATGTGTGCCCCTCTGTTTAGTGAGGTCCTCCTGTAGTTGGCCGCGAAGCCACTGATAACGCGGTCGTTTGTGCTAGAGATCGGCGTACTGGGATGCATTCTGAGATCGTGCAGGATTGTACCGTCAGCTATCACGGCATGTCGAAATTGACGCGGGGACCGAGAGCTGACGAAGCTTTTTGCAGAGTAAACCCACGTCTTGGTCCCACTCGCAAGGCAGTGCGTAATTTGTTTTATCACCACGTTGCCCCTGCTGGCCTCAAACGATGTATCTCAGATCAATTTGCTCCTCTCTCACACCCGCCTGCAACACAGTACGGGTCAGCGGGGCTCGACCTTGCGCATTATTTCTCTCCAGGGACTGTGTGGTCCGGGGCTTGGTACAACGCCACTGATGGGCCGACAATCCCACCTCCCATCGTCGGGAACAAAGACCACACATTCACCTGCTCGTGGCGATCGAGAGGGTCGAGCAAGACGACACACGTTGGCGTAATTTTCTCGGACCTCAGTATCTTTTGGGGAACCGTGGATTTCACGACGACGAACCCCGAGGACCAGAGCCAGGTGAAACGGAGTGCCATCTACCTGCCTCCGCCCAAGGCGCTCGACCGGCAGGAGCTTTTGGACGCACACGAAACGTACGGCGAGACGATTGCTCTGTACGCCGAGTCGTTCTTAGGCTCCGGACAGTGTTGTGCCCGCGGAGAGTGCTGGGATCTCGCAAACGAAGGGCTCAAGTACTTTGCCGCGTACGACTACATCCCGAAAACAGTCCCGAGTATCAGTCGTACCCATGGGCATCTGATTTTCGAGGGAAGAGCAAGCAATGGAGGACGGCAGATGGAGGGCCAGTGGCGTGGCGGCGACGACCGTGTCAGGCGCGGTGACATCGCGGAATGGCGGCAGGTCAGGATAGGCATGGGCGGTGTCCATCGTGGAGGCTTCTACACACTGGGCGACCCAGACCACACCGCGGTTATTGTCAGCGATGCCGTGCCGTCATCCACACCGAGAGACGGTGCTAGTTTGAGCCCTGCGAGCCTCGGGATTCTCACTGTGGTCGAGCAGAGCCTAGGAAAGCCGCCAGAGCGCCGCGAGTACGATCTAAGCTGTTTCGAAGAGGGCGAGATGTGGATATACAGGCCCATTGGGATGCAGACATACCTAGGTGTACCCGATATAACCGCAACACCTCCAGAGGGGGTAACAGGATTGCGGGCTTGGTGATAGCTAGGGTAAAGTTTAAGTTTAGCTTACATGGACACAAGATTTACCGCGAAACACGTACCGCTTGTTCTCGTATCAGTCGCTCACCATGGCAGATGTCATAAAGGGTTGATTTAGAATGTTGACTTGAACGAAGAGTAAATCTAGCCCACCTACTCAGCAAGCACCAGCCCCATCCAAGCAATTCTCCTACCGCTAGACTGGTTTACCTCGGCCCGAAAGTTAGAAATATAGTTCATATATGCGTGCAAGACTGCATAGGTTGCAGTCTGGAACTTGTATCTCGATGCCTTGGATGTAGATTGGCGTACCGAGTTCCGACCTCTTAGGAGTTTCCCGTCGGTTGTAGC